TCCCAGAAAAGGCCAGTTGGGGAGCGAGCGCGCTCGTGTTCCGCGGCCCAGCCCCGCGTTCTGCTGCCTCCCCAATTACTGCTTAATGGACTTTTTATGATGATAAGACGACTGGGCTGGGGAGAAGTTATTGACGGGGAAATGGAATATAATTCACTCCTTGTTTGTTTGTTCTGTCAGAAACCCCTCGCTTTAACTTTCCTTGCAAGGCACTGGGAAACAGCCCGCGGGGACAAGAAGTGCAGAATCTGCTGGTAAAACCCTGCACTTGAGGGCCAGAGCCTGTGCAGGACCCTTCCAGAGGGGTGTTTTCAGTCTTGTTGGGGGTCTCCATAGAGACCCTCCCCATCACCTGCATCAGTCCTGCTCCCGGTTTGCAGCTCTGGCTCCTCTTGTGAAGACAAATGTAAATGACAGAGCCATCTTCCCTGCCTCTACCCCTCTTGCAAGCTCCCCCGCTCCCTAATGCCGCTGCTTTGAAATACAGACCCATTCCAAACATCCCATTCTTGCTCCCCACTCTCCATCTGTCTCAAATTTGGCTGCTCTCTCCCGTTTTCATCTGCTCCATGGTTTGTCTCCTCCATGTAATCTTCACTTCCTTGCTCTGGCTCTGAACACCTCCCTCCCTTCCATCTTGCTTCAGTTCTCTTGCGTTTTCATAGAATCAAACTGGTTTGGGTTGGAAGGGACCTTAAAGCTCCTCCAGATCCAACCCCTGCCAGGGCAGGGACCCCTTCCACTGGAGCAGCTTGCTCCGAGCCCCTGTGTCCAACCTGGCCTTGAGCACTGCCAGGGATGGGGCAGCCACAGCTTCTCTGGGCACCCTGTGCCAGCGCCTCAGCACCCTCATACTAAAGAATTTCTCCCTGATGTCCAATCTAAATCTTCCCGGTTGATGTCTCCTTATCCCCACTGATTTCCCATCCTTCCCACCCTCTGCTCTCCTCTATCTCCCGGTCACTGGTGTGGCAAAGCTGTTCCTCTGCTCCTCCGGCCATGCCTCCAGGCTGTCCCCCACTGCTCAGCACCCCACCATGCAGGGCATGCAGCAGCCCAGGTGTGTAAAACACATCCACAGCAGCTAAGGAGCACTCAGTGCATGGCTGGAGCTGGATCATGCATTCCTAGAGAGGATTTTGGGGGGGGGGGATGAAAGCGCTACCGCCCAGGGCTGTATCTGGGGAGCACCTTGTGCTCCTTGTCCCCTTGTGAGCCGGTGGAAAATGGTGATGGGAAGCAGAGGGGGTTTAACGCTTTGTATGCCAGCGAGAGCACCATCGGATTCCTTCCTTGCTCTTGAAGTCAGTGAGGGGTGAGAACTAACGAGAGATGTCAGTGCTGAAGCAAACGTGACCTGGCCCTTGGGATGGGACAAAGCTTTTGTCTGGCTTTCGGGTTTTATCTCCTCCCCCCAAGAAGTGTGTTGGGAAGAGCATCCCCGAGCTCTGTCTCTGGTCACCTCTGGTGGTTCTGCTCTGTGTCGCGGTGTTCAGAGGCTGTGGTTGTGTGCGGCTCCCCCTGCTCCCATTCTGCTGTCAGCTCAGACCTCTTCACCCTCCTCAGACCCACTCCTCAAACCACCTCTGGCTTCTCCATCCTTTCCTCTGCCTTTGGCTCTTGATGTTTCAGACAGGTGCATGGTGGCTGGCCTGTCTCCTTGTGCCTCGTCTGTTCCCCATGGCAGCAGTTCCTGAGGGACGTTCGGGTGTAAAGGGTGAGGCGTCCCCTCCTTTTCCCCACTCCCGCATCCCTCCTTGCTCTAAAGATGCTCAGACTCGTTTGCCATCCGTGTCTCGGCAGCAGGGAGATGCTGGGTTGGGGTTTCTTGTACATGGCTGCATTTGAAGAGCTTTTCCTGCTTTGGTGCCCCATGAAGGAAGGGTGGAAGGAGAAGGGAAGCAGCAGCACCCTCCTCTTCTGAGGAAGGCTGCCTGGTGTGCAGTCCTTGTACGTGGGTTACTGCACCCTGCTCCTGCAGTGCTTGTGCCCTGGGGAGGAGTAGGGCACCCCCCCATATCCCATTGCAGCTCCTGCCCATCAGGGGCTCAGGGCTGCTGGGAAGGGGTGGCAGGATGGGATGGATGCGGATGAGTCTCTTCTTTCCAGTTTGTATCCTGTATGCAGCAGATGCTGCTTGCCCCGGCTCTTGCTTTGGGGCAGTTTGTAGGTGGTGGGCAGGAGTGAAAGGTTTGGTTTGACTCGATGGCTGTTAAGCTGTGGAGAAGAATCACAGGTACAGAGCAGCCATCCGGCCTTTCCATCCTCCTCTCCAGAGACCCAGGCCCTGCAGGAAGACTCTTGGAGCAGGAACATTCTTCTGAGCTCGAGGTTTTTCCATTCCTGTTTTGATACTGGAAAAGAAAACCCCAGGTTCTGCTACTTTGCAAGCAGAGAAAGGGGGAAAAATCTCTTGTGACCACTGGGTCGAGGTGGGACTCCAGCCTGGGCTTTCCAAGGCTGGCTTGTTTGAGGGAAGGTGGTGAAGTGCTAGAGGGCACAACCCCCCTGGAGGGCAGGGATGGCAAATGGGAAATGCCTGTCTCTGATTTCTGTCTGTTCATTTAAAGCAGAGGTCCAGGGGGAACACACAATCCCTTTGGAGCGGGCTGGGGGTGTTTCACTTCCTCGTGGTGCCTTGTTCCTGCTTTGGGAGCCTTTCAGAGGGGTTTGCAGAGCTGGAGACCGAATCCCCCCTCGGAGCTCGCTGCAGGCTGGACCTGGCACGGCAGAGCAGTGCCAATCCCACGCAGCACGGAGGGATCTGTTCCAGCTTTGTGTCATCATCACCTTGCCTGCCGTGGCGCTGGCTTGCTCCTCCTCGGAGGGGAGAGGGTGGTTGTGCGCTCGGTGTGGGCTGCAGTGACAAGTGCTGCGGTGACTGGGGTGCATAGGGGGAGAGCACAGCGGGGGGGCACAATCAACGTCTGGAGCTCAGGGGCTCGGGCAGTTTTAGCTGTGATTTTCGCTTGTTTTCCCAGGGAGTAGCACAATGGAGCGGGTTGGGTGGCGGCGGTCGGGCTGGGCTCCTTTGTCTCTCACCGAGGTTGTCGTAGGCAGCTCGGTGTTGCGGTGAGTGCAGCTCACACCCTGAGCCCATGGAGCTCCCCGCAAAGGGCTGCTGAGCAGTGCCTCCAAGCAGGCTGTTTTATTTTGGAGCACCGTCCCTTTCTTCAGGACAGAAATAGAACCTGATTTTCCTCCTCAGCTGCGCTCTCATCATCCTGCACGCACTCATTTAAATGTATATGTGACATTAAGGATTATTAGGGGCTTTTATTTTAGGAAATGAACTTGCATCAATAAAGTGTTCTTAAAAGCCCTGCCTGTTTTCGCCTGTACCTTCGGAATTGACTTCCGCAACCTCTTCAGATATTGAGCTGAGGAGAAGAGAGGAAGGAAGTCAGGTTGCTGGCAGAGGGAGCGTTTGTATTTCAGCCTGAAGCAAGGTTTTGGGTTTGCCTTCCTCCGATGATTCCCCGGTGCCGTTACCTCCAGCAGGACTTGCTTGGTAACCTTTAGCGGTAGCATGGCAAAGACGGCTGACCTCTAAATATAGACTGGGGTATTTATAAAGCTGGTGCTTTGTACACACAGCATTGGGGGGGCCATAAACAGCTCCAGCGAATTGTATTTACCTCCAGCATGGAAACAAATGCCTGATTGCATCACGTGAGCTTGCTCAGTGGCTTTTATTTATATCCTGCTGGCCGCACCGGGCAGGGAAGGGGAGCATGCTTCCTTTTATCTTTCGACCCCTAAAAGACCCTGGAGACTTGTCTCTAGCTGCCATTTGCCCTCTTCTGGAGCTCTGTGGTACGCTCTTTCCATCTTGTTCTGCAGGCTGGGAGCCTGCACATCTAAATAAGCACGTTTCAGAGTCACGTGCTCTGCTTTTCTCAAGAATAACAGACGGCAACTTTATGATCTGAGTGATTTTATTTGAACACAGCTGTGGCCTCGTCATTTCAATATTTCAATCAATTCCCAACTAACTAGATGAGAGGAAACTGTGCAGAGAAGGCAGGTTGGAGCGTGGAGGATGGAGGCAATACAGGTTCAGCACAGACACGTCTGGCCTCATCTTCCTATCACAAGGAGGCCCTTGGTCAGAAAGCCCATCCCAGCATCCTCTCTCCTCCGAGCTTTTGGAGGCAGGCAGACATGGATGGAAGTCGGTGGCAGGTCCAGGCTGCCTAAACCAGAGCCCGGGCTCTGAGTGTGTTCAGGCACCACCACAGCTTGGAGCATCTGGTTATGAGAGGAGTTTGAAGAGCTTCTGGCTTCCTCAGCAGCGTGAATCCCTTGTTTTTGTCAGATGAGGAGAGGGGAAGGGGGAACTGCAGGAGCTGACTGCAGACTTGGCTGCTGTGCTCTTGGTCTTGACAACTGGATTGGTTTGAAACGATCACAGCTTCTGTCTGTTGGGCTGTGTCCCGTTCCAAAGGATGGCTTATCTGTTGCTGTGTACATGTACCAGTGAGGGGCAGAGGAAGCGCTTGCAGATGAAAACAGAGGTACTACAAGCCAAGGAGGTTTCATATCCTAAAGCCAAGTTCCTACACCATTTATCTCATCTTTTACCCCTGGATTAGGTATGTTCCTATAAATGTCCCTCATTCCTTGATGTTGTGGTCATCTGCTAGGATTTGGGGAGCACAATTCTGTGTTTTCAGGTTCACCAGCTTTTGGTGGTGATCATTAGTTGGACTTTGCAAGGACAGAGTGCTAAAACAGTTTAAAAGTCCTCTTTTCAGAAGCAAAAGAAACTTTGCAACATCACTGCATTGAAATCTCTTTGTTGTAATCATGTTGCGCTGTAGCTTCTTCATATGTAAAATGGAGATACAGGCTGTTGTTTCCTATCAGGCCAAGAGGTCTCATTTCATCTGGGATCATTAGAGAATGGCAGTGATAACACAACTATTAATTACAAACAGGGTTTAGTCGAATTTGGTTTTCCTTGTGCCAGTGATGAGAATTTCTTTTTTCTCTTAAAGGTCCCCCTGTGTTCATTAAGAAACCTGTGGACCAAATTGGTGTGTCAGGAGGGGTGGCCTCCTTTGTCTGCCAAGCGACTGGAGACCCAAAGCCACGTGTCACCTGGAACAAGAAAGGGAAGAAAGTGAACTCTCAGAGGTTTGAGGTAAGAGATGCCCTTGAAGTCTAAAGAGGGAGAGACTGACACAAAGCAGCTAGTGCTCTTCTTTGGCCGTCCTCAGGCCTGATAATAAAGGGGAGGAGTTTTAACAGCAGCAGGAGTGAAATGCAGGCTCTTGGCCATGTCAATAGCTGGGCTTGTTCCAGAGCAAGGGAATCTTGGCTCACTTACCTTATTGAAGTTCTTGTTGTTTCTTTTCCCCTCCTGGGACATAATATAAAGCTGCCTTCTTCCTTCCCTAAGAAACCCCAAGTAAGCTGATGGCCCTTCAGCTCTGTAAGTGCACCTTTCAGACTCATCCGGGGCTCATTATTTTAACCCTGGGACAGCCTGGAGTAACGCTGCAGTTGCTGGCAACCAGAGCCAAGCAATTGGCATTGTTTAGATAGAAATGAGAGTGGAGGAACAAGGACCAGGAGGTCATGGTGTGGAATTTGCTGTGGGGCTCAGCCCTGCCCGGCAGCTGTGTGCTGAGAGGAGCTTTGTGGTGTCAGCTGCCCATGCAGATGGAGGAACAAGGCGGGGGTTCATCTTTATTTTGTTTTCACTTGCTCTGCTTCCTCCTCCTCCGTCGCAGTTGTGCTCTGAACACCCACCCCACACACACCATCACCATGGCTCCCTCTTTCAAAGTGTTGGGGATGTATATAGTACTTTCAGGGGGTCAGAGACAGGGTTTGGCATGTGTCAGTTCTCTTGTCACCTCGAGGTCAGTGGAGAGACAAGTTGACCATGTCAGCTATGTGTAGGGGATTGCAAGGCAGCTGCTGAAGTGTGTTTGTGAGTGTGTGTGCTTCTATAAATGCTTGTGCCTCCTTTCGGAGCAGGAACAAACCTTCCAGTCGCCAGGCAGAGAGGCTCACTGTGTGTCTCCCTTCCCCTTTATCCCCCAGACAATTGAATTTGATGAAAGTGCAGGTGCTGTTCTGAGGATCCAGCCCCTCCGCACTCCCCGGGATGAGAACATTTACGAGTGTGTTGCTCAGAACCCTCACGGGGAGGTCACCGTCCATGCCAAGCTCACCGTCCTCCGAGGTAAGAGCACGCCGCCTGCCACGAGTCAGTGTCACAGGGGAGAGGGAGCCTCCAGCCTCTCTGTTCCTTCCTAGCAGTGGGAAGGCTGTTAAAAAATGCATGGCCAAGGCACAGGTCCCCCTTGTTTTGCTTTGTTTGAACTGTCAGGTCTGTTTTGCTCTTGCAGAGTAAAATCCCTGTGTAAGAAACAAAGCTAAAACTGGACCACTTGAGGAGGTTTGACTGGATGATGGGCTGAGGTTCCTTCCAACCTGAATTATCCAATGGATCTATGATCTTCCCTCCCCTCCAGTAAAAATGTCTTCCCCAGGTTTATAAGCAGCACCAAAACCTCCCCATCATCCTCCTCAGAAATGTGGCACCACTCATCCATGCACCCTAGGAAACCTTCACCAAGGTTCACTTAATGAGCTGAGGTTGAGTATGCATCTGCAGAGGCTTTTGTGCAGTTGTTATCAGTGCCAGCCTCTTCTCTTGAGCAAGATACCTGTTTTGCCCTTCTGGGCATCTTCCCCCTTTCCAGAGGTCCTTTGCTCATGCTCTCACCAAGAAAACAGCTCCCCTCTTCATTTCTGTTCTGGTTCTTTTCTCACTTCTCTCCCCTATAGGGGATGCTGACATGGATGCTTCCTTCATGTCATCTGTTTGAAGTATGCTCCCTGCACTTGATATGGGAGAGGGAACAATCTGCTGGTGCTGTGGATGCATCTGGGGGTTTGCTGTTCTTACCCTGGAGATGGGCAGCAGCATTGTGTGAAGCACTCAGCTGGGCTGCTTGCTAAAACTAACCCATTTTAGGGGAGAAGATGCGTGAGGTCCTCTGTTCAAATACAGGGCAATGCAGGTGCCCTAGGCAAGAGGGCTGTGGTGGATACCTGCCTGAGAGCTCCTGAAGGGAGCCCAGCTTGGGAACACTGGCTCTTGATGAAGCCAGCAGCAGAAGGGGCTGTAGAAAAGCCATGGTACTTGCAGTAGGAGCCATTATTTCTGCAGCGAGCATGGCTAACAACAGGTTTGGGTGCTCCAGGAAGTGTGTGATCCGCATAAGGAAGCTCTGCATCTGTGCCAGTTGCTTTTTCTTCAGGGTTCTCTCCAAGAGCATCTCAAATCCTTTTGTTTGAACAGACACTGAGCACGTCCTTCATAGTGCAGGGTGAAATTTGTCTGCAAATCCCCAACGTACAGCAGTAAATAAAGACCAGACATAAAGAGCACATGGCAAAGCCCTTGACCTCCCCTTGTAGCAGGGAATATCCCTTCTGCTGCCCACCCGGCAGGTTCTGTCTTGTCAGGATGCTGGCTGCCTTTGAGCATGTGGGCCCGTGGTCCAGTCATGCCTGACAGATTTGTGTAGGTGCACTTAAATCTTTGTGTAGCTCCTTTGCCTGGCGTGGCATTTAACCTTCTGTTAGCAGTACGTGGTGGGATGGATCTGTCAGGAGATTGGAACAGTGCTTGATGACAAGAGTGTGTCTAGCTGAAGGTACTGCAGAGGGCTGGGAGCCTTATTCTTCACACTTACTCCTGTGTATTCCTTGGGAGCTGAGACAGTTTGGGAGAAGTGCCCTGCAGTCATACTCCAAAGTTTCTACCCCTTGAATTTAGCTGCAGGCAGTGGCAGAGGAGAAGGTTTTCCTCCAGCTGCAGCCCTTACAAATCCCTTGGATTCTCACAGCGTTTTTAAGGCACTTTCCACCAGAAGAAAGCTGCAATCTGTGGGAAAGGAGGAGCTGAGCTCAGTGCTTGTCCTTAGGGAGCAAGGTTCTTTGCACGTGTCTTTTTGCAGCCCTTCCTTCCGGTGTCAGCATCAGCCACGTCAGCTGAAGAGGCAGATGACAGGACAGGAGCTGCATCTCCCCACCACCTGACTAATTACGCACTTTGCTGATCCCACCACAACATGATGACTGCATGCTCTGCTCCCGGTTACACAAGCATTCCTATGCTGTTTGCCTTGTTTGGTAGCTTGGTGAAGGGACTGTGCAAGAGCAGCAAGGTTACCTGCTTCATGGAATGTTGGGGAGCAGTGACCAGCTGCAGGGCTTGGCCAAGATGCTGTTGAAGAGCATCAAGGAAGCAGTTTGTATAGCATACCCTCCCCTTGCCTGCTCAGCTGGAGTTAGTCCATCCTTAATCTTGCCTTAGCTTTTCCACAGCAAAGATTGTCTCCTCTTTATCCATACTTTTAAGTGCTAGGAAGGTTGAAAGGACCAAGCACAAATCCCCTAAGCTCCACAAAGTTAGCATTCTGGCATCTCTTCCTCTCCTTTCCTCCCCTTCTGCTTTCTCCCACTCTCCTGTTTGTCTTTTCTCTGTCTTTCCTTGCAAGGCCTCCTCCTCCTTCCCGTCTCCTCTCACTTTCAGGACTCATGCTTAGCATAAAGATGGGGGCTGTTCCACAGCTCGGAGAGGAATGTGAGCTGTCATTTGTGGAAGCTGTTCCCTTGGCGCACTGTGGAGCAGGGAAAGCTGGGCCTGTGCCCTTCCATAGTCAGCAGGGTGGGCTTTGCAGTCATGCTGCAGCCTGGTGGCTTTGCTGTTGTGATCACAGTTAGACCCAGATATGTGTGCCTTCACGCTGTACACGTTCATGGGCAGTTACAGGATATCCTCAACCTCAGTGCAGAACAGTCTCATGAACAGACAAGAACATATCTGTTCTTGCTAATACATGAATAATACATTGTAGATGCAGCTGCTGGAGGGATTGAGAGTAAACCCCTTTTTGCTTATGTACATGACTACTCCTGGATCAGACCCGCATAGAAATCCACGTGCATTCACTTAAAAACAGGAAGCTGCAGGAGAGGAAACCTTGGGGAGCTTCTGGGAAGCAGAGCTTGTGATGGACATCATTCAACTCACACAGAGTCTCTCAACAGCAGCTCCTCTGGCTTGTTTGTCCTTCCTGCTCTGCTTCTCAAGGGATTTGAGTTTTGATAGGGCTGTGGAGACTCGCTGTTCTTTCCACAGCTGGCTGGATGTAGTGCCTGCAAACCTGATTGCTGCAGAGCCCGAAGAGAAGGAAGGAAAGTGGTTTTGGGAAGCATTTTCCAGTTATTGTTGACTCCAGCTGCTGTCATTTTTCATTATAACTTAGGCATGAAGGAAGCGGCTTGGCACAGGCACCCAGCTCCCAGTTGGTACCATTCTGTGAGCTCCACGCTCCCAGCAAAGATCACGTATTTATTATCATTGCTGCTTCCTCTGTACAGATCATCCTTTCTCTTGTTTAGTAGCCTGAGACAGAGATCCTCGTGCTGTGAAGGGCTGGCCCATGCTGGCTCCAGCTGAGGGGACAGGGGAGCTTTGCCTCAGCTTTCTGCCTGCACTGCCTCTGCTGCTGGGAGGCGCAAACTGGGGTTCAGGCAGAGGCCAGACTAGTTTGGTGCTTTGCTCTGTTGAAGCCAATAGAGACAGTTCCATGGAGTCTCCCTTTAAGAGTCAGTAATAAATGCAGCATGATCCCATAAAAAACAGTGCTTGGTCCAGTTAAATGTAATGGAACAAAACTCACTGTGCCCTGATCTGATGCTCACTGCGTGCTGGATGATGCTGTCTTTTCCTGAGGATTACTGTGCTCTAGAAAACTGAGGGGAGCTATCAGACATGCAAGGGCTGTGGTACTTGGTACCAGAGCATGATTCAGGCTGCTATGGGCAGACTTCTGAAAGTGCTTTTTGTAGTTTTTCTCTGTTGATGTCTCTTTAGGAAGCGGTCATACATTTCTCTTACCAATTCTGGCCTGTGTTTTTCCTCACACATCTCCTACTCCACGAGGAGATCTGGTGTGGGCATGTCTAAAGTTCTAGCCAGATCCCTGCTGTTTGGTTGGGGCTTTTCGTAATGGTTGGCTTTAGATCAGCAAGAGCTAAAGATAAATCAGTTCTCGATGCTCAGAGAAAGCATGGGGCCCCCCAGCAGCGCATCTTCGAGAGCAGCCGGCCCCTCGGAAATGTGACCTTGCCACTTGACAAGTTCTTGGCAGTCTTGCTTCAAACTTGACTTGTTTTGCTTTTCTTGTAGTGACCTGGAAATCAGGCAGCGTTGGAAGCAGCTCAGATGTGCAGCTTGTGGATAATGTCAGAGTGATGTTACCTCAGATGCCTTTCTAAGGAGGGTATCTAGGGAGACGTTAGCCAGGGAAGACACTGGATTGCCTCCACTGTTGCGAGGTCCATCACACAGATCTAAGCATGTTTTATTGTTTATAAGGCTGCAGATTTTCACTAACATTGTTAGGCTATTTCTGTTTTCATAATAAAACTTCCAGATCAGAATGAATGGACTCAGCAGAGCATTTACTGAGACTCCTCCATGTATTAGCATTGTCTTTGGCTGCGAAGTAACAGTTAGCTAAGACGCAGGTACATATGCAGTGATGGAAAGAACTTGTAATTTCCCAAGGCACATAATGCCAGGATGCCTTCTGGGGAGGGGACAGCTGTGAGTGTTCATGAAGTTAATGAAAAGAACAGGAATAAATTCCAGGAGTGCTGGATTTTGATCCTGATTCAGCTTAAAACTCCTGTCACTCAAGCTGCTTCATCTCTGTGTTCTTGGTTCCTCCACCCTGAAGCAAGGCTAGTTGACTGCTTAGAGACCTGACAGCATCCATGAGCTGGGCCACATGTCTTCAAAGAGCAAAAAATGACTCCTCTTCCTCACTTGAGCAGCATCCTCATTGTGGCTTTCTGCATTCAATACATAGAGCGCCCATAATGCTCACTCACTGCTTCTCCTCTCCATTATTAAACATCTGTGCACACCCTGTGGGGTGAAGAGCAGCAGCACCACCCGCTTTATCTTTCCTCATCATCCACATTTCCAGCACAGCCAATTAGGTAACCACAGAGCTGCCACCTTCCAGAGCACCCGGGAGGCAGCAAGTGCAGTGTGTGACCCCGTGTGTGCCAGCGCATGCGCCCAGCTTGGTTCGAGGCACATCCTCTGGTAGGATTTATTATAGATGAGCACTGAAGTCCTCTTCTCTCTCTGCCTCCCTCTGTTCTTTCTCACTCTGCTTTGTTCAGTGGCCTTGAGGTAATGCATCAGCTTTTCATCAGGGGTGTCTTTAAGCACCTCCGTCTAAGAGCAGGTGTGAACAAGGTGTTTGGGGTGCTCTGTTAATATGGCAAGGGCAACATGTGAAAACATCTGCCCGCGTGAACTAACATGATAGTGAGCAGCAGGCAGCTGGCCAGATGTGCCCTTGAAGCATCTTCAGCTTGTGCCTTGTTTCTTTTGTTCTTGCGGTTGCCTGGGCTGCTTTTAGAAGGAGAACTCACAACCCAAGCTGTTCCTTATTTATTTATTTGGTCACAGGTTTGATGGGGTGGTGGTTGGGGATTGATGGGGAGGGTGGCAGGGCACTTGTGTGCATGTCTTACGGGGGCTGAGCTGAGGCTGTAATTGCATTACTACAGGGAATCTAGTTAGGGGATGAAAGCAGTTTCACTCCCCTGGCAGGAAGGAAATGTGAGCCCTTGAATCAGTGCAGTATGTGATGTTCGGAGATGCGTCCTCCCCTGGTCTGATCCTCAAATCTGATCACGCCTCGAGTCGCAGTTGTTTTAATTAAACTCAGAGGAATTCTGCACATTGTGCTGCAAGATTAACATTTTTGTTTAATTAGAAACACTCAGGAAGAATAGTTGTAGCAGGCCTCCCCCCCAGAACCCACGTGCACGCAGACACCCCGCCAGTCCAGAGGGTTATTCTCTCTGTGGATTAACTGGCTGATGAAATTAGAGGCCGGGGGTTTGAGCCAGGTGGAGCAGCAGCACCAGGGAGCAGGATGAAGGCAGGAATCAATAATGATGTCATCTGCAGCCAATGCGGCAGCAGCTCCACAGCTCCTTCACAGCACACCACCGCCTGGTTAAAGAGCAGGAGGGAAGAGAGGACGTTAAAAGCCTGCCTGGCTGGAAGCTGGAAGCAATTCCCAGGCTCCCTCTGTCCCAGGCTCACTCATGGAGGGGCCAGGGGTTTGCAGTACCTGGGATCTGCAGGATCACACACTGTTTGGAGGCTCTTATGATGCCCAAGCAGAGCCTGGTGAACTGAGAGCCCAAAGGTTTGGTTCAGTGCCTGGTTAAAGCTGTTCATCATTTAGAATGCAATAGCCTGGTTTAGAAGGGCTTCAGATGCACTGAAACGACGACATTTATTGTCCATACTGGGTCTGTATTACTTTAACAGTTATAAAATGCTCCGTGGTTTTGTTGGTGGTCAGATTCCTTTGATATATGAGGAGAGATGTGGTTAATACATTTCACTCTCCAGTGAGTCACAATAGATCCTTTAGAACGCTCCAGCAGTGGTCAGAGGAAGGAAACAATGCGCATTTTTAAACACACAATTGAGGCATTTAAACCCTTTTCTTCTCTGCAGTAGCTGTGCACTGCTAATAACAGCATTGGGCAAGAGTTTCTTGGCCTCGAGTATCAGAGCACCGCAGAAACCTTTAGCTCTGCCTTCATGATTTCATAGCTTTGTAGGAGTCGAGTGTGAGGCACAACAGCGGGTAGTATCTCTTACCCAAGGCGTGTGTGTTTGGAGCTTGTGGAGAGCAGTGCTGGGATCTGGCAGCTCTGCTTTGCTCTTAGAGGAAGAAGCACCCACCATAACCATAGCAAGGCCACTTCTCCCTTCTTGCACCCTCTGTGGGCTCAGCCATACCCAGTTTGGCTCCATTCCTTCCAATACCGAATGTGCCAGCAGAAGGGAGTGCGCTCTGGTTGTGGCTGCAGTGGGGAGGGATGTGTCCCGACCAAGGCAGGGGTTATCACCATGTCTGCTGCTGCTGTGAGAGCTCCTCTTGCTTTCACTGAGAGCTGATGGTGATGTATGTTACTTTTTTAAAGCTCCTGCCCTTTTTAAATCCTCTCTTCTTTCCCTTCTGTTCCCTCACCTGCTTTGGGGGATGGATTCAATGCCATAGATTCCTGGGGCTGCGATTCCTCCACATGCTTCATTTGCAATGACAGAGAATCCCTATCAAGTCTCACCCTGGTGCCAGTATCCTCCCTCCAAGCTGCCCTCCTTCAAAGGCTGATTTTGTGAGGGGGAAACGGCATGTTCCTGAGCAGTAGCAGTGTCAGACAGCTCTGTTCCCCAGGAGTTAAGAGGTTGTGACAGAGATTATGGGGGAAGCACTGGGGTTTTGTATTAGTTACCACAAATCAGGCAGCACGGGCTAGGATTGCCCTCCTCACCCTCGTTAGTGAAGGCAAAGGCAAGATTGAGAGGAAGCAGGAAGCTCAGTGGAGCCTGCTTTCTAGGTGCTGGTGCCACATCCCTCTTCTTCTAGGGCAGTATCTGAATGAATAAAGCTAAAAACCACAGCCTCCTCACACAGTCACTGCCATTATTCCTCTTGTGCAGTTTGTTTCCTACGCTGGGGTTTGGAGGGGGAAGATGAACCCTCCTTTTAAACGTGACTCTGTGGTGCAGGGCTCTTTGCCATAAGTGTCACTTCCCTGACCAAGGGATTCAGTGCAAGACCTGGAGCAACTTTGATGTGACTGCTCCCATGCCCCAGAGGGTTTTAAGAGTATGCATTTAAATACAGAATCTTCATGCAGGACGCTAGATTAGTTCCACAGAATGGATAAACTGGTGAATTTTACTCTGTAATGCATTTTCACAAACCATCTATGGACCATTTACTGTTGCCTTGTTTTAAATTGCAGTGCACAGGCACCAAGGCTGCCTGATGCTTTCTTCAGTGTGTCCCACTGAGCTCCATCAACTGCCCTGATTCCCAGGGTGCATTTAACCACTCTTCCTTTGCTCTCTACCACCAGAGGACCAGTTACCTCCTGGCTTCCCAAACATTGATATGGGGCCCCAGCTGAAAGTGGTGGAGCGGACACGAACAGCCACGATGCTCTGTGCAGCCAGTGGGAACCCAGACCCAGAGATCACTTGGTTTAAAGATTTCCTGCCCGTGGACCCCAGTGCAAGCAATGGGAGGATAAAACAACTGAGATCAGGTAAGGTCTCTGTGTGAGACTGGAGAAATTGGGATCTAGAGACAGATGTGAAAAGACTGCTCAGAGGTTTCTGAAGCAGAAGAGAGGGCTGAGAGACATGGGTGTTACTGGTTTGGATTGGGGCATTACCTTATCTTTGTGTTGGGAGAACCAGCTGCTATGGCAGACATGGCTCTGTAGGCCACACACACCTGGGGTAGGTTCCACAACTCAGGCAACCTCTTACTGTCAAAACACGAGCCTGTTGCTGTAAACTGAGCCTCCCAAAGCTGGCGTTGAAGACCTCTTGCAGGATCTCTCGGGCATCAAGTCCCTGCAGTCATCGCTGGAGAGCAGTTGTGAGCATTCTGGAATGACCCTTGGTGCTCCATGGAGCAGATCTCCATGAACAGATGTACCCCAGCTCCGTGGCTCTTGTCAGTTTTCCATCTTCCCCATCTGCTTGTCCATCTGTCTCTCTTGTTTGGTTTCTGTTTGTTGTTTCGTGTGTGTGTCCCGGTGACAGCTCTCAATACTCACTTTTCAGGAGATGCTTCTGTACGTGTCAGATCTGCCCGTTCACTCTGTGTGTGTGTGTGTGTGTGTGTGTGCATGCAAGGAGGGCACAGGGGTGTTTAGTTTGGCATAATCCTGAGAAAGCACTTCCATTCCTAGCTGCAGAGGTGAAACAAGCTTTGGAAGTTTGAGCGTTTGACACAAACTAACCTGAGAAGGAATCCTTTTCACGTACTCCTTGGACTGAGGCCTTTGGCCCAGCCTAAAGAAGATGTGTCTCTGTGGTTGGACCTCGCACGCACCAGGGTCACTGCAGCTACTCAGAACATTCCTTTAGCAAAGAAAGGGAGCATCTTCAAGAGTTCCTTGGCGGAAGAATGGCATTGTTGTAGGCAAAAGGAGAGCAGGGGCTCTGGTGAAGCAAGTGGGGCTGCTCTGTTCATAGTAGACATTTTACAAGTCATCTGGTCAGGGGAGAGCCAACTGCTTCTGCCCAGACCTCTGCCAGCTCCGAAGAAACCAGCTCTGCACCATAACACTGGAGCTGAGCATCAGAGTGTCACCATCTGGTTTTCCTCTTGCCCTGCTTGGCAAAGGTTCCATATAATGATTTTTAGTTCTGTGAGGCACCAGAGGAAACGATTCAGTGTCGTTCCAGCTCACTTTTATTCACCTGCATAACCACATCCTTACTCAGTGAAGCAAACTTACAAGCAGATACTTAAACTGCTTTGTTGAATGGGGTTGGTGAATCCTGCAGACGCAGATGAGGTTGACCTCTCTGTTTTATCCTAACAGCTGAGGCAAATGCAAATCAAACAAATCACTCAGCATAAATAATGAGAGGTAAACTAGCATTATATCATGCTCCGTGCCCATCATCTGAAGTGTGAGTAATGCACAAGCAGATTAGTTTTAATACATTCATCATCTTGCTAGAATGCCTTTCTACTCTTTAACTGGGTTTGATCTGCTGTTTCCCTTCAAGCCACCCGAGCGCTGTGTTTTCATTCCAGTGTGTTGGTTAGCCTCAGAGTGAACTCCTGGCTTTTCTGGTAAATCAGAAGATACCTGCTGAGAATTAATCTCATTTACAGCTGCTTTGAATGAGTAAACTGGTGAAATCCTGAAGCATCTGTGTCAGCCTTAGCAGTGGAAGCCTGTTGCTTGTGTGAGAGGGAGTTCAGATTCCTGGACTTAGGAGCTCTCTGACTTCATCTGCTTTTAGGGCCTTTCAAACTTGCATATCCTATGATGCAGAGGCCTGTGCCAGGGTAAAACACATTCACATCAGGGCCATCTGGACTGCGTTAGTATTTTAGTCAGTGGAAAGGAGTTGTTTCAAGACCAAGGCAGAGCAGCTTGAGGTGTGTGTGTCTGACCTGAATGTGATGGGCAGTGTGATGCCTGTGTGGGTGCTGCTGATTGGAGTCCTGCTGAAGTCAGAACTGAATTTAATACATTTATCTCTCCAGAAAACAAACTTTGCCGCCAGAAGTGTGGCACTAGCACACATTAGGGCACTGGATGCTTCAGGACACTGCTAATAAGCTGCAGTGTCTTTCACCTACAGCTCATCAGTACGATTCCGGCCCATCCTCTTGGGGATTAACAGTAGGAGTGCAGGGAGGAGGAGTGACCCTGGTACTAAATCACAGCTTCATCACTGCACTTTGTACTAACAGATTTAGCACGGAAGCCAGCAACTGTGTTGTCTCTGAGGACTTCTCTGTGCATTGCTCCCTGATGGAGGCTGGGACAGGCTGAGACAGGAGGGGACAGTAACCCTGGAGATGAAGCCATTGAGACAGCACTTACACTGCTTTATGATGGAGGGTGTTAAGAGCTGACTTGATGCCAGTATACGAGTTAGTGGCAAACATGCAAATGAGCTCATTAAAAGGTACCAGTGAAATGGCATACACAGAGCTCTGCAGAACCGGGTAACTGTGGCCACATTTGGTTCTTGTGGACCTCTGAGACCGTGGTCATTATATTGCCATCATCCTGGGGGTGTGTTACTGGGTCACCAGTATAATGGAGCCGCTGTGTCATTAACCACAGTGCCTTTTCTCTAGCCAGTATTTCTCCTTTCCAGATAGAATTTCCAAGCAATTTGAAATCTTTTAATACTTGAGGGTTTTGACTGACAGAGAAGCAGAACTGTCAGTCAGAGGAGGGTGGGAAGAGCCTCTGCCTTCCCTTAGACATACATGAACAGCTCAGTTTTAGAGACCCAGGTTGTCTTAAGAGTTTAAGTGATCTTGGTGGTGGAAGGGAGTTGGGTGTTCTGCTTAACCCGATGCAAGCAGTCTCAGGACATGTGGAGCAGAAGCCCAATGTCCTTTGCTCAGCCGTGCCACCTAGGGGGGATAAGGGAGGCAGCCTCCAGCCACCTTCTCCCATCAGAGGAACACAAAAACCTTTTGTCTTGTGTGTGTCTTTTGTTCTCTAAATAACTGCCTATAACAAACTTCTCTTTCCTTTTTTCCCCCCTCACCTTTTTTAACATTCAGAGACTTTTGGTAAGTTTGTTCAGTTAAAACCCAAAAAAAATCAAACCAAAAACCCCCACACCTGCTGATGTGCAGATTTGTAACCCTTGCCCTTTCAACTAATTCCTTTGTAACAGCTTCTTGAGAGGCATGCTATGCATTTCTTGTACTAACTCTTTGAGTAAGGATACTCTGCCCTCTTAATGAATTTCTGCAGGGGTATTGCAGGCTACAGAAAGAATAATAATCATCCTGATTAATATATCTGTGTAAAGAGATAACAGCTAAATGTGACCCTCCTAACATTGGATAGATGGTTTTTGGTCTGTTAGCAACAGTTGTCCTGGAATTCCCCAAGTACACAATAGCTTGTACCCTGGAACTGTGATAATTGTGTTCACACCTGCAGGAGGTCTTGGAGTTTCACATCTAACAGGGTTATTGGTGCTCTCAGAAGGGAGAGGTGAGGGCAGCATGTTCAAATTGAAGCTGTAAATCACAGGTCAGGAGCTATGGGAAAGGTTTGAGCAAGGGAAAAGGAACATCGTGGCTGGCCCCGTTCCCCCCCCAAGACCATCTCCATCCCTCGAGGAGCAGGAGCCTCCTGCAGGACTCGCATCGCGTTCCCTCCCTGTGCCAAGGCCCCTTTGTTACTGGAGATGTGGCAGTCGCAGCTGCCAGGCAGGATCCAGCCCTGTAAAACTGCACAGGACCCTGGGTGATTGCTCACTTGTTTGGAATAGAAAGCTCCCTGCAGGCAGGCCCGGGGAGAGGAGCACAGCACACACATGTTCTCACACGTGGCCTAACAGAAGGTGGGGATGTGTTGCCTGTCATCACCATGGCAATGGGGACTGGTTCCTCTCCGTTTTCAAGGCTTGAAGCATCCATAGGCAGCTTGGTGGGGGGGGACGTCAGGAAAGGCTGGGGAAGAGCAGGTCCCATCCTCTGTGGCAGCAGGGGACACCTGCACGTGGTAGTCTACCTGGCACCATCTTGGTCCTTTAGAATCCAGTGGATTGTCCTTTAAGCTGCCTTTTGCCTCTGCTGCTGACTGCTCGGTTGGCCATCTGGGCTCATGCAGCCTCCAGGTTTGCCCTGAATAAGCACATCTCTTGCTCCTGAGAGGCTGTGCAAGGCAACATGAGTATTTGCATGTGACATCTCAAAGCCAGCTTTTCACTCGGAAAGGCAGCATCTCCACTGTGAGTTCTTCCTGCTTTAGTTCTTCTGCTCTGGCCAGTGGTTATCCTCATGCATTTGCTCCTGCCATTGGGACCCCAGGCAAGCAGCTCCCCTCCACCACCACAACCCTGTACCAAGTCTCACAGGACCTGCCAGGGTTCTTCAGAATGATTATTTCATGTCCTCTTCTAGCACCATCCTGCTGCCCCTCTATTGAACATGAAGCTGGTTAGATGTGAAACTCCAACAGTGAAAATCTACCATCTGTGTCTCTGCCACCATTCAAACTGCTGTGCTTTCCTTGCAAGTGACTTGATCTCATTCGGATTCAAATTGTGTCCCCTCCATCCCTGGTGTTGGGTATCCTGCAAAACACAGTTTGCTCCTCACCTCTGTGTCCTGGGTGCCAGAGTTAGAGCTGGAAGGACCAAGGTGGCGTTGCTTGGCTTCCCTGGCTCTCCAAGAGACAGTCTGTCTCCAAGAGCTGCTGACAGCCTATTTCCAGGGGCATCGCTGATGCTTAGAGGGAACAGGGGATAACTAATGAACAGTGACACGAGAAGGCAATGGCTGCTGTTGTGTCTGTGCTTACACAGCTCGAACCTCCAGCGTGTTTCTCCTGTCAATTAGAGTGAACCTTTGCAGGAAATTGCCAGGCTTAGGCAAGGCCAAAGAAGCTTCCTAGCAGTGGGTGATGCTGGGGTCTGCTCCCCTCCTCTCCCCTCCTCCCATTAGCCTTGTTCCAGATTTGTGCCACAGATGGCAGATTTTCACTCCGTTCTGAGACAGAAGGGTGTATCTGAGGCTGTTTGTCTTTCGACTGAGTTGATCTATAACCCTTTGCTGCTTTCTCTCTTTCTCTTGCTTTTTAAAACCTTCCTGCCGTCTCCTGTGTGGAGATCTGCCCAAATACACGCTCCCCACACCTCTTCCAAGTGCTGCCTCTCCAGCCTTTGTCCTGACACCTAACCAGCCTGCTTTATTAACCTTAGCTAGTTCCTAACCCTAACTAGATGCTAACTTTTCTCTAGCAAATAACCTAACCTCTTAACTAGAAGCTGAGTATAACTAGAATCTAATACCCTAACACTATAATACCTCTCTTCCCTCACCTCCTTTGAAAAATAAAGGTGACCTGTAATCAGCATCTACATCTTTTTACCTTCTATCCTGAAAATGGAGGATTGAACCGCAGCACAAGAAGGATAAGGAGGGAAGGAGTTTTCTGATGGCTGAGGCAGAAGATTGGCATGCAGGAGGTTTTGCTCCTGTTCTTGCCTCTGCCAGGCTTCCCCCTGTGACCTTGGGCAAGTTGCTTCACCTCTGCCTCCGTTTCCCCGTCTGTAAAGCGGGGTAATGATGCTGCTGGGGGAGAGACCAGCATAAGGCTGGTATCTACCATGCACCATGCCCAGCTGGGAGGTGCTGCAGAGTGACAGCACTGTTACCAGTGCAGAGAAGCTCCTGCATTGCTCCCTTCTAAGAGGCAAGACTTGGAAGTGCGGGATCTGCCCTGTTCTCAGGATTGGGGTAAAAACCAGCCAAGTGACCCCCCCTCTTTGATAAGCTGTGTGACAACTTTGAATGCCACTGTGAGCAAAAGGACCTGCCGGGTTTTCAAAGGAAGATGGTTGCAACCTCAGGACGTCAGACTGGGGGGACAGTGATTTTACCACTGCCTGCGGCTGGTTCACCAGCTCCGGTGTCACCTCCTCTCATCTCTGAGACCTGCCTCAGTGGGAGACTTATGTTAGGCAACGAGACACAACTGGAGGGGGTTGAATGAAATAACCCAGGGGAGATGCAGTCCAAAGTGTAGCAGGGCTCTTCTCCCCCCACACAACCCCTCCTGCACTGGCTCTAGGGAGGCTTCCTGAGCAGTTGCATGAAGCAGCCCTTTCACTTGAGCAGTAGCATGGCCTTCTTCAGAGCAGAGCATCTGGCTTCAGTGTCTGTGAGGAACCACTGAAGGAGAGCTGAGTGTCCTGATAAGGGCAAGCATTGCACTCCTCACACATCTGTGCCAGTAACTAAAGTCTGGAACTGGGAATTTGTTAGCAAAGGGGGGATCAAACCTGCAATTCTTAATGTTGCGAGGTCCCTGGATATCCGTTTCCCTGTCTGGGCTCACACGGTCATAATGCCAGCCCTTTTCTCCAGGAGTGATAAAGATAAATGCAGGTTCATCCTATGTTCTGCGAGTAGCAAACACTAATGTTAACTGAGAGCTTGGCATGCTTAGCACCAAAATGGAACCAGGCTTAAGAGTTTTCCAGCCAAGTGCCATGGAGGCTCTGTGAAGAGCCAGCTCAATTGGACTGCTTTAAATACCCCGAGCGAGCCCTCTTCAGTCTGTCCCTATCATGTCAGATGAGGTAGAGCAGGAAGTTTCCTACTGGGAGCTGTCTTCCTTGACTCAGGTCCTTTTCCCACGGGCAGTGCCGGTGGTTGGCGTTGACAGTCGTTTCACTCACTCTCTTTGTTTCCTTTGCAGAAGGTACACCGATCCGAGGTAAGATCCCCAGCTCACTCACTCACCCACTCTCCAAACACTTCTCTCCACTCAGTTCCTGCTTCATTGACCTGTGCTCAGTACAGATTCTTGGTGGTGGTGTTGTTCTGTTTTCCTGTCCTGCTTCACCTCTGGATCTTTGTTATACCTGTCTTTATTTTATACATGGTTATAATGTCCTTTTTTGTTTGCTGGGTGCACTTGGTAATACTGATACTGTTATTCTAATAACATCTCAGGCTGTGCTGCCTCAGATTTATGGCAGAGTTTTAAGAGCTAATCTCTCCAGGACTGTGAAGGACTGAAGTTTATCTTGAGCATTAAATGCTATCAAAGCTTGGGAAACGCTTAGGACCTGCTCTTGGTTGGTGCAAAGTGCTCCCGAGCCACCGATGCTGCTGGAAGTTTCCCAGTCCTTTGCTCACTCAGATCTTCAACACTTACCATCAATGTGTACTCATTTGTTTGGCTTCAGAGCCTTCCTTCCCCTTCCTCCCCACTCTCCTACCCCTAGGTTTCTCTGGGAAAGATACCCATGGTAAGTAGCTTCTGCGTTGTCTCTTTAATGGAGCTAAAAAGATACTAGACCTCAAGTGGTCACAGAAAGCCAGAAGGGATTGGGTGTGCACCCCTTGGAAGAGCTGCTTTGGTTTTATCTACACGTGCAAATTTAGAAGTCCCTAGTGCTCTGCTGGTAAAAGCAAAAGGAGGTGCTGTAGGTGGGATTTACTTGTTCACACATCATCTCTGTGGGCTCCTGACAAGTGCTGAAAACTCACTGACCCCTCTGCAGTGTCCCTGCAACCACTGCATTCACCAGCAAAGTTGCAGCAGTGAAGATGAAAGGGGTGAGTCCTTTTTCCCCTGGCGAAGCTGCCTGCCTGCAGCTCATGCTCGTGTATGCTCCTGCTCTACAAAGTGGCTTCATCTCCCCTCGGTGCTCTCAGACCAGGGATGCCCATGGGCTGCCCACAGAATTCGTCTGGAAGCAGTGGAAGCACCCCCAAATGAACAGAAGTTTCTAGAGCAGTGCACTGGCCAGCTCTCCAGCAGAATGCAGCTTCCAGTGACAGAGCATGCTCGAGCTGTAATTCAGTATGAAATGTGCTCAGCTGGTGTCTCAGTGGGAAGCTTCAGTCTGTTTGCTTTCTGACTCCTCTTATGCTGAAATAGCCACAGATTCTGCTGAAATGAATTCCCTTTGCTTTAGTGGCTTGGGTGGGGTTGGTTTGGGTTCTAATTCGCTCTGCTCTGCCTTTGAGAGCTACGAGGCACAGTGGATGCTGGCACTGTCACACCCCATCCCTGTCATAAACCCTCTCACACATCACGTCTTCCCACGCAGCATCCTTTGTCACCCATGCACCCACAGAGGAACCTTTGCTCCACGTCCTCCTCATGTGAACACATTGGGTTTGCCTTCCTGAAGGGGCTGTGTCTGCAACCAACGATGACACCATTTGCACTTTCCTCACTTAAGATTTTATCAGGAAGATTACACCGAGCTGAAATTGTTTGGTTTTCATATTTAGGGGTATATTTTCCAGAGATGGAAGTTTAAGAGTCTTAGCACATACGAGCTCTGTCCGTATCTGTAGTATAATCATGTACTCCTAATACATAAAACATTTGATAGCCTGTTGAATTATTTATGTAGTATGTATTTTCACTGGAGTTTTGCAGGGATGAAGCCTTCTGAGGTAAATGAGGCAATTTTCTTCCATGTAGTTACATGCTGCCTATCTCTGCATGTTTGCTGACAGGAGTGTTTAGTAGGGACTCTGGGTATGTTCTTGTAGGCTGCAGTGATGTACAGGTTTAAGAAAAAAACCTTAATCCTTTTGTCCAGGCAATTTTGAAGTTCCAGTGCAGTATTTACAGGTTTTCCCTTGGGAATATTCACTAATAGTAAAGTGCTTTTCACACCGACTCTTCTCTCCTGTAGGCTTCCTGTGAAGCAGGTATTTAGGCACAAAACAAAGGTAGCAGAGATAAAGATACCCCAGGGATCCCAGGCAGGGGGTGACAAAGCCTCCTGCTTTTACAGTCACTGCTTCAAATCAAGGAAGGGAAAGTCAGCTGCCTTTTGATGGATTTCTGGGGATCCTGGTAATATGGATTACTGGAGCTGATTCCATGAGTTCTGGTGCAGAATGCCTGCATTGCGGAAGCCACAAAAGTTGGTTCTTTTGCTGATCATTCCAGTATGGAGAATAACACTTGGAATGGGGGGGGGGGGGGTATGATATTCAATTTTCTCCTCCTGCTGAGTATGTGTCCAGCTGTAACACTGAGCACAGGCAGTAGCTGTTGTTGGCTGAGGGCTCTGGGCTTCCAGAGCTCAGGAACCGCAGGGAGCATCCCATTGTTAGCCCAAAGGGGAGGACAAAAGCAAAACACTGAGGCTATTGCTCTGTCTTCAAGCCCAAACCAAAAGGTGATGATTGTGTCTTTGCTGCGGTCTTCTTCTCTCCTCCCAGGTGGCCTCCAGATCGAGAGCAGCGAGGAGACAGACCAGGGGAAGTACGAATGCGTGGCCAGCAACAGCGCCGGAGTGCGCTACTCCTCCCCTGCTAACCTTTATGTGAGAGGTAGGGAGCACACCGGCTCACTCACACGCTGCCAAATACCTCCCTCCCCATGGCCTTCCTGTGTCCCAGCTGCTTCCAGGATCCCATCCTGAGAGCCACATCAAACGTGACCCAAAGCAGTGTGCCCAAGAGTCTGCCAGCATCGCCCTGCAGAGCCCAGAGGGCAGCGAACACCTTTGGCTGCAGAGGCCACGATCCCCTTTCTCCCCAAAGGTCCCTGCTCTCTGGAAGTGGGAAGGTTTCAGTTCTACTGGTGTGGGTGTGAGAGGAGGGGAGGACCCTCTCAGCCCCCTCCACTGAGCTCTCAGTGCCCCCAGTCTCACCAGCTTGCCACGGGAGGGTGCATTCTCACTTCTCACCTAAGTCCCAGGCAGTTTTCCCTTTGCCAGCAGTAACTTGTCACTGGTTCCTTGGGCACAAATGCTGGCCTTGGGCATAGAGAGCTCTGCCACAGGGCCAGGTCCCTTCACCCGTGTAGCTTGGGAACAGATGACAGGGGGACAGGCTGCTGCTTGCTGCCCCCTTGATGTTCTCACACCCAGTGGGGCAAGAGCCTTTCTGCTTCTTTTGTTGGTTGGTTTTAATCTCTCTGATCTGTACTATTTTGTGTGTAGATTTGGTTTAATATCTTTCCACAGCAAAACCCTTTTGGCAATGAGAGAGCAGGGCTGGTCCTTCTCCCTCTTTTTAACAATACAAACAGACAAAACTACCATTGGGAGTTAAAAAGGGAAGTTACATCCCAGCAAACTGTTCCCATTCCATCCCATCGGCAGAGGAAGCGCCTCCCACCTACACTCACGTTAACTCTGCGGTCCCATGCAGAGCCATGCTCCTGTGTGCACTCCTTTCTCTCTCTCTTTCTCTCTCTCTCGTGTCTCCCGCTCACTAAATCACATGCACATGGAGAGGAGGCTTTTCAGAGTGAACGTTTCCAAGCTCCAGTTTTAAATTAGCCTTTTGTGGCCAGCTGGAAAATTGCGATTGGAATTTGCCCTCTCGCCTGGGCCCCGAAATTCTGCTGCTGGGAGCGTCAGCCCGGATCGGATGCTAACTCCAGGCTAAACCCTTTGCAGACAGCTTTAGCTGGAACCGTTTGGGATCTTTTTTGAAAGACAAAACCCAAGAAAAACCCCAACGAGAAGCAGGAAAAAAAAAAAAAAAAGTGTGCATTTTTCACTCTTTTATTCCTAAATTTCCTCTGCCTTTGTGGCCACTCGGAAACAACCCAGGAGACAAAGGCTGTAACCATGCTGCTGCTTGTCTCCACACCTGGCTGAGAGGCGGCCCAGGTGGATAGCCCTCTTTCTATCCAAGTTAACCCGTGTGTTCCTGAGGCTGCCTGACAAAGCAAGCCAGCATTAACCGGCCGAGAGAGTGCAGAAACCAGCGTGTAAGCGAGCTCGGCCTGTGGTTTGGGTGTTTCTCATGCTGTTTAATTCCTTGTTTCTTGTGTGTTAATATCGTGGAAAGGTAACAGATCTCTGAAATGGATTTGCTTTGGTGGGAGGGGAAGTTCATGCACATTTTCCTTCCTGTTTCTTTTTTTCCCCCTTTGTTTTAAAAGAGTCCTGAACACTCTTGTGTTTCCAATTGACTTGTTTCTCCCATAACATGCTTGTCTCTATAGAACACCTGGGATAGGAGTTGTAAGTTTGAACATTGCAAGGAAATGTTTTTGCTTTTTGGTTTGCTTTTCTTTCCTTCTTCGAATTATTTCTTGGTTTTGCCTTATTCAGTCCCATTGTGGAGGTAGCACGAGCAGGGCCGGGCGCGGGGCTGGTGGGAGCAGGGGCCGGGGGAGCGGTGGCCAACCTGGGACCTCCTTTGAGTTGGGGCTTCTCTACCCGGGGCAGGTTCCTCTCCCCCTTCTCTAAAGAGCAGAAGCACTTACGGATGTGAGAATTCCTTGCTGGGGTTGGCACCTCTGCGGGGTGCTGCTCCTGAACCAGGATTGCTCACAGCCTGGCCTCTACGGAGTGTGGTTGGTCTTAAAAGGTCCCTAGGTGGATGGGAGGGGGAACGTCAGGAAGGCAGGGAAGAGGGTCGTTACTATCTTCCTTTTTATTTTTCCTTTCTTTTCATTTTGGTTAAGAGAAAAAAAACAAAAAGAATCAATCAATTTGCAGCTGACAGCCTTGAGAAGGCCTTTTTTTACTCTCTCTGTGTTTCCCCTATTTTTCTCTTCTCCTCATGTCATTGTGTTCCGCATCAAACCCCCTTAACATCCCTCAGAGCTACGAGAAGGTTGGTGTGGTTTTTTTCTTTTTTACTTTCTTTACCCACATTTTTACATTCTTAAGAGAAAAAAAAAAATTAAAAAAATATATAAACTAAAAAAAAAAAACCTAAAACTATTTAAAAAAAAAAAAAAAAAGAAAAAGCAAGAAATCTTTAAGATGAGCGAGACCCGCCGTTCCCGGGTCTCGCGGAGATGAGTTGAGTTGCATTGTGGGCCTCTCTATGCATCCTTTGGTAATGTTGCTGAGTTCTTGCACTTTTTTGTCGTCATGGTTACCTTGCCGTTTGGACATTGGGCCTGATGCATGATAGGAGAATGTAACAATCTTCTTTGCATGCCACTTTTTCAATTAATTCTGAATTCTTTTTTTCTCTCTATAAATAATGTATCGTTTTGGGTTTTTTTTTGTTTTCCAATTCTGGTTACTTTTCAAGTGGATTTACTCTTTTACTTTCTCAATTGGTTTTGTTCCGTTGGGTTTTTTGCTTTCTCTTTGAGTTCCTGTTTCTGTTTGGATTGGTTATGCTGTGCTGTAGTTGATTCCAAACGCATTGTGAGAAGCCAGTGTTCCTGCCCACCCGGTGGTAACTGAACTCCTCAATCCCTCCAGGAGGAAAGGAGTCACACAGCTCTAACGCCTGTCCATGGAAGCCCTGCTATTTGGGACAAGCCTTTGTTTTGGGGGGAGGGAGGGATCTGGGAAGTGGAAAAGATGGTAAGAAGCCAGGGTGTCCATCCAAGAGGTAGAGCAGAGCCTGGGTCCCGTTACTGCTTACATATTTCTGGGAGGTGTGGCCCTTGTTCCACATCCTGCACACAAAGAAAAACCCTGATCCCTGCTCCCAAGGGCTTCCCCAGCGATGCAGAACTGGCTCACTGGTAACCAGCCTCTTCCCTCCACTCATACCTAAGGCAGTGTGCGGGAGCTGAGCTTGAGCCGTGTCCCATCAGCAGAGCTTGTAGGAAGGAGGGCAATGCCTCATCCTCGCAGGGTCGGGAGGGAAGGGCACCCAGCCACCTGCAGAAGGGTACCTGGGTCTCATGGCTCTGCCTCTCCCCATTTACCCTCTTCCTCCCCATCATTTAACCCTTGTTACCTGGCTATACAGGCACATTGAAAACCAGCCTGGCCCAGAGGCAGTAGAACCCTCCTTTCTGAAGGAGTGTGCAAAGAGAACTGCAGCAGTGGTAGACTGATGGAGGCTGCTGGGCCACATCTGGCAGCTGCATCTCTGTTGTAAACAGCAACAACAAAGCTGACAAGTTACATTCCAGCTGAAAATGCCTCTTTTCCCTCTTCTCATCTCCCTGTTTATCCCCAGTCAGCTTCTGTGTCCTCCCATGTGTGCCTCCTGAGGGGCTGAACCACATGGGGTAGGAAACAGGCGGGTTTTTGCAGTGTGTTAGTTGTACCATTGGTGCTTGGTGCTCTTGCCCTTTGCAGAATTGAATGCCCTTCCTTGCCCTGTTTATGCATATCCTTCTGCCCACCAGTCCTCACTACTCGATAACCTACCCAAGGAGTGGCTTTCCTAGTGTACAGGTATTAAAGCTGTGTGATTTTTGAGAAATCCAGTGCAGTATTGACACAGTATCTGTCTCTCTCTTTCTCTATCTCTCTCTTTCTCTCTGTCTGTCCTTCTCTTTTTCTTAAAATGCTGAGATTTCAGTGCTCGGACCCTCAGTGCTGGTATTCTCCCCTCTCCCCTTCAAGTCTCTCCCCCTCTCCCCATAGAATCAAGGGTACCACTCCGAAATGCTGCACTGTTGACAATGTGTTTCTGAAGAGGCCAGTCGTGGCTCTTCTAACTGTGATGCCAGCAAGAGCCAAAAGACACCCCCAAGGCCTAGGCTCTATTGAAAGAAAGAAAAACACAAAAACAAACAAAGAAAAGGGAAAAAAAAAGGCTTGTTCTCTTTAAAAAGAGCAAGAGAGAAGGAATAGGATTTGAAGTGAGGTGTTCCCATCCCACCTCCCTCCTGCCTAGGACTAAAAGGTGCTAATCACTACTAATTACAGGATTTTTCCTTCGTGAATAGGAGTTGGAGTTTCAGGCTTTAGGTGCAATTAAAAAGGGATTTATACACCACTGGTTTTTATTTGGTTTATTTTCTCTTTTCTAACGTGTCCAAATTGCACTGCTGCTGCTAGAATCTCTGTGATCTGAGAAGGTTCTAACATGAAATTCTTCCGTAAGAGCCAATAAAATAGTAATAATATCAACAACATTAAACTAAAGCTAAGTTGGAGGAGTCCTGATAGGCTGGGATGACACTGGGCAGGGAAACAGGGACTTGATACCTGGCTAAAAGAGCTCATGTGGTTTGCTAGGAGTTATGGGCATGGTCTTGAAAGGCTTGGTTGAGGGTTTGCCTTGTGTGTTATGACCGATCAGATCATGCCATCCTCCAGAATAACAAAGAACCTTGCTAACAGGGAATTCCAAGCTCAGGTGCAGAAGTATCTTTATGGAGACCCACAAAAGCAGAGCAGAAGTGGGTGAGATGAGTTCTGCCACCAGCCCAGGGTGTATGAGAGGTTCTGGTCTGAACCAGTTGTCCAGGAAGTCAGCACACCTGAAGATGGGGATGCTGATTTTGATGGGACCTGTACCTGGCTTTCAAAAGCCATTGGATGCTTCTCTGTATCCCTCAGGACACAAACACTGTCAAACTGGCCCATAGTGAGGGCAGGAAAGGACAGATTCCAGGTGTGTCAGGAGATGTCTTGGTGATGGCTGAGAGCTTCATGCCTCTCCTTGCACAGTGCAGGGCTGTGCCTAGCACAGAGGAGCCTGCTTTGGGAGCCTGGCAGTTCTCAGAGCTGATGAGAATGGGGAAGGCTGTGAATAGCTGCCTGGATAAAGCCAGGTTGACTCACTCATACCTGATGGCATTTTCCTCCAGCCCTCAGTGAGCCAACACGTGCAGGGTCCAGGCTTTGCCCCATGTGTGTGCTGCCCTGGATGTATGCCCACAGGGGGTTTGCCCCCTTGAAACCAAGCACTTTGTCGCTCTCCCCTTCATTTGGAAAGGGAAAAAAGCATTTGGAAAGCTCTCCCCTTCGTTCCTCGCACCGTGGAGCTGGGCTTTAGCAACCTCTGCTCTTGGTACAGGGCAGATTGTTGTGGTTCAGTTGACCAGAGTTAAAACATTCCCCCTCTTCCACGCAGTGATGCCCTGCCAGGAGTTCCAGAAGGCAGCAGTTGTGGTGCTGTGGGGATAATCCTTTCCCCCTCAGCCCGAGCTTCTTGGTGCTCTGCTCTTTTCAAGCTCAGGCGGTTTGAAATGGTTCTGCAGGCATTTAGAGCAGCGCAGGCCATGCGGTGCCTGCTCAGCCCGCGCCTCTCCTGCTGCAGGAGTACGGTGCTGAGTCACCCAGCAGCAGGTTCTGCAGCCCAGGTCCTGCTGAGAACACTTTGTTTTTCAAGGCTCTCTAGAAAGCCTCGACTCATTGAGAGAGGCAAAGATAAAAACAGGCCAGGGCTAAACACAGAATAACAAAACCCGTTTGAAACCCATTAAAATAAAGACCATAGGAAATGTACAAATAGTGTGCCTAGGACCTCTGAAAATCAAGATCAAAATGTATTAAAATGTGACTAATTCCACAAATAATTTAGCCTGTAGCCTGCTCCTGGGTTAGGTTTGGCTCATGTTTCATTGGAGCATCAAACCAGAGCTGCTGGTGCTCGGTCCTTCCGCCAGTAGGCAAGTGGATGGGTGCTCAGCTTTTCGCTTCCAGTGCCATTTTGAGGTCAGAAGGAGATAGTTTCCCTTGCACGATAGACTTAACAAGGTCAAAACCCTCACTGGTGTTTTTAAATGTACCATTTTAATACCTTTTTAGCCTAGCCTTGCTAAACTCTTTAATGGAAAAAGAGGGAGGCAGAACCACTGCTGCTTTGTAGAGCTGCCCCTGTAGTGCCATTTGCCAGGCACTGGACTTTAGGGAGGGAGAGGTCTATGATGGCTTTTGAATGTGATGTTAGCACTTCCATGGGTGGGGGAGCCCCCCTGTCCATGTTTGGGGTGTCCTCAGCTCTGAAATTCTAGTTCAATCAAAGCAAAACAAGCAACTTTGCTGTGTTTCTGCAGAAGGATTTCTCAAGGGTATCAGGGAATGGGAATGGATACAAAAAGCCACCCCCCAAAACCAAATCAAAACTGTACATATATATATGTATATATATGAATCTCTCTCTGTAGAGAGCACTTTGCAGGAACACTGTGCTGTACTGATCTTGAAATCTCTGCCTGCCTGTGTCTCTTACACCTTTTGCATCGCTGTTCTCTTTGTTTTAGGGGAAAAAATTAGATTACACCTTGTCAAATTCAAATAGCAGAGCTAACCCAGTGAAGTGTGTGTTCAGTGTTACAGAGCTGCTGGGAAAACAAACATCCAATTGGGATCAGATTATTTTCTGTTCAATCCTATAAAAAGCAGCAGAAAAACAAAAGAATTGCAAAAGACCAGAGATGTTCAGCCAGCCGGTCACTCAACTGATGTGCTTTAACTGGGAAAGTAACAATGATTGGGAAGGTAATGGATTTCCTCCAGACCAAATGCAAGCCTTGGTCTCATGCTTTATTTATCTCCCTATTTACTTGTGAAGGAAATTAGGAAGGAGATGGGCCTGAGGAGGGAACTGTCTCGTCCTCTGGAGGGACGGAGGTCGGAAATCCAAACCCGAACAGCGTCTCGCCCCAGCGGAATGAACTTGCAATTGGAATGGGAGAGGGAGAGGCAGAGGCGGCTGCATGGACAGCACAGGGGCAGGGACCACCTTTTGGGAGGGGAGGACAGGTGTAATCTAAGCTTCACTAATAATGTAGAGGCTGCACATTATTTTGGCACCCTTTCCCCTACCCCCTCCTCATTTTGGAGCAAGACGGAATGACTCCTGTCTCCCCAAAATGGCCAATAATGTCCGCCTTCTCACCTCATTTGGAGCAGCAGCTTGCTGAGTGTCAAAATGTTTAATTCCATTTGGTTTTGTTTGGTGCTTTCAACCAGTCACTTCACTTTCTTTGGTTTCCTTTTCCGATTAATTTCTTCTTGAAGATTACAGACTATGTTTCTCTTTGAGTTGGTTTAATGTGAATCGGGGTTTGAAGTGACGGGTTCTTGTCCAGTACGTTCTCCCTTCCCCACCTCGCTCCTCCTCCGTTTCTCTCCTTGAGCTAATCTGGAAGGGGCATAAAAAGTGGAACTGGTGGGGTTTCCTCAGCACAAACTGCTTGGCTGGTCCTCAGGTTTCTCTCACTAGCAGCTTCCTGGGAACACATTGTAAGGATGGATTCTGGTGTTGCAAAAGTCAACCCTGGATCTCCCAGTGTCTCTTCCGATCAGGTCTGTAAATCTGTCCCTTTCCAAAACGTCTCTCACCTTGTGGACCCCAGCTCTGGTTTTAACTGAGTGGTGGTGGTGGGGAACCTCAGCGGTGTTGATTGCTACCTTCTCCTTGGAAAGAAGAATGCACCAAAAAAGCCACTCACAGAACACAAACTGGGTGAAACCTCCCTGCACCCGTGAGCAGCAGCAAAACCAATTGGCTTTACAGTGCTCTGAAGTTGTGGAACTGTTCCATTTCTAATGGCATTGATGTTAAGCACAATCTGGGGTGCAGATTTGCCTGGGTGAAATACTTAACCTAGCAGATTATATTGAACCAGACACATAACTAACTGCACTTAAATCTTTGCCTCCAAAAATGGCTTCTCTGCATTGAATTAACTTGCCTTGTGTCACCAATGTCCAGCTCCAGTTCTAAAACCTGGTTCTACCAATAACAAGCTGTATCCTTGTTTGAAAAAAGCTCCTGGGAGTTTTTTGGCCATTGGAACTGTGTGTCTGTGTGTGCCTGCTTGTGTGTGTCTGTCGGGAGATGTTGCACATGCACATGGAGCATGCACATACGTGTATGCATGCAAGGTTGGCTTCGTAAAACAGGTCTGACAAAGCTGCCATGGCAATCAAACATCCCTGAAACTCAGGGAAGGTGCTTCTTGGGACCAGAAATCGGTGAAAACTCTTATCTGAGTGTCTATAGTCGAGCCCTGAGTGTCTCATCCCAACTTCTCCTTTCCCAAGAGGGCAGTTGTTCCTTTCTTTCCAGTCCTTTGGAAGTGATGGGTAGCGCAGTGGAAGGGATCTCTTCACCATGTTTTTTTCCATGTAAAATCTCAGTCTTTCAGCTGCTCTGTGTGAAACCCAGCTGGACCCAGAGCTGAAATTGCCCTTGACTCAAGCTCTAGCTGCCCTTTCTTCCCACCACTGCAGCTCCTCCTCGGCCCTGACCTAAATGCTGACCCAGAAAGTCTCAGCTGGACAAATCTCACGTCAACAGCCAAATCAGAGCGGTAGGGCAATTAAAACAACCAGCAGCAGGATGGCTCCTGCTACCCAGAGATGAGCCCTCCAAGTACTGCCTGTTAAACTCAATTCAGTTGCCACAGCCCTGAGCCATAGCAGGGATGTATCCAGGGACTCTCGGAGCTCTCCAGCATTTAATGGTGGAGTTATTTCACATCCTGAGACCAGTGCGTGGATGTTTGTATATTTGTGCACATACAAGTGTGTAGCTTTTTTTAAACCAGGATGCACAGCAGAAGTGCTGCGACCTCTTTGGGTCTTGGTTAGCACTAACCCTAATCTGAACCCTTCCTTTTCACAGAATGCACATCAGCTTGGGCTGGTGGCATCCGGATCTTGCTTCCCCTTAGTTAAGTGTGCTAAATGCTGTTAAAACCCGGGCTGCTGCAGGGAGGGTGGGCAGAGCTGCCTGGCAGTGCTGTGACCATGCTCTGCACAGCCCCAGCCCCAAGCTTGTGTTGTGTGAGTGGATCTCTTCCATCCCTGCCCAGAAGCAGGCAGGCAGCAGCGCTCTGTTCCCTTCAGACTCCGATTCTCAGCACTCCACCATACATCAAATGATGCTTTTCAGTTCTTAAATTCTGGTTCGTTCTTCCTTTTTCTTCTTATTTTTCTCTTTGGTTTCCTTTCTCTTTCAGTTCGGTTTTGATTTCTCTGTAATTAGCCTCGGTTTGAATTAATTGTCTTGTTGCGTTTCCATGACAACTCAGTGTCTGCATCCCACCTGCCGTTGTTTGCTGTTGATGCTGTTTGCTGGCCGGATCCTGTCCGGCGTATGTCTCCCCATTTCTCCTCACCTCTCCCACCTTGCCTCCCCTGTCCAGAAGGTGACATATACCAGCCCCTCCTCAGAAGAGTCATCCCCCCCTCCCCAGATCTGTCTGCATGTTGACCCCACTTGTTCCCTTCCAAGTTCTCTCCATCTTGTCTCAGATTGTGACCGGCGTGGTCTTCGCATGGCTCCATTTTCTGAAGTGTGGTACCTCCTGAAGCAGGCAGTGGACAGAAGGATGGAGTAGCCAGTAGGGCCCTGCCCCTCATGTCCAGGGCTAGAAGTCTTCCCTTGCAGCATAACAGGGGGGAGAAAGGATCGTATTGCCTGGTCTCTTGAGCCAGTGCTAGTGTCTGAGGTGGTGCAAATGCCCTGGCGCTCTCCTTGTACCTTTGAGCAGAAAGTCATCTTCTAGTGTTAGCATCCAGGTGAGTTCGCAGTCCCTCCTTCCCCATTCCAGTCTGTTCCCCAGCCACACTGGAGGTGAGGGCATGCTGTCCGTTCTCTTGGCAAATCCCTGCATGCAGGAATTCTCCTTTGGCATCTCTGAGCTCCTAATGCCACCAATCTGGAAGTCTTCTCTTCCTTGCCTCTCAGTACTGGTTCCTGGGTACTGGCAACCGTGCAGAAAAGGATCCAATGGCCTGATGGAGGAGCGCACCTTCTGTGAAGACATCTCCGTGTCAGCTTGCAGGAGGAGACAGGGGCTGTAGCTGGCTTTCGTTCAACAAAGCCCCACTAAATGGAAAACGGCCACTACTTCTCCTGGCAGTGCCCTTCCCAGCTGCAAAGATCCATAATGTGGAATAGCAGCCAGGGAAGTGGGCTGGAAGAGAAACACTAGAAAAACCCAAGACGTCGCTTCCAGGGGACATCTGAAGGCACTAGGACTTGGGAAGAGCAACGGCAAGCTAAGCTCTGGTGTCCTTTGCATTGCTTTTGCATGGATGCAGTTGCCACTGATGTTTTAGAGAGGTTACCTGGGAATAGGACAGCAGGTACAGATACCTCAGTCCCCCAGTGCGCCCACTGCCCCCTTGCCCCCCCTGCCTGTGGGGAGCTCCCTGCATGGCTCTCTGAAGCTGGAGGACTCCCGCTCCCTGCTGCTGTGCCTGCATCTTCTCGGGGTCTGTATCCTTTCGTCTTTGCTTGCAGGATGGGTCCTTGCCCTCAGCTCCCTCCCTAGGGCCTCTTTTGCTCATTCCCCTGCTTTCATCCCTAAGGAAGAGCCCCCAACCTCAGCCAGCCCAGTTAGTTCAGAAAATGGAGCCACGGAAACCGCAGCCTCCCCTTTGCGTCCATGTTCTTACTGTGTAAGGTCTGGAAGCTGCATCCACCTCTCTGCTAAGGAGATGCACAGAACATGTCACTGTTTTCTCAACGTTAAAGTTTCATTACCTTGTTTTTCTTATTAATTCTATTCTATTTATTATTCCGCCAGGGCTGAGATGTGACAATGTGAGCCACCACATTGGGTCACATCAGCTAGAAAAAGTATGCAGCATTAAAGTGGGTTTCCCCCTCCCCTCCCTCTCTTTCTCTCTCTCTTCTTTCTCCCTTCCCCTCCTTGTTCTCCTTCTCCTGGTCTTCCTTCCTTTCTCTGTCGCTCACTTTCTATTCAGTATCCATGTGGGCATTTGCTAGCCGCCCAGAAATGATATTTCTCTGCATTTTCCTCTCTCTTTCTCTTTCTCTCTTTTTCTCTCTCTCTTTTTTACCTATTTTGCATGATGTTTGTGACTCTGAGAGCTGCATCTATCGATGGAACCGTGTCAGATCTTAAAGAGGCTTCGTTAGGGTTTCTATACCCGAAAACCACAAAAATTTCATTAGAGTTTCTCATCTTTTCCAACTCCTCTCGCTCCAGGGGGGGGCTGCTCCCCCTGGGCGGTTCTCACACGCAGACACCAACTAAATTCTATCCCGCTCCGGGGACTCCCTCTCCTCCCTTTCAAACGTTTTTACCTCTTTGCTTTCCAAGTGGTGCCCCTCTGGCATTCGGGGATGTGAAAATTCTCTCTTTGTTGAATTCTCTGAGTCCAACAAGGCAAAAAACAAACAAAACCCTTGAGAAGTTTCCATCTCCATCCCAACCTTCTCCTCGCCACCACCCTGCCTCTGCAGCATCCCTCAGGCAGAGCAGCCGCTGGGAGGGGAGGCACCTGGACCACTCCAGGCCGTGGTGGTGGAGCCGTTTTGATGCGGGAGAAGGTGATGTGGGAGTCAGACTGCACTGGAGAAGGGAGGAGCAGGGTTCCTGGGGTGTGGAGCGGGGAGCTGGGGGCCCCAGCGCTCTCGAGGACATTCCCACCGCTCGCCAAGCCAGCTCGTGCCAGTAAAGATGAGAAATTGCTAATAAATTTTTGTGTATTTATCTGTGCTGTGATGGGTCTAATCTTGATCAATGGAACCCTGTTGCTATGAAATATCGCTTTTATGTCTCTATTCTATATATTGTTTGTGAAGTAAGAATTTATTTGAAGTTTCATTTTGTTGGCTTTTGGTTTTTTGTTTTTTTCATTTATTTGTTCTTTTCGTTTTGGTTTTGAATGAAGGAAGAAAAGAAACGATGACAAACCCCATCTATATTTAAATTCTCTTTTGCTCTTTTTTCTTTTTTCTCCCTTCTTTTCTTTTCCTTTTCCTTTATCTTTTTTTTTTTGTTGTTTTCCTTTTCTTTTCCTTTCCTTTTGCTTTTCATTTTGCTTTGCTTTGTCCCTTTTGTTTTTGTGTTACCTCTGTGCGTCTCGTCCGCAGTTCGCCGGGTGGCCCCTCGCTTCTCCATCTTACCCGTCAGCCACGAAATCATGCCCGGGGGCAACGTCAACATCACCTGCGTGGCCGTGGGTTCGCCCATGCCCTACGTCAAGTGGATGCAGGGAGCCGAGGACCTCACGCCTGAAGATGACATGCCCGTGGGCCGTAATGTGCTGGAGCTCACGGATGTCAAGGACTCAGCCAACTACACGTGTGTGGCCATGTCCAGTCTGGGAGTCATAGAAGCCGTTGCTCAGATCACGGTGAAATGTAAGGGAGTGTGAGCACGCCTGTGTGAGCGAGTGCGTGGGTTCCCTGCTCGCATGGGAGCTGTGCACGCGTGTGGGGATGCGCAGAGCACACGTGGGGTGCACGGCGGTACCGGAGCAAACGTGGGCACGTGTTGTGTTCGTGCATGTGGGCATGAGGAGGTGAGCTCAGTCGTGCCTGTCAGCCTTCCCGGTGCATGCGTGGCACTGCCCCTGGCTGACTGCGGTACCTGTTTCTGCCTGTGCCTTCTGATGTGCGTGTGAGGAGCCTGGGGCTGCAGTTAAGCATGTCAAAAGGTGGTCGTGCATGGGAGAAGGGGCAACGTGGCTGTGTGGGCATGTGGATGCCTGACTGCATGTGTGTAAGCCCGTGTTGTTAGCAGCCTGTATGTACATGCGTAGGTGTGTGAGCATGAGCAGGAAGGCAGACTTGGGCACCACAAGTGCCATGTGCTGGGATCTGTGCATGTGTCTTTGGGGATCCCGCGCACAAAGGAACCCCCAGTGAAGGGGAAGCTGGTGGCTTGAGATCTGGCCTCGCTTTAGGACCGCTGGGCTGTTTGTTATGAAGGAAAGCAGGATCCAGACCCCTGCATGCTTGTTTCTGTCCTGGGCTGTGAGGCTTGCTGGGCAGTTTGCAAGGAGCCTTGGGTGCCTTGAAGCCTGCATGCCATCCTGTTCCAAGGTCAGAGATCCAGCCAAGGCTCTGAGGATCTCTGGCACGTGTACCCTTGCAGTAGAGCCTAGTTCCAGCGTCTTAGTGGCCGCTGTTGCCTCAGCAAGAGGGGGAATAACCCCAGCTTCCAGCTAGCAATTCCCAAGAGGAGCACGGGTGCAATCTTCAATCTATTCTGTCCTCAGCAGGGGAGTATTAAAACCCAAGCGGGATGCCCCTGTGGTTGGGTGAGTGGAGAGCTCTTTGTATGAGCTGGTGTCTGCTCTGAGTGATGGCATTGCCCACGAGGGATCTGGGGAGAAGAGGGGGTGGGAAAGGATGGGGGGGGGGGGAGGGAGAGGAGGAGAAATACTTTGGAGAAGGGGAGGGATGAAGAAACCCAGTCCTGTTGTGTCAGTGCATCAGACTGAGGAAGGTCGGACAATAGAAATGAGTAGGGACAAGAGAATCTTGACGTGACGCTTCCTGAGCTTTTGCACAGGGAGTGGGCTCATGTGCTAGCAGGAGGATGCCTGGGGCTGGACTGAGGTGCTCTTTATTTTCCTGAGTATTTTCTTCCTTCTGCTTTTTCCCTGTCTTACCATATCAATTCAGGAAGCTGCTGCGTAAGATACATTGCTTCTGCTTCTATTCTGTCTCCTCAGATGAGGAATCTGGCCCTGCTGGTACCTTCTGCCTTTTGTCATTTTATTCCTATTCTCTTCTGGTCCTGCATGTAAGCATCCGCAGTCTTTCCCATGCAGAGGATGAAAGGAGAAATTAGAGCTTTAGAGGTGCTCAGGTCTAGAGAAGATGAGGTTGGAAAGGGTCTAAAACATGTCGTAAAACACGTAAAGCTTTCTGCTGAGTGTCTGACATCGTGCGTGCGATCTCCAGCGAGCTCAGTCATAGAACCATGGAGTGCTTTGGGTTGGAAGGGACCTTAAAGCTCCTCCAGCTCCAACCCCTGCCAGGGCAGGGACCCCTTCCACTGGAGCAGCTTGCTCCAAGCCCCTGTGTCCAACCTGGCCTTAACTTCCTTAAACAAAGCCAAAGGGGATGATGTGGATGAGGGGCAGGGAGGATGAGTGTTAACACATGCTTGTGGCTCGAGAGGCAGCACTCCAGGTACTTCGGTTCTGGAGAGCTCATCCTCACCCTCCCGCTGCCCGCACACTCAGCCTGGGGCATCGGCAGAGCCCGCGCCTGTCGGAGGATCCGGTTCCGTGCTCGGAGGAGCTCCGGGATAACTGCCTTTCCTTAGTGCCGCGTGAGCTGGCGGATGCGCGGCTGAAGCCGGTGCTAATGATTCCAGATGTTTAGCTGAACACTTCCCTTTTGATGGAGCAGTTTAAGGAGGATAATAGAGTGGATAACTAGGTTCATAATATTTCAGCAGCACTTTACTGAGCTGCCGCGCTGGGATTGGTGCTGTGCCTCTGGCTCCTACAGCCATAACCAGCCCAATTAGGCACCATTTCATCTTCTGTGGGCTTTATTTAAATGTCTGTTCTTCCTGATTCTCAGCACTCCCCAAGGCTCCTGGGACGCCCATGGTGACAGAGACAACAGCAACAAGTATCACCATCACCTGGGACTCTGGAAACCCAGACCCTGTGTCCTACTATGTCATTGAGTACAAGTCTAAAAGCCAGGATGGACCGTATCAGATCAAAGAAGACATCACCACCACGCGCTACAGTATTGGGGGGCTCAGCCCCAACTCTGAGTACGAGATCTGGGTCTCTGCAGTCAACAGCATCGGGCAGGGGCCTCCCAGCGAGTCCGTGGTCACTCGCACTGGTGAACAAGCTCCTGCCAGTGCCCCCCGTAACGTGCAGGGCCGGATGCTGAGCAGCACCACCATGATCATCCAGTGGGAAGAACCGGTGGAGCCCAATGGGCAGATCCGGGGCTATCGTGTGTATTACACCATGGAGCCTGATCAACCCGTCAGCAACTGGCAGAAGCACAACGTGGACGACAGCCTCCTGACCACGGTGGGCAGCCTGCTTGAGGATGAAACGTACACGGTGCGGGTGCTGGCCTTCACCTCCGTGGGAGATGGGCCTCTCTCCGACCCCATCCAGGTTAAGACACAGCAAGGAGGTGAGCACCCGGGTCACCATCTGGGACGCACTGGGCTGCGGGGGGAGCAGTGTTGTCTATAGCATTGGCTGGCTGTGGCACTAGAGCTCTTCTTTCGTTACTGATTCTGTTTTGCTAAACCAGTAACCTCCTGGCTGAGTCCAGTAGCTGGATCCAGAGAGCCTGGTGCATGGTTTCTGACCTGGTGGTTGGTTACGTGGGTGGGGGAAGCAGTTCTGCCAAGAGAATCCGTTCCTGCTGTGCCATGTTTCAGAGATGCCTCTTATGGCTTCCAGTTTCTAAATGGCTTTAATAGACCTAAAAGCACTGCCCAGGCAGTGATGAAGCTTGTGTCTTCCTAAAGTTTCTTCTGCCCATAAACTACCTTCTCAGAGATGAGCTGGGAACCCCTTTATGCCTTTCTCACAATGGGGAGCAAAACAGAGCCTGAGTTGTCACAGCACATGTGTTGAGCTGAGAAGAAAAGATGTTTTGTCATAGGCTGTCACCCAGCGTGCTTTTGGGATTTCTGCTGATGGTGTGGGGTTCTGCTGAGAAAACCCCATGTCCTCAATGGGCTTCCCACCTCCAGAACCTTTTAATACTGGGATTAATGGGAAAAGCAGTATTCTGCACTGCCAGGATAGAGGCATGTGATCCAGTAGGACTCTTCCATCTCCAGCAGCTCTGGATAAGCTCGAGTCCTGCAGTGGGACTTAACCCTCCACTGCTTTAAAGGAAGGGCATGCCCCCCTGCCATGGGGCATTTTGCTGGCATGCTCCTCACACACAGGCTTTGAAGAGCACAGGGTAGGAATCGTCTCCTTAGTTAATGTGGTTTCTCCGGTCTTGCCTCCTCTGCCCATCATCTCCTCGGCTGTGTCAGTTCCCGGGCAGCCGATGAACTTCCGAGCAGAAGCCAAGACAGAAACGAGCATCGTGTTGTCGTGGAGCCCTCCCCGCCAGGAGATCATAGTGAAGTACGAGCTCCTCTATAGGGAAGCAGAGCACGGCAGGGAGGTGAGTGTGGAGGGGAGCAGCGCAGAGCGGGGGGGGGGCCCACAGAGCATCCTGGTCCTGTGCTCCCCAGCAGGGCCGGTGCCTCGGGTCAGGGTTTGCCTCTGCTCCCTTTTTGTTTGGTTTTATTTCTCTCTTCCCCCCTCGCCCATCCCAGGTGCAGAAGAACTTCGAGCCAGCGACCTCCTTCACTGTGGAAGGCCTGAAGCCCAACACTGAGTATGTCTTCCGCCTGGCCGCCCGCTCGGCTCTGGGCCTGGGGGCCTTCACCCCGGAGGTCAGAGAGCGCACCTTGCAGTCTAGTAGGTGTCTCTCCTTTTCCCACCCTTCTCTGAGGGGAAGACAGTCAGGGAGCCATTGATGGTGGGCACAGGGGTACGGAGCTGTGGGGCGGACGTGCGCGCTGCGGCGGCGGTTCACACCTCCAGGAGCCTTGGGGACCTTCTCCCTTTGCTGACCCAGAGAGCTGAGGTGTGAAGGAGGAGCGGAGCTGGTGCCTGCGTTCTGGGGGTGATGGGAGGCCAGGTAGCACCATCCACGTGGAAGGGTGGGGAGCAGTGAGGAGCTCATTGATGGGCTGCGCTGGCCCGTGGTGCTGAGCATGCTCAGGGAGGACATCATCCAGCATCACGCAGCAGCTTGCCTGCCCCTCCACCAGCAGCAAGCTGGCTGGAAGGGGGGCACAAGCACTGGAGCAGGGAGATGGGGGGAATGGGGAGGAAGAGGAGAAGGGAAGGTGATTCATCACAAGTCCAACGTTTTTAGCAGCCTTTGGGAAAGTGGTCCTCATGCTCTTCTCCATGAGTGACTTTGTAGCTGCAGGGAGGAAGGCAGCAAGGCAGGAACGGCTTGGGAATGGTCCCATTTGGGCTCTGGCAGAGCGGGGAAGAGGAGTCATGTGGAGGCTTGGAGGGGAGCGCTGCTAGTGACACCAGGATGGAGTGTATGCAACCAAAACGTGCTGGTTTTAGTTTAATGGATTGTCTCCCTTCGCTGTTGCCCCGGGGACAATAACCCTGGATGGCAATATTTCAACCTGGGCTTTTCACAGATCTTTGCTTTTAAACGAGGTGTTTTTTTCACTGCATGAGTGGCTGTGGCAGCTGTTCTTTGTGTTTTCTGTCTCCTCTCATCTCTACTAAATCACTCCGCTGCAGTTTGGAGTAGCCGGGAGCAGAACTAACTCAGAAATGGCTCTGGTCACCAGTGTGAGGAGAGCGGGCGCCTGCCCCCATCTCTCAGAGTCCTTTACAAGGGGGAGCAGCATCTTTCTGGTTTAACTGTCACGTCCTCCTCTCCCCTGTCTCTCTCCTCTCTCTCCCCCCAGCAGTGGGAGGAAAGGGGAGCCTGTTTCTGCATAGACACAATTCCTTACTGCTGCTTTCTCAGGCCTCCACTCCATTCTAAGAGATTTTATTTCCCTCTTCCCTTCAAATGTCCCCCTCCCCTTTCCTTTCCTTTCTCCTTACTCTGTGTACTGAAAGAAAACTCTTTCCTGACTCTGCTGCACATCTGCTGGTTCTGATTCCAGTGTGTTACTTTTCAGAGGGAGCATCACTGTGGGGTGGGGGAAAATGAACTGAAAGGACCTGAAAAAGGAAGTGTCAAACGCTCTGCTTCTGTTTTCCAAGAGGTTTTCCTCCTTGAGATTCACGGGAGATGGGCGGAAGAAGAGGGTTTGGGATCTGTGCTTTCTGCTTTGATAAAAACAGGCTGGAAGAGGGGGTGGCAGCTGATGGCAGGGGGGCTTAGTGACCTGAAGGGTGAAGAGAAGAGGATCTGGGAAAGGAAAAGGCTTTGGGGCTTTTCCTAACTTGGCGCATGCCCAGGTTGAGGCCGGGTTTGTTTCTTTGGGCTCAGCTTTCATAGGGATAGTTTCAGTGCCTGAAGGCTCTCAAGAGCATGAGCTGGGAGCTGGCAGTGTCCTGGAACACAGTGAAACACTTTTTCCTGGCTGGCTGTTGGAGGAACGAGTCAATTCTCCCTGGTCCGGGCGGCATCCTTCGGGCTCACAGACCTTCGGGTTCGGGACAGGCTTTTGTGTCTTCCTCTGCAGCTCCTTTTCTGTTCAGCTCCTCCTTGGCCTGCTCCTTGGCTCTCCTTTCTCCTCTCTTCTGCTGTCTGCTTGCCTGCCTGCATGCCCTCGCAGCCCGACGACACCGGCTCCCTGCTCGCTCTCTCTTGCTGGGCGGTTTCACACCACGATGGCATCTTGTCTGCAGCAGCAAAGCCTCCTCTGTCCTCCTGCAGCCTGCCCAGGCTCTGCCCCTCCCAGCTGAGCTGCATGTGCCTGCATGCCGCAGCCCTCCCTGCATCGCACACCTTTCTGCACACCCCCTCCCACCTCCCTCTGTCAGGGTGGCTCCTCCTGAGCATCATAACCCAAGTAAAATCCATTAAACTAAAGGTAAAGTATCTTTTTCTTCTTGAAGTAGCTGGGTTTTAACTCTTCAAGTACCAGAGACGTAGCTTGTCAAACTGAACTGAATCTCATGGCTGGAAGGAGCAGGCTTGCCCTCTCTGACCAGCCATGACCTTCCCAGGGCTCCTTGGCAACTCTCCTACTGGGAAATGTCAGAGTGCAAAGCATGCATCGCCAGACAGGGGTGGCAGGGTGGGTGCTGTGAGGCTGCATGTGCAGGCGTAGAGGAGCAACGAGGGCTTGCTTACCCTCTGTTCCTTCCTAAGAAAGGGTGTTTCCCCCCACCCATTAGCTCTGCTCTCCTTCCCTTCCCCCTTCCTCACAGTAGATGAAGTGAACAAAACTTACACAAAGTCTATGGTACCTAAAGGGTTAAAAAACATTGTATTGTACAAGGTCAGTAAGGGTCATTCTTGTGGCTTGGACAGTCAACTTTAAAGCATGTAAAAGATGCAGCTCAGGTGAGTACTGGCTGGTCTCAAGCGGATTCACAAATACAGTCCACCCTGTGGCTGCAGGCTCACCCCCACGTGCGTGGATCTGCACACACTCCTGTGCCCTGGAGCCCATGGGAGGGTGGGAGGGGGTTCCCAAAGAGCTGTCTGCCTGCTGAAAACAGAGGCCAGCAGACAAAGATGCTCATCTCCTGGCCGGGGGGCTCTCACCTGTGCTGTGGCTCCCTCGCCAGCAAAGGGGCTTGGTGCAGAGGTGAGCTCACAGCCTCTGGTTTGGGCTGCGATGCTTCACCTCCTGCCCACTGCTCCCACCATCTCAGTGCTGTCCCCACGCACGTGCACGTCTCCAGGGTCACACAGGTTGGGCTGGATTGTGAAGGAACCTCACAGTGCCATGAACTCCCCCAGATGGGTCTCCAGGATGGCCGGCCAGCACTTGGTGGCTGTTCTCATCCAGGTGCTGTAGCCGATCAGAGCGATGGGGAGAGGGGCCGGGGGGGATCTGGGCCTTCTCCCCCGTCACCCACCCCCCCACCCTGCCTTTTTGACCAGAGAAGGTGCAAAGCATCCCCAAAGGAGGCCTCGCTCCAGGGCCTCTCCGTAGGTCCCTGTGCTGGAGCCTAGAGGGTGAGTGAGCAAGCGAGAGCGTGACCAGGCCAGTGCAAACCCAGAGCCCAAGTGCCCGCGGGAGCTCCGGCTCTGCTCACTGGGGCTTTCATAATGAGTATCAGGATGGAAAGGGTAGGTCAGGTCAGACCCTCTCTGCAGTGGGTTTCTCAGCCGTGGTGGCTTTGGCTAAGCAGGAAAGGTGGCTTTTAATGCTACCAGCCTCCGAGGGGGTTAAACAAGAAGCAAACAGCATCCTGGTGGGTGCTGGAAGAGGGCTGAGTCTTTTCCTCCATACCCTGAAAGAGATTTAAGTTGCTGCAGGGGTGTGGGAAGGAGCAGTGTGCCTCCAGTCTGGAGGTGCAATCACAGCAGATGGAGAGAGGGGGAAGGAGATCCATCCTTGGGACTCTGCCACCCTGCTCTCTGGTCTCCTTAGCAAAGGAGAGTAGATTGGGGTCCACAACTGCCCTTGCTGCAGTAGCTCAGGCTCTGCTCACCCCGGGGAGCCAGCAGTGGGGCAGGATGGCGTTTGCAAAGCCAGTCACATGCAGAAACCCACCAGGAGCTTGGTCTGGCCTCGTAGCTCAGTTGCTCTTGTTCTCTCGTAAGAAAGTCTTATAAGTTAGCAGTTGATGCGTGGAAGGTAGGTAAAGTCTGGGAATGTTCTGGAAGGAGTCACTTTTTGTACCAGCATTATTTTGGTGTTATGATTTCCTTTCTGATGTTTGGTTTCTTTTGTTTGTTTCAAATTGCTGGATTTCTGTTTTATTTTCCAGTTTGTTCCTTTCGGTTTTGTTTGTTTGACACATTCTGTATTACTTTGCGTGGCTAGCCAGGGCTGGGGCTCAGCACCCTCTGCAGGGCCAGTTCTGAGGATAGGGGATCCATTCTGCCATTCAGCCCAGCAATAAAACGTGAAATTAGGAGGCTAACACCCAAAATGTCCTACTGGACAGAGCGCTCAGCACCGCAGTGAAGGACTGCACAGCACATGGCTCTCACTCCAGTGCACACTGGGCAATGTGAGACTTGATTTAGCTGAGTCCTCAAAGCAAGCTGGGCCCAAACATCTGTTTGTGACTCAGGGATGGGACTAAGAGACTTGGGAAAATCAGTCCTCAGTAAAAGAGCTTTTTGTTGATGAGCAAGCAACAGAGCAGTGAGAAATGGTGGCCAGCATTTATCTACTGCCGTGCTGCTTGCAGGTGATGCTTTAGGGGCTTATAAGGACGCCCCAGTTTCTGGCAGTGTCTGCAGAGAGTTAAAAGTGATTTATTGCAGTTTGACTGCATTGGGTGAGATTGGATTTGCAGATTTGCCTTGAACAATACATCACTCTCTCTGCTTACCTGATGGGTTGCAATTAGTGATTATTGAAAGAGCCTGCTCCAAGACCTCCTCAAGTGCCCCGGTTGGGGTACAGAAGTGTCAGACTCAGCCCAGGCTTTGCCAGGGTCTCAGACCTGTGGTGTCTCTACCAGCAAAGCCCTGTTCCTGCAGCTCTCCCTAGCAGCACCTCAAGGCAGGGCCGTGCCATGGCAGTGTGTGCCCCAGCACGTAGTGTCTGACGGAGCCGGTGTCGGCGTCCTGCTTCCTACTGAGCCGAGCGTGCTAAAATTACCTTCTGCAGCTCAGGAACACCGAAGTGAGCAGCCCTGCGCTCGAAAGCTGTGCTTTGCACCTTCCCCATCGCCTCAAAACCAGCCCTGAGACAGTTGTCTGCTGCCACCCGCAGAAACGGAGCCTGTCGGGTCCCACTTCCGAAGGTGTCCTCCTGGGATGCTCAGAAACGCCCTGATGGGGTTCAGGCAGTGAGCATAGCGGGGGCTGGACCTGCTGCTGCTTGTGGAAACCCCACTGGGTACCCGAGCACCTTCACAACCCCCTGCCTCGCTCCTTTGCAAGTCTCTTCTCTAAAACCCTCCTATGGAAACACGTTGTGGGCTCATTGCTTGGCAGTATCCTGGCCATTGCCACCGTGTGTTTCCCCTCCTTCAGTCTGTGGACAGCGAATGACTCCCATCTGGAGGTTCAGCCTCTTCATTTTAAGCCTCCTGGCAAAAGATTCCCTTTTCTTGCTTCCTTTCCACAGATCCCTTCAAAGAAATCCAGGATCCTAGAGACTGCAGTTGGGGAGGAAGCGCTTGCCCAGCCAGGGCAGTGCCAGACTGCGGTAGAACAGGGAGCTAAAGGAAGAGGCCTCTCTGGGGTGAAGCTGGGTGCGTGGTTTCGCAGCAGCCACCCTGGCAGGCGCAGCAGGACCCCTCTTGGCTAGCCCACGCGCTGCTTTAGTCCTTTGCTTTGTATCATTTCCGTTTCGATGCCCCATTTGGTTTCCGTTGGCTTTTTGGTTTTTACCTTTTTGTTTAAACAGCAACCCCAAAACAAAAGACAACAACAAAAAGCTCTTCTCTTTTAATTTTATCTTCCTAAACCAAATTTTTGTACGTTTTATTTTAGATTTTTTTGTTACCATTTTCCTTTTTTTTTTTTCTTTTATCTTTCCCATCTTTTGTTTGTTGTTTTTTTTCCCCTCCCCCCCCCTTTTCCTTCTTCCCTTTCCCCTTCCTGAATTTTCCCCCCTCGTAGAACCGTCTGCCCCCCCTCAAGATGTAAAATGTGTCAGCACCAGATCCACCGCCATTCTGGTAAGTTGGCGGCCGCCTCCGGCCGAAAGCCAAAACGGAGTCCTGGCTGGATACAGCGTCTACTATCGAGCGCTGGACTCGGAGGACACGGAGCTTAAGGAGGTGAATGATATCCCCCCAACCACCAGTCAGATCCTACTGGAGTCCCTGGAGAAGTGGACAGAGTATCGCATCACTGTCGTGGCTCATACGGAGGTGGGGCCGGGCCCGGAGAGCTCGCCGGTTATCGTCCGGACAGATGAAGATGGTAATTGCCCTTCTTCTGGTTTTCTCCTGAGCTCCCTTGGGGAATTCGTGTCCTTGGAAGGGGCTTTGCCCACGCCAGGGAGGACACGTCGAGGCCCTGCTCGTGGCTTGTGTGGTGCAAGAGCAAAGCCTCCGCTCCGAGATGTGCAGCATCCTTTGCTGCCGACTCCCCTCCTGAGAATTGGGGTCCCTAGAGTTGTCCTTCCCTGCTTCAGGGTTTTGGCTTCAGGGGGTTCTTTAATCTCCAGCTTCTGACCCGTCACTGCACCACTTGTCCTGGAAAGATGCTCTTAGTGAGCAAGGAGGCAGCAAGGAAATTAAATCAGAGGAGATGTTTGCTGCCAGAAAGCATTTTAACGTATTAAGAGTTCTTCCCACGCATTCCTTGTTCCCAGCTCCTCCTCAAGTCCAAGTTCTGGTTAGTGGTAAAAGGCAGAATCTCTGTTCAAGTTCCCAAAGCACTCCAGTGACAAGCAGTTGAGACTCCAGTGGCCCAGCTCAGGGACTTCAGCACGAACAGGACCAACGAGACTTGAATTGTCCTGGTATTTCTCCAGTAAAATAAAACCAGGAGGAAATGGGGATGTGTTCATGAAACACCCTCACTGTGAAGGGGACACAGGGCCTTCAGGGAATATTTGTCAAGTAAATTGCAGAAGGAAATTCCCAATTTCCACCATCCCAAACAAGAAGTGTAAAAAAAGGCAGGAAGTTTGCCCCAGTGTGGGTCCTGTTTCCTTGAGCATCTGCCCACATCCAGTGGATAGAACACCTTGATCAGAGAAAGTGTGGCTTTCTTGCAGATGAAGCTGTCCTGACCTGTATTATTATTATTAATAATAATTATTAATTATTATTATTAATAATAGTAACATTTGTAAAAACCAGCCCAGATTCCATCCAGGACATCTCTTGTTTCCTGTTCTGAGTTTATGCCCCAACCCACCTGCCCTGCCTGTGAGCCAAGGGCAAGCCCCTCTCCCCATCCTCTCCACCCTCGTATCCCACAGGCAGGAGCAGAACTTTCCTGGCTCGTTAGAAATGGCCTTTGCCCTCAGGTTGTGATCTGGAGCTGGGTGCGTTTTCCACCTGAGGACAAAGGAGCCTGCAGGAGAATGGGCTGTGGGATGGATCTCATGGATTCCATGCACGTGGATTAGATCCCTCAGAGCCGCTTCCCCATCGCACTGACTAAAGGCTGGTGTTGGATGAGGGCTGTCTCCTTCGAGCCCCCCGCTGCGCTCAGGCTGCCGCAGAGGTGAAGGGACGAGCTCCAGGCTGCAAGCCCCAAGTGACTCCTGCCCCTTTCTTGCCTCGCTCGCAGTGCCCAGCGCGCCGCCTCGCAAGGTGGAGGTGGAGGTGCTCAACTCCACCGCGATCCAAGTGTTCTGGCGCTCCCCAGTCCAGAGCCGCCAGCACGGCCAGATCCGCGGCTACCAGGTCCACTACGTGCGCATGGAGAACGGAGAGGCCCGGGGGCTGCCCCAGATCAAGGACATCATGCTGGCTGATGCCCAGGTAAGGACTCACCTCCTGCTCTCCTCCCCTCTTCTCTTGTGGAAGGGTTGGGGTGGGGGGGGGATGCTCCATCCACCTTGTCTCATCCCAAGCACCAGTGATGCTGGACAGAGCAGATGAGTGCATCGATGACAAGGTGTATGTTGTCTTTCTGCAGTTCTGCAGACTCAGACAATAGCTATTGTGGAAGAGTATGAGCTGCTGTCCCAGCACTGAACTAAATACAAGCATCCTCCCTGTGTCTAGGAAGTCTTTTAGGACAGGCAAAGGCCACAGTGGAATCTACTAATTTCTCCCACTCTACTTCTTCCTTCATGCTGGCCTGGTAACATCTGACCTTGTGTGGCTGCTTGCTCAGGGACTCCTTCCTCATGCTGTGTCTCTGTCTTTCCCTTCTTTCCCCTCTTGTATTCTCATGTGCAAAACCTCTCTTGTTCTCTGCCCAGTGGGAAACAGATGACACTGCAGAATACGTAAGTAAAAAAGTACAAATCCTCCCATCCTGGTTCTGTCCCTTCCCTCTCCCATTTCCTGTTGTGATGTGATATTTTCCTTTTCCCTTTATTTTTTTTGTTTGCAGTGCCAATGTGCCTGTTTTAAAGCCTGTTGTTGGTGTTCCCATGCCTTGTCCCCACCCTGCCCACTTTGCTCTGCAGCCCCGTGTGATGGTGTAGTCTGTCAGCATGCAGCAATGCTGCAGGGTTTTCCTCTCAGCTCTGAAGGAGAGATGAGTCTGCTGCTTCTCCTCCGTGATTCATGGGCAAGCAGATGGGACATGGGATTTGGGACTACCCAAACGTATGCGTAGAGATGGGCAGGTCTGCAAGCACTTCTGTGTTGTGTCTGAAAAACATAGGCTGAAAAGCACTGGGAGTTCAAAGCCTCACAAGTCCTGAGCTGTCAGGGCAGGAACAAGCGCTTTGTGCCCTTCAAGGGACAAGATTCTTAGACACAAAGCACTAAATCATGGTTGACACTTTAACCTTTTAAGTAGCCCTTAAAATGAGCTTGGCTCTTTGGCATTTGGCATTACTTCTGCTAAAACGCTAAATGTTTTCCCTGATCTTACAGCTACAAAGCAGGAGGAGGAAGCATTTCCCTCCTGGAGTGGCAGGTTCCCAAGATAATGCACTACTGGATTGAGTGCGTTCATGTGTCTTGTGACAAAATGTGAGGGGCCTCTCTTGTGCAGATGGAGAAACTGAGTCACATGAAAGGCAAATCCTCCTGCCTGAAACCTTAATAAAACTTGGTGCAAGTGGGAAAGCGGAACAGGTTTCTTGACTTCCAGAGCACAGACCTGCCTGCAGCTAATGGCTTCCAGCCTTGTTGAGCAAAAGCCCCCTGTTCTGCTGTTCCGCTCCCTGCTCAGCTCTGGGGGCAATACAGGACCAGCAAATTCTTCCCAAGTGCTGCCCTGAGATTTAATATTGGAAGCACAAAGAGGCAGTGGGGAGGGTAAGGAGAAAGGAAGGCCATAAAACGTGCACAACATTCCCATCTCCCTCCTTTCCAGGGCCTTGGAGAAAACCCTGCTGCATAGGCTCTCATCCTGTTTGATTTAGCACGGGTATTCCTTTCACAGCACAGCCCTTGGAAGGGCTGAATATGTGATGGGGAAGGGCTGCTCTTGAGGCCAGTCTTACAAAAGCTCTTGGGAGGGAGGTGTGGTGAGGCTGATGCAGGATGGAGGAAGGAGGGTGCTGGGGTTTAGCCAAGAGCAGAAAACGTCCCCTTGCACTTTGTGTTCAGGCAATCCCTTTAATACTATGAAGGCATTAAAATAATATCTCTGAGGAGAGAAGGGAAGGGGGGAAGTGGCAAAGAATTGTAATCTCCCTGCAACCACTGAGACCTCCTCTGAGACTGCTTGGTGCAGAGGAACGCTTTGAAGAGCATTTTGATGGCTGAAGCAGTTTGTGTTGGAATAGGGAATGTCTGAGAGGTAGATCTGGAAGAGAACACATCGAAGTAGGGCCCTGCAGACATGCTGTGTTGACAGAGGGACTGTTTGCAGCCAGGGTGTGCGTGCCTCTTGCTAAGGGAACGTGGCTCATCCTCCTGCCAAGTGCCACATCTACCCCAGTGTCTTGTGTTTCAGATTCAGTGAACGCTCCTGCATGCTAGAAAAGGGCTGAGCCTCCTGCAGGGAGGAGAGCTCCACTCGTGTGTCTGTACCTGAGTATTGACTGATTTCCCTTTGGAATCTCACAAACAGGAAATGATCATTGCTGGGCTCCAGCCTGAGACTTCCTATTCCATCACTGTTGCCGCCTACACCATGAAGGGAGATGGTGCTCGCAGCAAACCAAAAGTGGTCACCACGAAGGGTGCAGGTAAGAGTCTTCCTGCACCACTGGGACTCAGCAGCTTACTACAGCCAAGAGGCTCCTTCTCCAGACCCAGCTCCTTTCACCCCACTCCCTTCAGGAGGGGCAGGCTTGCAACAACTGCCATGCTGCCCAAAGCCAGAAGTGTCTGTAGTAATGTCACTGCTCACGTGTGGCCCTCACTAAGTGACAGTGTTCTGTGCGGTGCTGCAGAAAGCCCAGACACACCCAGAATACAACAGAGGATGAATTCATTGTTGTAATCTCTTGTGCTATAAATTCCAGTGCAGCAGAAGTAAGGGGACTGCCTGGTCTGACACTGGAGAGACTGAGGCTTTGATGGCTGGCACACACAGGTACCCTGGGGAGCAGGAGAGCCAGAGGTCTGCTGTCATGGTGCTGACTTGCAGGGATCTGAAAGCAGCAGGCAGGCAGTGGTGCCTTACACTGCCCACTCTTCTCCTCGTAGCCTGTCTAAATATACATGCCCTCTTTGTTCAGGACTAGTGGAGGGAAAAGGACTGACAGTATTGCCCTTTCATCACTAGCATTCCTGGGACCTGGGCTCTGCCTCCACCTGCCACCCGGCTTCATTCCTCCCTTTGACCTATTCTTTGGGGCAAAGTATCTGCCAGCCTGAGTACAGAGGATGTAGTGCCAAGCCAGGGTGGCAGGGCTGAACCAGGGGAATGACAAAGGGCAGCAGGGTATCCCAGCTCCTCCAGACAGTTGAGCTGCAGGCAGAAAGGAGAGGTACACACTCCATCTGCCCTCTCGGCATCTGCATTCCCACTTGTGCAGTATGGGAACACCTTCCTGTGATGGAGGAAGGCTACAGTGCCTAGATCTGGAGTTGTCCCTTGTCCAGCCCATCTTTTGTTGGACTCTGGTTGCCTGTTTTGCCCATGCTCTTTTCTTTTGTTCCTGCTGTCAGAAGAATTGCTTTTCCTCTTTTCATTTCTTCCCTTTGTCTGCTGACTTCCCATCCCTGGCTGTTTCTTCCTTAGTTTGGGGGCAGTCATCTTCAGCCTGCCTGCAGCAGCTGCTCAAGCTGGCATCACCCCTTGTTTCAGGAAGAGCACTACTCTGTTCCTCTGCAGGGATCGAGGCCTTTGGACAGCACTGCATAATTAACCTGAAACCTCTGCTCAGGCCCTGGAGGCAGCACAGACCCTCAGCTGAGGGTACAGGAGCCCTGGCCTGAAGCACCCAGGGCTGGAGCCGCTTCTGCTCTCCCGGCCCTTGCCTTTTCCCTGCCCTAACTCACATCTTCACCTCATTTTATGTTCTTGTGCTCAGACAAGGGAGTGGGATTTCAGCCTTTCTCTGCCCTCCTTCCTCTCCTGCCTGGAGAGCAGTACACAGGAGGGCAAGGTTGCTTTCCAGGACATCAGTTCTTGCAGATGTTACAGCAGGGTACGTTTGGATGTCAGTATCCAGGTTCCTGTCCTCAGCCTTGCAGTGTCAGTGTGCTGTCAGAGGCCTTTTCCTTCACTCCCCTTCTTCTTCCCCCTCTGGCTTTGTCCATGTTTCTTCTCACAGACTCCCTGGTTCTCTCATCTCCTTCTTCCCAAGGCTCTCTCCCCCTTGCACTCTTCTCTCCCAGAGCCTTTCTCTCTGCCTCCCTCCCTCATCACTCTCTTGTCACCCTCCCTCATCTCTCCCCATTAGGATTTGCAGTGCAGGTGATCAGTCACAGAGGGATGTTTTCTCCAGCACAGCAGCTATTACCCAAAACTCAATTTCCCCCCAACTTGAAATAACCATTTTAAAAGAAATCTTTCAAATGGCTCTGTAACATTCTTACCTCCTTTGCAGTGTTCAGTCAATAGAGCTTCTGTGAGGAAAGATTTCTTATTTTATCATTCAGGGCTAGGGGATGAATTTAAATACAGTAATACATCCAGTTTTCTCCTTTACTGTCCAAACCAATTGCAAAATAAAACACTTCAGCCCCCCCTTCACTTTCTTCTCTCCTTTCTTCCAAATAATATTTGTTGTGCAAATGTAGTATTTTTGAGCTCAGCTGATAATAGTAACATTTGTGATAAAACTGAGACATCAAGGTAATGGCATTGCCTTTTTCTTTAACGTCTTTCTGAACATTTCCAGGGGAGGCTCTCCCAGCACTGCTCCCCAGCCATCCTTTGGCATCCTTGCCCATGGCAGGGGGTTGGAACTGGATGATCTTAAGATCCTTTCCAACCCAGACCATTCTATGATGCTGTGGTTTGTTTCAGAGACAGCCCTGCATCCCTGTGGTCAGATGTCAGTCGATGCAGCAGGCAGAGTGGTTTCCCCACTTTGTCAGGATCCCCATCCTTCCCTGCCAGCTCCCTCCTGCTCGCTTCCTTCGCCACACTGCAGCTTCCCAACCTGGACTTGTGCTGCCAGAGCGGGCCAGGATCTCTCTTAACTCCATCCTCTCTCCTCCTGTTCAACCAGAAGAAATGCCAAGGCAGGGAGAAGGAAATGAGAGCTCTAATAGTGGAGTTGAGTGTAAATGACGCGTGAGCTGCTGGAATTAATGCTCTGGTTTCTCCAGCTTCAGGAGCCTCTGGGCCTGCACGTGTCATTTAGCTGTGGCTGTGGGCTTGCTTAGCAGTTGGGCAGTGCCAGGGCTCATTAGGCAGAGGCACAGTACTGCTGCGCTGCAGTATCCCCCCACGTGTGGAGGAACTAACTGACAGGTTAAGGAGGGAGCTGACTGAAAACACAGCAGCTCTCCCTACCCTCTGCCTCGCACAGATCTGGGGCTCTGTTTCCACTCTCTTGGGTGCTTCCTTCTTTCTGTACACTTAGCTGGCCTCGTGCCTTCTGCTCAGGACCTGGGGCTGCCCAGCCTTCCTTTCCCATCCTTCATTACTTCACCCTCAGCTGCTCTGGACTTCCCAGCTTGAGCCAGTCTGTTCCAGTCTCTTTCTGCATGAATTGTGCTGTCTAATGGAGACAGAGGGACCTTTCCATCCTGAGAAGAGGGAAGAAGCCCAGAAATGTCAGTGCCTCACGCTGGCAGTGCACCTCCTTTCCTAGACTTGATAGAGGCCCTCCACGTGTACCACGGATGGGCAGCAGAGCTCAGTCTGCAGGGGGATGCACTGAAGTACAGCGTAGAGCTGAGAACTTGCCGTGATCTGCCCAGAGAAGCTGTGGCTGCCCCATCCCTGGCAGTGCTCAAGGCCAGGTTGGACACAGGGGCTTGGAGCAAGCTGCTCCAGTGGAAGGGGTCCCTGCCCTGGCAGGGGTTGGGACTGGAGGAGCTTTAAGGTCCCTTCCAACCCAAACCAGTCTGGGATTCTGTGATGTAAGGAACCTGTTGCTGCAGCTTGAGAGTCTCTGCATCTCCTCACCAGCGACCCTGTCTTGTGTTTGAAAGAAGGTGTCTCTCTTTTCTCCCAGTCCCAGGGAAGCCCATCCTGTCTGTGCACCAGACAGAGGAGAACACTCTTCTGGTCAAATGGGAGCCTCCATTGGATGCAGAAGGCCAGGTGATGGGCTACCGGCTCCAGTTTGGCCGCAAGGATGTTGATCCCTTGGCTACCTTGGAGTTCACAGCCCTGGAGGATAAGTACACTGCTCCCAGCATCCACAAAGGCGCCACGTATGTTTTCAAGCTGGCCGTGAAAAGCCGGGCTGGCTTTGGGGAGGAAGCTGTGCAGGAACTCACCACCCCTGAAGACATCCCCAAGGGTTACCCCCAAATCCTCGAGGCGAGCAACATCACTTCCATGTCGGTCCAGTTTGGCTGGCTCCCGCCCGTGCTGGCCGAGAGGAACGGAGCCATCGTCAAATACACCGTGGCCTACCGGGAAGCCGGTTCTCCTGGCAACCTGCTGGAGAAAGACCTGCCCCCCTCCCCAGAGAACTCCTACACCCTCAACGGCCTCAAACCCAACACCGCCTATGATGTTAAAATCCGGGCTCACACCAGTAAAGGCCCTGGGCCATACAGCCCCATTGTCCAGTATCGGACGTTCCAGCTGGATCAAGGTAGGATTTACCGGTTTCTCCTCCCTCTCTCCCCTTGTAACCGGGGCTGGTGCCAGGAGGCAGAGCTGGAGAGGTCAAGCCAGGCTCAGCCAGGCTCGTGAGTAAATGCAAAGCACTCTGGTTTCCCACTGAGTCCCTCAGCTCCTCTCTGCCTTGTGCCAGGTAAGTCCCTTTTACCGCTTTCTTCTAAGTTAAGTCCGGACACCCTTCTGTCACTGGCACCTGAGTGGGGCTCGGTCGCTGTACAGGTGGGAAGAGCGTTTTCTTCAGCTTTTGCAACCAGCCAAAAGAAAACAGAACCATCACAGATCCTCAGGACGTGACCTGGGATGGGTTTCCTCACTTGAGCATGCTCAGAAAGCCAGCACCTCGTTCCTGCAGCAGCCACCCAGACCCATAAGTGTGTGGGCAAAGCCACGCATCCCTCTTTCACCCCTCCCGGGGGTTAGGCATGGGGATAGGGAGCACAGGGAGATGAACCTTGGCAAAACTCAAGCAAAGTGTGGAGGAGGGAGCAAGTGCTTCCATTCCTGCAGCGGCAGCCAGACCCAGCCTGGCAGGCCCGTTTGCCAGTGCCTGACATTCTCTTCCTTCTCTTTCTTGCTCTTCCTTCCCTCTGCTGCCTTTTCTTCCCCTTTCTCCCCTTCCTCCTCACTTTTCTCTCCGCAGTTTTACCCAAAAACTTCAAGGTGAAGATGGTCACAAAGACATCTGTCCTTCTGAGCTGGGAGTTCCCTGAGAACTACAACTCTCCCACCCCATACAAGGCAAGTGCAATGGAGGAGGCAGAGCTCTGTTTCTTCCCCGTCTCCTGGCAGTTTTGTCTGTTGGTTTGAATACGGGATGGTAAGAGGCAGGAATTCTGGATTGCTGTCTCGGGTACGGGCAGGTAACAGTCAGTCACTGTTAGATCAGGGAGGTGAACTGGAAATCGGGGCTGTTGGGTCACGTTCCCACCTCTGTTACCGAATCGCTGCCGCCCTAGGGAACTTGCCACTAATTCCTCCTCCCAGAGGAGTCTCAAGGCTTTGACCTGCATCTGCTTTGTGCTTGGGGACCCTGCAGTGGGCACAGGAGACAGACACCCCCCCATTCAAATCCCTCTGTTCCTGTGTCTGCACCAGCTCTGGTGCCCAGGGGAGGAAGGAGGAGGGACTTTGGCTGCTGGAGCAGTCTCAGCCTTGCCCCTGGGACAGCTTTGGTGCCCCTTTGCCCCCCGCAGATCCAGTACAACGGGCTGAACGTGGATGTGGACGGCCGCACCACCAAGAAGCTCATCACCAACCTGAAGCCCCGCACGTTCTACAACTTCGTCCTGATGAGCCGGGGCAATAGCATGGGGGGGCTGCAGCAGAACGTGGCGGCCTGGACCGCTGCTGACATGCTGTCCAAGAAGCCAGAGGTGACCTATAAACCTGATGCTGATGGCAACGTGGTGGTGATTCTCCCAGATGTGAAGAGCTCGGTGCCTGTCCAGTAGGTTTCTCTTAAGCTGCAGATGTGTGGGGCTCAGTTTGTGTTGCAAGGGGAGGCCACATGGGGGGAATTCCCTGCTTTTTCAGCCTCCTGACTGTTGCCTTTTGGAGCCACTTCCCAGCTCTAACAGGGGATGCCAGAGAAATGCAAAGGGAATAAATAAGGGACCGTCATATTGGGCTGCCACTGAATCCAAGCTCATTCTAGGAGCAGCAATAACAGCAGTGCTAAATGAAAAGCAAGGGCTTGCTGGGTTGAGCCAGTGGGGCTGTTTGGGCAGACCCAGCCCTCCCCATCAGTGTGTGACTCTCGTCTTCTGTGGCTTGTAGAAGGAGAGTAATTCCTTCTGTTTCTTCTGATTGTTCCCCTTCCTTAGGGCTTTTTACATTGTAGTGGTGCCTCTAAGGAAGTCCCGAGGAGGACAATTCCTCAACCCCTTGGGCAGCCCGGAGGAGATGGACCTGGAGGAGGTGAGTGTGGGTGAACCTGCAGGCAGCTGCAGGGAGAGAGCTGTAATGGATGGGTGGTGAACTGGGAGCCTAGGAAGGGTGGGGTTTGGGTGTCTGAGCGGGGTGGTTTGGCTCTTTGTCCTTCCTGCTCCCTTGATGGTGCTGAAGGCACCAGGGCTCAGGGTTCCTTTATTCCTGCAGCTCGTGCAGGACATTGCCAGGCTCCGGCGCCGAAGCCTGCGTCACTCCCGACAACTGGACTTCCCCAAGCCCTACATCGCCGCCCGGTTCCGCTCCCTCCCGTCCCACTTCATCCTTGGGGACATGAAGCACTACGACAACTTTGAGAACAGAGCCCTGGAGCCAGGGCAGAAATACGTCATCTTCATCCTGGCTGTGCTGCAGGAGCCCGAGGCTGTAAGTGCTGCTGCTTTCTCTCGCCCTCTTCAGGTGTCCAGGGACCCTGCTATCCTCCTGGCGTGCTCCGTGCCTCTCTCCCACCAGATTCCACAGCTCGAAGCTTGCTTTCTTTGTAAAGCCCTTCCAGTCCAGCTGCGCAGCTTCTGCCTGTGGCTCTTGGAGCTCTGTGTGCTGGGGTCTGCGTGCAGCAAATGTGCTCTCCAAGGTGACGGGAGTTTGTGCACTGCTGCTGCATTTTGACACTCCTCATAAGCAGGACGTGCTCCACTTGTGGCTCCGGATTGGAGTCCGGAATGGAGAGGACTGAACTGTCAGCTCAGAGCTGTACTGAAGCTCAGAGTTCTCTAAGTCAAACCTCTTTCCAAGGAGTGATTTCCTGTAAAGCCTGTGCTTTTATTCCTTGGAGCAGTGCCCTGGGCATCCTGCTTTGCAAGCAGCATGTCGCACCCCCTGGCCATTCCTAAGTTCCTCGCCAAGCAGAGAGGGAAGCATTTTCTTATGGCAAATTCCATGTGCTCTCTACCCCTTCAGCACATTCAGTGGTGCTGTTTGGCTTTAGGAAAACAACTGGGTTAATATTTACCTGCCTCCTCCCACATACACAATAGGAAGCAGTCTAATACTTTGTTGTCTTTAAATCCCCCTGTGGAGTTGTAGCAGGGAGCTATTTGAAATGAAGGGTTTTCAGAAGGGTTGTTTTTTCTTCCCCAAATAAATATTTAGTTGTTTATTTGATATTAAAGGATTAGGCTGACACGCTTCTGAATGGGATTCTCAATCGGATTACTGCAGCTTGTGGTAATTTCTGCTTTAGAACAAAGTCCTGCGTCTCCCAACAGCCTGGATGCACTGCAGCTCCCAAGTATTGCAGCACTGCTTCAGTCTTGCTGAGAGCTGATAGAGTTCAAGGACACAGAGCCCAAATCCCCTGTTCTTGTCCTGTTTCAAAGCTCTGTGCATTTTGGTTTCTATAGGTTCTATGTCTCTGCATCCTTCCTGGGGTGGGGAGATGGTAGCACTCATGAAGAACAAGCAGGCAATGCTCAGTAGCTGCGTCAGATGGGTTTCAGTGTGCCTGATTCTCCTCTCCCTGCAGAGGAGACATGCTGTATTTTATTCATCTATATTTAATTGTAAGGTTGGGCTTTTCCAGTCACCAGACCAGACTGTTCCGAAGCGTTAATTCTTGGTTTAATCCCTTCCCTGTAATCCATCTGACTGTCAAAATCCAGATGGTTCCATGGAAGCTTGGAAGAAGGGTTTGTGTGTCTGTGGCATGGAGAGGGCTCAGGGATGTGGTGGAACACAGTCAGAGTCAACTGGTTTTCTAAAAGCACTTTCCTGGCTACAGGACCAGGTAAGCCATAGCACAAGGCAGTCTACAGCATCGAGTGGATGTGATCTTCCAGTGGTGTGTCTTGCCAGGACCACTGGAGGAGACAGAGACCTGTCATGGATGCTCCCAGGCAAGAGTCTTTTCTATAGGATGAAGAGTGCATTTTCTCTGTTGTTATTTGGTTTGTGCTGCAGAGAGCTCACATCTTCTCTAGAAGCTCCTCCTCTGGAATACTGTATGCTTGCCCACTGTTTTCAGTCCCCAGTCCATCTCTGAACTGGGTTCCACAATCTTTCATGTCTTTCAGACTTTTGCTGCTAGTCCATTCTCTGACCCCATCCAGCTGGACAACCCTGATCCACAGCCCATCATTGATGGAGAGGAAGGGCTGATCTGGGTCATCGGGCCCGTCCTGGCCGTCGTGTTCATCATCTGCATTGTCATTGCCATCCTGCTCTACAAAAAGTAAGAGATGCTTCTTGTCCACATCTGTGACCATTCCGAATGTCCCCAGCTCTGACCCCTAAAGGGAATTCCCTCCTTGGTGCTGTAGTCAGGTGAGGGCAGATGCTTCCACCAGCAAGGAGAGAGGAGCCCTAAGGCACAAATGTTGTAATGGAAGGGTCTGACTGGGGCAGGAGAGATGAGCAGTAGGCTGCAGGGACTTGCTGCTTCAGAGTCTACCCAGTGGCACTCCCAGTAGAGTCGTGCTTGTCTTAGAGTCTGCTGTGGCGTGTGTGCAGTGAGGTTGTCAGGTCTCGTGCCTGTCTCCTTCAGAGGACCTGCTCTCAGCCACAGCCTCAGGCCGCCGTCTGTGCTCTCTGTGTGTGTGCACAGTGGGGGGGATGCAGAGAAAGCACCTTTGTGCTGTGGAGCTGCAGAGACCTCCCTTGTTCTGCTGGTTTCAGCTGGAGCTGGGAGATGAGAGCAGGGCTGTAATGTGAGTCTGCAGGAGAGAGGAGGGAGCAAGCCCTGGAAATCTCTCCCTTTCCTTGGCTTTATGAGCAGCTCATGGTGTGTGGATGAGAATGGGGCACCCTTGAGCACACACAGGCCACACTGTGCAATGAAAGAGAACTGGAGAGGAAGCAGATGCTGAGCAGAATAGGTCCAAGGGGCAGGATGGAAGCTATGGCCAGTATCAAGCTGTCCTTGTCTGGGACATCTCATAGCAAGGCTGGAGGGAGCTCCTTTAACCCTGCTCCATCTTCCATCTGCACAGGTGTGTTTGATGATACACGTGCCTGTGTCACATCCCAGCACCTGAGCCCATGCACACAAGTCCCCTGGGGTCAGGGCCACACATGGTCCTTGTTGGTGCTCGTTAGCACTGATCTGCATTGGGTGATCTTTGCTGGTCCCACCCTGCTACCAGGGTTAGGGCTGAGCAAGTGCTTCCCCTTTCCTCTGCAAGTCCTCTCTAACCTGAACATTTGTCTTGTCTTCTCTCCACTTACTGCTTTCCTGGACAGCAAACCAGACAGGTAAGAGCATCAGATTTGCCCTTTACTGAGGTTCTTTCTTGCTGTGTGTTAGGTAGTGTTTTACTGTCCATGGTGGTGGGGCTTTGCTGGTACAGTTCTCACCACTAGATCTGTTCTAACAGAAAGCCTGTGTCAGACAGCATGGGGCCATGTTTGAATCAGGGCAGAAAAAGAAAGGAAAAGGCCAGCTTTCTCCTGCTTGTCCATTCCTAGACTTAATGACCCTTTCTCAAGCTGAGCAGCAGTGACAGTAAACGGCTCATAAAACGTTGGGTTAATGGAGCAGAGAAACACCCATTTGTGTTGCAGTCAGAGGTGAAAGTGGGTTTTCTCCATGTCTGACTGCTCCATCCAGGCTGTCCCTGAGCCACTGGCATCCTGGAAGCAGAATCTGCCCAGCTTTGCTGTCCTCACCCCGCTGCAGAAGCTGTTGTTGCCCCATTAGCCAGGGACTTCTGACAGGGTGCGTTTATGCCTGTGAAAATGAGACTTATTTCAAGCCATTTCCAAGGCTGGGAGAGCTTTCACTGGAAGTAGCTGATGGGTTTAACCAATGGGCTGTTAACAGCAGTTTCAGAACTGTGGCAAAAATGAGCTGCTGCCAAGCTGTAAAGTGGGGTCATTCCAAAATGCTGCCCCGTGCAGTGCTGGCAGAGCTCGTGTCCCTTCTTCTGGCTATTAATGACATTAAGAAACAGCTAAAAATGTACTCGGTAACCTCCTCTCTGCTTATTGCTGCAGGCATATTACTGGAGGCTTCTGTGCAACCCAGGCAGGAGGGGTGAGGAGCTCTAGAGCCGTCTTGCTAAAGGAGGGCTAGGGCAGTGTTTGCAAGCTTCAGGGTATGGATGTGTGTTCTCTGCCCCCTGGAGAGGTTCTGCTCCTGGCACTGCTCTCTTGCTAGAGGTTGTCGCAGCTCCAGACCAGCCCTGGACTTTGCTTCCAAATGTTTCTCAAGGAGAAGCAGCCACATCAGCAAAGACTTCATTGCCTCCAGTAACCTTTGCTGTTTTGAGGCAAATGGAGGAGGAAGCACTTGGATGTGCAGCCCAGCTGGCAGGTTGGGGCAGGCTTCAGCTTCTGGCAAGGAGGTGAGACAGATCTCAGCAGGCCCAGCTGTGGTGGGCGAGGATGTGTCTGCACTGGTTTGTGAACCCCGATTTTTAGGGTTCTGCAGATCAGAACAGGTTGGAAAGCACTGCTCTGACTTCTCTGTATGCAGCAAGGCACCGAGAGCTCCTAGGCAAGCCAGCAGAGCAGCAGCAGGGTTTGATGGCCAAGGTCACAGGCAGAAGGTTGTGTGCTTTTCCAAATGATTGTTTTGGCTCAGATTCCTCCAGGCTGGAATGGCTTGGCCAGCGCTGGGAGCTTTCTGCTTGCTGAGCTCTGCAGGGTTCAGAGGAGCCTGGCTTGTGCAGGCAGGGAGCTCACCCACCTCAGCTGCTCCTTCCTCTGCTGCTGCTGCTGTGAGGAGCTTCCAGGCTTGCCCAGAAGCTGCTGGGGTGATGTGAACCCATCCAATGCAGCGCTGAAACCCTCCAAACCTCACCCCTTTTCTGAGACATCTGAGATAACTTAGAGCCTTGACCCTGATTTTGGTGGGAGCTACGCTCGGGTCCCAACATGGCCTGAGGAGCTGAAAAGACAAAAGGGAACTGAAAGGCCCATGAATTGCTTTGTCTCTGGGGGTTTTGGGGGTTGTTTTTTCAGTTCTTTTGTTATCATTGTTGTTTTCTAAAGCAAACGGAAGGATTCGGAGCCGCGGACAAAATGCCTGCTGAACAACGCCGAGATCACCCCGCACCACCCAAAGGACCCTGTGGAAATGAGGCGCATCAACTTCCAGACCCCAGGTAACCAGCTGCTAACCTAACCCTAACCCAGGTAACCAGCTGCTAACCAGCCTTTCTCACTTGGGAAGGCAGCAGTGGAGCAACTGCCCTTTCCTTAGCCCCTTCCTGCCTGCGGGAAGGCTGCTGCAGTGCTGCCTTTGACACCCAGGATGCAGCCGAGGAGCCTCGTGCCTTGTCTATGCTAAGCAAGCCTGCTGAAAACAAAGCTTTGCTGGGGAACCTCAAGGACCTTGCAGAGGCTCTACTCAGCGCTGGCAAGGCAGGAAGAAGGGCTTTCCCACGTACTAAATTGGTGCATTCTGAGCTGAGTGTGCAGCTGCAGGAGCCGTGGCCATGCCAAGCTTTGCCAGACCACCAGTGCTGCCACGCTGCTCCGTGCCCCACACCTTGGGGTGATGGAGGTGAAGCGTGCCATGTTCCCCAGCACCCAGGGCTTCAGCCACATCTGGAGCTGGTGCTGTCTGCATCCGTGCCAAACCACCGTGGGGAGGAGCCAGGCCTGCCCCAGGGGTTCAGGGGGTTGCTCCTCTCTTCGTGCAGCCCCCATTGCTGCAAACAGCCGCTGAGCAGGGGTGTAACTGCACTTCACTCCTGGGCAGAGCAGCTCAAAGCACCCCCCTTTGTACACGTGTGTCCCACTCACATGCATGTGTAAGCTGCCTGCATGGCACCTCTGCAAGCCACCACTGACCCGGCCCTGCACAGGCACAGGCATAGGCATGTCCTCACACAGACAGATGCTTGGCAGTGCTGAGCAGTGCCTGCACTCTGGTACCCACCTCTGCCTCCGAGTTCCTGGTGCTTGAGGATTTGGAAGGGAATTTATTGTGCTTTGGGGGGGCTGGCTGTTGTTTTCAGTTTGTTTGTATTTTTTTTGCTGTGTTGTGCTTGTTAGTAATGTTTCTGCAGCTCCTGTTTGCCCTTTCCATCTCAGTCCTGTCCTTAGCGTTGTCTGAGTCTTCTTAGGGTAGAGTTGGTAGGTCAATAGGCACCCAGAGGGGAGCACAAAGACAGCACTGAGCTGAGGGTTTCATATCAAAAAGAGTTAGTAACAGCCCATTGGTATCAGCCCAAGCTTAGGAATGGTTGAGTCTCAGTGGAGGGATAGGATAATGTTCAATCCAGCATGCAGGAATGAACACAGAGCAGTTCAGCAGCAGGTCCCTGAATCAGCTGTTAGTGGTGCTCTTGCAGGAGAGTCTGAAGGTGTTCAAGATCTTTTGAGTGTTCCCAGCTTCAGCTCGGCACCAGTTTGGGTTTCTCTGGGCTCGGTGTTCTATACTGGGTGCAAACAGGAGCTCCCTTTGGGAGTGTTCAGGTTGGCTTCTTGGAGCTTGGTGGTGGTGGTGGTGGAGGTGGTGGTGTGAGACCCAAGAGAAAGAGCTGAGCTCCCCCAGGTAAAATGTACACTGAGATCAAAATAATGACAACAGGCTGTGGCCATACAGCTTAGCCTGGGTGCCAGGAAGCAGCTGGAAGTGCTGTTCCATGTGTTTCCCTTGCTGGGTATTTCTCCTTGTCCCCACAGAGTAACAGAGTCAGATGAGGGCACTTCCAAGTGATGGATAGATGAGCGAGTCTGTCTTCATTGACCCTGCTGGTTTGGTCGTGCTGTACCTCTGGTCTAAGAGGCTTGTACAGGGTAGCTCAGACATGCAAACCTGCCACTAATGCTCTGCTGGGCAGAGGTCTGCACATCTCTCAAGGGTTTTGTCCAGTCTAGCTTTAGAAAGATGTCACCTTTCCTTTATGAGTTTATCTAGCCAAAGAGTTTTGTCCAGCTCACTGGCTCTGCTCTAGAGCTTGTAAAGCAGAGAGAGGTTTTAAAGGGTTTGGGAGAGTTTGTCAACTGCCTCCTACAGAATTTTGCAAAGAGATGGGTAAAGATGGAAATGGAAAATCAGAGCTTGGGGTGCGTTGGTGGTGATGGAGAGGTGGTGGTGCAGCTCGTAGGGAAGTGCTGTTGAACTGAAGGAGTTTGAATTCTGTGCATTGTGGTTTAGAAGAGGACCTGCAGGCTCTTCTCCAGCCAGAGGACCCAGCAGCAGAGCCTCTATAGTGGCCTCAGCAACGAAACAGAGAGGGGAGGTGGGCATGGGAGGGTGCGTGAGCATCAGCACAGCTCGGAGCGGGGAAAGCCCAGCACATGTTGGTATCGTGTCCTAGCCTGAGCAGCACAAAAATAACTTTTCTTTTCCTCTTCAGATTTATGTTGGTTTTTTTGTTTTATTAGCATGAAATTTTTAAACAAGTGTATATTTTATTTATTTATTTTTTACTGTTTTCTGCAGATTCTGGTCTGAGCAGCCCTCTCAGTGACCCTGAGTTTGACTTTGAAAGTTAGTTCCTGTGTGTTTTTGTTCCTGTTGGTTTCATTTCCCCCCCATTATTAGTTTTTTCTCTTCTGTCGCTTTCCTTTTCCAGTTCTGTTTTGTTCCTGTTATTATTAATACTTCTTTTTTGCCAAGTTCTCTGTATTCCCGCAGTGTTTGCCCATCTCATCCCCGTTTCTGTGCCATCTGTTTGTCTGAACTGCGCTTCCAGTTTTACAGTATCAAACAACAGGCCTTTTGCAAGACAAGGGTAGCAGCAGCAGCAGAACAGAGCCCCAGGTAGCAGCGGGGGACACTGCCCATCCTTCTGTGTCTCTCTTGCTGTTTCAGGAGAAAGACCTCGGGTTTGAGGCTTCCTTTTCCCCCATTGTCAAAGATGTTTCGTTTCTGAAGCTTGGCTAAATGTCCCTCACGGGCAGGAAGTGATCTTTGTGTCCCGATGTGTGAGCGCTGTGTGTGTGCCTGTGCTTCTGTGTCCATTGCTTCTTAAAGCAGGGAAAGAGAAAAGCCAGAGCTGCAGCTGAGGAGCCCCTGTCTTTTTGTCTGTGGATAGAGCCACACAGGCACCTTTTCAGGTCCGACGAGGAAAGAGCCATTTCCCATCTGTGGCAGGGGTCTGTTCCTTGGCATCGGGTTATTCCAGGAGCACAAAGCCCAGAGGCCTGTCCGTGCTCCTCCTCACACCCTGGTTTCATGCAGAAGGCCATGCAGGCACAGCGGCTTTGCAGGGATAGATGGGCTCTGGCCCATGGAGCAGATGTTAGGGTGACGTTGCTGGCAAGTTGGCTGCTGCACAGAGAATCAAGTCTTTTGTGATAAGATTAGAGAGACTCAAGTGATTGAAATGTTAGATGAGACTGCCTCTGAAAGACTTCATCCCATTAGAAGCCAAGATCCCAGCTTTGCCGGGTGGGTTTGATTTTATTGTTTTAGTGCTGGACAGGGGGGTAGATGTGAGCTGACGAATGTGAAGTCGCAGCTGCTGCTTGTGCTCAGAGATGGGAGGGCTGGGAAGTGTCTCTGAATAGTTTAATCCAAGTATTGATCTCTTTGGGATTGACTGCTCCTGTCAATACTGTCCCAGTCCTGCCACCTCCCCTTAACCCTCTCATTAGAACAGAGGGGGCCTGTGTGGCTTTTCCAGCTGCACTGATCCATGGCAATGGTCCCTCTGCCCCCCCGTGCTGCTGGGAGGGCTCCCTGGGTGGCAGCCCTGCAGGTAGCCAGGAGGCCACTGAGCAGAGGAGCCTGTGAGCCGGTTCCCTTCATCTCTACAAAGAGTTATTGAATTCAAGCAGACAGAAGGGAAGCTGCTGCAGCGGTGCCCTGGGCAGTACCGCTCCTGGCTCACTGCATATAGAACTCCTCCTGGATCTTAATGGGAGCCCCCATGCACTTGGCGTTTTGACCAGGAAAGCGTTCGTCCCTGCCGAGGTTTCTGGTCACCTTTTACTCTAAAGAGCCCCAGCAGTGGATCCCACAAGGGGATTTCTGTCTTTAACAGCAGCGAAACAAGACAAGGGCCCAGGGGTGGAGGGGGGATGTCCCCCAGCAAAGAGGCAGAGCTGGCTGGTAGGAGCTGGTCACAGATGAGTTTTCCTGGAGCCTTTCTGAAGGAAACCTGTGGAATGCCTTCAGGGGAATGTGGCTCCCATTCCAGATGGGCACAGTGGCCTTTCCCATACAGGGAACGCCATACCGCTCCGTGACTTCTGAGCCAGAGAGGAGCTGGGATTACTTTTCTTGCTGGGGCTCTGTGGATGTTTTTCCTTCCCCCCTGTGCGTTCACCGCGTGGGGTTTCACAGAGCTGCTGTGTTCTGAAGGAAACAGCCTCCAGCTTTGTGCTGCTGGGCCAAGCACTGCCCAACTGCTTCCAGCCCTGGGGGAGAGATCCACAGAGATGTGGAGGCAGCTTCTGTTGGGTTGCCAGAAGTTCTGAGTCGTGTTTGGCTTTAATGCTGCAGCTCAAGGTGTGCTTCCTGCCCTCTTCAGCCCTGGCTTTCAGAGGCAGAGGGACAGACACTGAGCAAAGTGCTTATGATACTGGCTTGCTTTGGGCTCTCAGCCAGGGTGCCCTTCCCTTCCCACGTGGGCAGAGACAGGACCAGTTCTTCCAACACCCCCAGTGTGCATCCGGGGCTGTTTTACTTGGCTGGATGGCAGCCACCTTCCAGTCCAGGGTGAGAAGCAGAGGAGAAATCCTTGTCCAGGTGCAATGGGCTACAGGACAGCAAGTCACAGTAGGAGCTTTTCCTCCCTGAGCAGGGAGGCACTTCCTGCCCTGATCCTCAGCAGGTTAGAATGGAGCCAGGGCAGGCCCCGGGATACTTTGGGGTTGTTTTAGTGAGGGTTTCTTTGTCTATTCCCCCCCTGCCCCTTCTACTCTGAGCCACATTCCTTGTGCCTAGTTACATTCCTTGTGCCTAGTGCCATCCTAGTTAGCCACAGGATGCCTGGTTTGAGTGGTGCCTACTCCAGAGGTCCAGTTAGCTTAGGAGAGCCCTGTCTGAGTGGTGGCTGGAATGCCCACTCTGTGCAGACTCATCCTGTCCCCAGGCCTGGGGGAGGCCGCGTCTCTCCAGAAGTCACTGTAAAACTGCGGATGTCATGCTTGCTTTGCCATCTCTGTGCTGAGTTTTCAGAGTATCTGACCATGCTGCTGCCACCGCCGCTCTTTGTCACACACCAACACCCACGGGGCTCGAAATTCTCCCTGGCTTCCATCTCTTCTCCACTCCTGTCCTCACTGGGGGCACTGCCCAGGGCTTCTCGCCATGCTGCTGCCCTTGCCTGTCCGCTGGCGCTGGCAGCGGGATCGGCCGGCAGGCAGCATGGGAAGCCTTTGGAAAAACAAGATCCAATGCAGATGAGCAAAGCACGGAGCGCTTTTCCACCTCGTTTTCTAGCGGAGCTATTGGAGAGGGGAGGATGGGGAGGATCCCTGCTCTTCCCAGGGCTCCAGCGCCACTCTTGGAGCAGGATGTGCAAATCGCACTTGAGGCGCTGCTCAGCCCCGTTCATGGCTGAGATGTGCCTTCAGCCCGATGCAGCCTCACCCTCCAGTGTGTCTTGGAGGAGAGCAGGTCTGTTCCCTGGCAGTACTGGATGCATCAGTACCGGCACAGTGGAGCGCTGGTGAGGATTGCAGGGGTGAACCAGGGTCGGGAGGCATCAGTCTCCACAGCAAATTGCTTCCCATCACTTAGTATGAGAGGGGCAAGAGGATCTTTTGCCTCCCCATCCACCACAAAAGGTAACGCCATCCCCAGGAGAGGCTGTGGCAGGGCTGGCACAGCCTGGCCTGCAGATGGAAGAGGGTGAGCACAGAGCAGCACTGGCCATCTGCAGGCTGTGCTGTAGGAGGAACATCATCCACCAGCAGGAAGAGGAGCCAGTACTTCCCATTTCCATACCTGGTTGCACTCTTGGAGCGGTGAAGCTTAGACCACCACGTCCATGAGCTCACCAAGAAGCTTACAGAGCCAGTGGCTGTGCAAAGGACAGTTCCTGAAAAGCCTCCCCTGCTTCCCCCCATCTGCATTCCCTTCCCCACATCACCATGGTTGGCTGGATCCTGCCCCTTCCCTTCCTTTGTGTTGGACTTGGTTTCTGATCATTGCGGGTGCTGGAACATTTGCTGCGTAGGTTCCTCTGGCAGCGTTTGCTCATTTGAAGTCCACTATTGGAATCGCTCACACGCATCTGCTCTTTGGATTTTCCTTTTTGGTTTGCTCTGATTTACACATTGGAAACGGGGCCATCACGGGAACACGCTCATTTTACTGGTTTTATTATTTCCTTGATTTTGATTTGTTACTTCCAAGGACACAATTTCGAGCCCTGAATTCTTCTCTTCTAACCTCCCTACTTTCATTGCAGATCTTACATTGTAATTTATTTTCCTTTCTTGTTTCTTCTTTCTTATAACATGTGCAATGGTGATGGATTTTAGGTATTATTAAATGAGATTCTTTTCCTGCTGTCTTGTCTTTTAGGTATGCTCAGCCACCCACCAATCCCTGTTTCCGAGCTGGCTGAACACACAGAGCATCTCAAAGCTAATGATAACCTGAAATTGTCCCAAGAGTATGAGGTATGAGCAAGAGTGAGTGCTGTGCATGGCTTTGCAGAGCTAGGAATCGGGGAATTCAGCAAGGCTCTCATCCACGTACACAGAAGGGTTTAGCTGACATAAAGAAGCTGTTTGTGTATTGAAAATGAAGTCCTTGGTCAGTGCTTTGCTCGGTTCAGTTCTGGATCAGAAAGAGCCAAAGACAAGAATCTTGGGCAGGGTCTGAGCTCCCTTCAGGAAAAGGGATGCATTCCTGGAAGGGGGCAGCCAGACAGATGGGCTGGGGAGTTGTCCTTGGGGGTGCCTGTGTCTTAATGCGGAGCACGGAGACAACCAAGCCAAGGGATGTGATACCCGGGTTCAGATAGCTGAAGGCAATCGAGAGGAGCAGTGAGTCCTCCACAGCTGACACCATCAGCAGCCATGGAGATAAAGCTGAGGAAACAGGAGGATTTGTGCCTTCCCTGTCTTGGCTGGGGCCTCTGTGCTCGTGTTGTCTCCTTCCTGCTCCTGTTTAGTTGCTCAGTTGGGCTCCCGCAGTGACCAGCGTTCCCAATTGCTATCCCAGACTGTAAAATTCCCACCTTGCCAGAGCTAAGTCCCAAGGCAGCCTGAGTAGGGAAGGTGATGAGCATCATAGCCCCCTCATTACCTCTGCCAGTGCTTAGCACGACGTCCTTGTTAGCAGACAGGGAAGGGCTGTGTGCTGGCACAAATGTGCTCCTGTCCTCTCCTGGTACTGTGGCTGCATCAGCACTGGTTAAATCCCAGTGGTGCTGCTGGGGCCACTGGTACGTGGGCTGCTTCCACTGCAGATTGGTGGTATGAGTGAATGTCCTTTGTTGTTGTTCAAAGATACCAAATGCCCTGATGTTTTCACACTGATAACTGGTCCAGACTGCCCAGTGCTGTGTGCAGGCAGAGCAAGGGGATATTTCCTGAACAAAGGACTGGTTCTGGGATGGTTTCTCCCTGGTCTGACTTGCAAACATCATCATGCGTGAAGCAGCTCCATCCTCAGGGCTCTGCACCCACTGGGAGGGGTTCTGCTCTGCTGGGGTCTTTCACCCCGCAGGGGGGTGCAGGGGGAGCAGCAGCCTCTTAATGTGCTCTATCCAGATTTCAAAGGCTGATTTGCATAATGCAATATCCCAAGTGCCCTGGCTTCATTCCAGCACAACCTCCTCTGCTGGGAGAGCCAGAGCTAAACAAACATCACTAATGAAGTGAGCACGAGGCACGATGAGAGGGATGGAGAGCAAACAGGCACGTTACAATAGGATAAATACACGTTGGTTAGAGATGCTCCGCAGCAACAGGAGGACATTTTGTGAGGTGGTTTTGTGCCATCACTGGGGCTGAGCTGTGCCTGGGGAGCTCTGCGTGAGCACGGGCAGGGAAGGGCAGTGGGTGCATGGCGAGGGATCAGAGGGATGGATCAGGTCGGTGTGTGCAGGACCCTGTCCCAGCATCCAGCAGTGGCAGGGAGGGGGAGAGCGAACAGTGGGAAAGGCAGCTCTGCACGTTCCTGCCAAGCCTCCAATTGAGGCAAACCCCAAGGGCTCTGCAGAATGATGAAGGAATTAAGCCCTTGTTTTATTTAATTTGCTGGCTGAGGATTTAGAGGTAAATGTAATTAACCTAATTTCCATATCTGGGACAGATGGACTTCAGAGGGGGGAAAAACCCAACACAACCGCCCAAACCTGGCAGGAGAGGGGATTTTTCTCTCTAGTGCATTTCACTGTGTTCATCCCTTCTAGGAAAAGCCATGTTGATTCCTTTGCTTAAGGCCAGGGTCCTTACCCCTCCTCTGTCCAAGCAGACCCACTCCTCACATGCACCCTGCCAGGCTCCATGATGCTTCCTCCCTCCTTTGGACCTGGGGGACTTTCAGCACTGAGCTGTGGCCCCAGGTGATGCTCTCTCTGCTGTCTCTGCTCTGTACAGAGCAGCCAAGTCCCTTCCTGCTGCCCATGACAGCAAGCTTTTTTTCCCCGATGTTTCATATCCCATTAGCACATGTGGTTATAAACCTTGTCCTAGCTTAATCATCTTCTTCCTAGGTATTAGTACTCACCGAGACACTGGTGTATTTATGCCCTTCTTAATGGTTGTTCAGTTTAACCATGCACAGATTGAGGCTCTTCATCATTTCATAAATATATCCTGATGTGCTTGTGCCTGTTCTCTCCCCTTTGCTGGCCGTTTATCAGCAGGGCTGTAACTAATCCAGTGCAGAAGTAGGCTCCGAGGCCTCTGTGTTGCAGCCTGGAATTACACTGATGCTTTTGCCACCAGGTTGCACCATGCCAGAGGGGGAATTGTGTCAGGTACTGCTCTGGGTGCACTTGGGACCAAGGGAGATGGGACATAAGCGCCATGTGCCACCAGGCTGGGGCTTTTCCACACTGAAGATCAGTTCTTGAGGGAAGCAAGTGGTGAACGCTGCGTTCCTGAGCTCCACCTTCAGAGCCAGGCTCTGTCCCATGTGGAACGAGGCATTGAGAACTTGATTTGCTGCTTTCCCCTCTCTGACTCTCATTTCTCTCCCGCCCCCTGCAGTCCATTGACCCTGGCCAGCAGTTCACCTGGGAGCACTCCAACCTCGAAGTGAACAAGCCCAAAAACCGATACGCCAACGTGATTGCCTACGACCACTCGCGCGTCATCCTGCTGCCCATCGAAGGTACTGAGCACCTCGCTCCTGCGTGGTAGCACCTCAAGTTGCTGCAGGGAAACGGGTGGCAAATGCTCTCCTTCCTTCCCTGCCACCCTCTCTTTATATTCTCTTCGCATCTCCCTGGGAGCTTGGCACGGAGGTGCCTCTGTAAAGCAGGCGTTGGTTAAATCCTGGTGGCTGCACGGTCCCCGTAGTCCCTCATTCCAATAGCTGGTTTAGCAAGAAAATCTCTTCCCTTTACTTGTTGATCCTGGCTTGATGCGTATCTGGCTAAGAGGAAGCATTCAGACCACACAGGGCTTCAGGGGGAGCAGGACCGGGTCAGTGGGTGGCAGTGAACGTGGAGCTTGTCTGTAGAGGGGCTGAGTGAGAAGCAAAGCCAGGGCCAGCTGCACAGTGCAGGTGTCAGCCGCACCGCAGAGGTCTGGCTGCTGGGCTGCACTGATGGGAGGGGTGCTCGCTGCGCAGCTCCAGCTGCAGTCCTGCCCCCTGCGAGGCTCAGCAGAGAAGGGGTCCGGGGTAGCCCCTAGGTCAGAAACTGTTTCTTGAGCTTCTTGTGTGAGGGCTGGTGCAGCCAGGACATTTACACTGGGTTTCACAACTGGGGCTCTTGACAGAGCTGGGATGAGAGGGGGCTCTTGGTGATGGAGGTGATGCAGTTGAACAGGGCTCGTGCTTTGGTTGCTGCTGCTGAGATAATACTTCAGTTCCATTGTCTCGGGTTGTGTGTGGCTGTGCTGGGCAGATAAAGCGTTTAAGATCAGTCTTGCATTGCCAAGAGCTGATCATCGGAGTAGAGAGGCTGTGGGATGTCCCAGTAACCCCCTGCTGAACGGAAAGGTTAACGCAGAAGCCTTCATGACAAGGGAATTGCTGGAATAATCTCCCTGTTCCGAGGTAATGCTGAGGGATGTGGAGAAGTGGCAGAGCTGTTCTGAGGTAACACCAGATCGTGGTGATCTGCACAAGTCTGGTTTGGTCCTGTCTGCCATGAGAGGGTTTGAAACCTTTCTGACTCTGAAGATGACTCTGTTCTGGCTTGGTTTGCTTCTGAGATGAATATTGTATGAGCCAAGCAATGGCTCTAAAAAGTTGCCTTGTCATTCAAGGGAAAGAACAGAGCACAAGTGTGGAAGTGAAGGGCTCTTGGGGCTGGTCTTGGCTCTCAGGAAGGAGTTGGATGCAGGCAGCAATCCCATCTCTGCCCAGGTGGCCTCGTGAGGGCCCAGTGGTGCAAGTATGGCTGGCCAGGGCTTAATTCTCGAGCATCTGAGAGGTTCGGAGATGTCTTGGCTGGCGTGTTCCTTCCTACTGGAAGATGCTCCATGCTGAGGGCTGGAAGATGAAAGGAGCTGGAGGAATTAGTTGTTGCTTTCCCTTTGTTTGAAGCTGGATTTGTCAAGGCTGCAGATCTCCGCCGTCTGCTTGGTCAGGAAGAAGCAGTGGCTTTAATTCTGGGACTTCTCTGTGATGGGGCCCATCACACAGTGACACACTGCAGGGGCTCATGGCCACCGTTTGCAAGCACAGAGCGGACCCAGGGGGCTGGAGAGGAGGTGAATGTGGAAGCTGAGCCTCGGTGATGTCCCCACTGCTGCAGCCCAGCCACCTCCCCCTGGAGCCTGAGCCCGGGCAGGAAGGGGGCAGGAATCCGCTCCTACCAGAGCTGAGCTCAGCCGGCACCGCGGGGGCTGGCAGGCAGTCGGCACAGGTCGCCCCTCGCCAGCAGGCACAGCCATGGCTCTTCTGCAGCAGGATGGGGACAGCAGCCCCATCTCCTGGGGTACCGCTCCCCTGCAGACAGGGGTTAAGGGCTCGGTGCGGAGTGAACCACAGGGGAGCAGGACCCTGCCCCTCGCCAGCCTCGTGGCTCTGCAGCTCAACCTGAAGCTTGCCAGGGTCTGTTCTCACTGCAGAGCACTTTGCTGCTGCCACGGCCCAGTCACCCTCCTGGCTCTGGCAGCACCTCCTGCCTCCAGCGAGGACATGGGCAATGCAGCTGTAGCTCAATAGCCTGGAACTCCTGAATAGGAAAGAGCCCACTCCTAAAACCGACAGCGGACAGCTCAGAGCTGGTCAGAGGCTGTCATTTCAAAGCCTTTCCTGGCTGAATCGAGCCTGGTTTTATTCCTTGCTTTGCCCAGCTGTAGCTCACCACCTGGGGTGAGACTGTGGACAGCACAGTGCATCAGCCAGCTCCATTTGCTGCCATTTGCTGGCTCTTCTGGGACAAGGACTTAGTTTTGTCCTTTTGGACCAGAGAAGGAAGAGCCCTGGACCAGGACTTTTGCTCCCGTTAGCACACCAGGGAGATGACCGTGATTTCAAGGCTTGAGATTCAGTCTCTTTAATGCCTTGTGCAAGCAGTTGTTTGTTTCCCTTCAATGCAGACCCTCGAGCAGGAGCTTGAGCTAAGAGAAGCTCTAAGCCTGTTACCCCCAGCTGTGATTCTAACCCATCAAGCCACCATGTCTCCAGTACTTTTGCAGGGGGATTCTCTATACCAACATCTCCTCACGCTTCCAACTGTATAGAAAGTCCTGTGCAATGCACTCACTTGCTCTTGCTCTGATCTAATGCAGGGATTGTGGGCAGTGATTACATTAACGCCAACTACATTGATGGCTATCGGAAGCAGAATGCCTACATTGCCACGCAGGGGCCTCTGCCAGAGACCTTTGGAGACTTTTGGAGGATGGTGTGGGAGCAGCGTTCAGCCACTATTGTTATGATGACTAAGCTGGAGGAGAAATCACGGGTAAGATGCAGGAGAGGGATGACTGGTTAGTCATAATCCTGGGGGATTGGAGGGTAGGGCTGGGGAACAGCAGATCCCTTTGATCTGCAGCCCACATGGATGTCAGTGGGGGATTGCTGCTGCTTTGCCAGCACCCTGAAAGTCCCGTGATTCATTGCTTTGGAAAAAACCCCAAAGCATTCACCCTGGAACGCTGCAGCCTCCTTTGCAATTCCAAGAGAAGAGGACGCTCAATCCCACTGCATGCTTTGTGGGGCTGTCTCCGAGTTAATCATGTGGCAAGTTTCACATTCAGTTCTCTTGTTTAACAAGCCCCAGTACATTCACTCTGGTCTTCAGGATCATTCCACTCTATTGTCTACATGATTGATGTGGTGCATCAAAGGCTGTGCTTAGTAGGAGCTTTTCATGCGGGGTTTGTCCCTGTTGTGGTGCTCTGGGCAGACGGTTCTTGTGCTTCCCTCCCTTCAGCAGCCTGGGCAACACAAGATGGTTCTGGAATGGGCTTCCCCTTGGGTTTGTTCAGCTCTGAGCAATGCCTCTTCTCTTCCAGATAAAGTGTGACCAGTACTGGCCAGGCCGAGGTACAGACACCTATGGGATGATTCAGGTGACGTTACTCGACACCATTGAATTGGCCACGTTCTGCGTTCGAACGTTCTCCCTTCATAAGGTGAGCTTTAGCCTGGGGTTATCCTGGGGCTGGGCTCCCTGCCCATGGCACGGGCAGGCCATGGCTGTGTTGGCACCTCCCATTACTCCTGTGTCCTTTTGTCTGTGCAGAATGGCTCCAGTGAGAAGCGGGAGGTTCGCCAGTTCCAGTTCACAGCGTGGCCTGACCACGGGGTCCCCGAGTACCCAACCCCGTTCCTGGCCTTCCTGAGACGGGTGAAGACCTGCAACCCCCCTGATGCCGGTCCCATCGTGGTGCACTGCAGGTACTGGTTCCCTTCACCCCACCCTGCGTGGGGCCGTCTGCAAGGGAGGCAGCTCAGAAGGATGTGGGTTTGCCTCTAGGAGATGGGTGCAGTCTCCTGGTGAGTGCCCAACCAGAGCTCTCCTGTGCCAGGCACCACCCGAGGAGGCTCCCTGGGGTCTGCACTGAGTGCAGGATTCCCTGAGCTGAGAGCGAGGGGCTCAGTTTGCACCCAGCCCTGGGCTCGTGTTGGCAGTGGGAAGCAGCCTGTGCTGTGCCGGTGGCTGGTTTGTGTAGGGGTTGTTTCTTGTCACACGGGGAAAGGAGGAGGATGGGTGTGACCTAGGAAGCTGCTCGGTGTCGCTGCAGGGGGTGTTTGGGAGGCAGAGCTGCTGTCAAGAAGAGAGCTGCCAGTGATTGAAAGGGGGGGTTCAGTGCTGCAGCCACTCTGAGGATGATGGACTGGAGGAAGCTGCTTTGGGCAGGCATTTCCCTAATTCCATTTCCAGTCCAAGAGGAATGCCTGCAGCCTCAACTTGGGAGCAGCCCCGGGTTCCTCAGGCGGGTGGGGAGGAACCTGCAGCTTGCTCTGCACTGGGGGAAGACATCTGAGTCCTGTACAGGCTGCTGGGGGAGCCAGTCCTGCCTCTAACCAGGCTGTGTAAGTGGGCAGCGTATCAGTAACCTTGCACATGGCAACTGCCGTGTGCCTCAGAGCCTGACCGGAGCTGCCAGCTCACAGCGTGCGGACCCAGCCCCACATCAGCTGCTGGATCCTTGCCCCAGCTGCAGTCACCGGCCTGGGGCAGGCTCTGGTCTCATTAACACAGACCAAGGGGCTGCACTGCAGTGGTAAAAGGAGACCCTTTATTAACAGCAGCGAGTGCCTGGCCCTGCAGAGCCCTGCTGAGGCACAGAAGCCATTTCCACGCAGGTTTGATGTTACCCCACGCACAGGCACACTGAGGGGAAGAGGTGACACGCGTTGCCCATTGCAGCGTCAGCAGTGTCTCGGCTGCTGAAAGGTCTGAGTGATTAAAGGTGCTGTTTGAGCCCTTGGACCAGGCCAGCCTTTAGTTCAGGCCAGAGCCCCCTACCTGGAACTGGCCTAAGTGGGTGTCTGGTGGGAGAGCTGTGTCCGGAGGCTGTCACGGAGCAACAGGCACAGACCAGGGGCAGCCTCGCACCTTCCCTCAGTAGCTGTGGATCCTTCCCAGGCACTGAGCATCTCTTGTTCACCTCTTGGCCTCGTGCATCTTTGTACCATGATCCCTGCAGCTGGTGGCACTCGGGGAAGGGGAACCCCTTCTTCCTGGGCAGAACAAGCCATTGCTTCATCTTCTGCCTTGCCTTTGCAGCGCGGGCGTTGGACGGACCGGCTGCTTCATCGTGATCGATGCCATGCTGGAGAGGATAAAGCACGAGAAGACAGTGGACATTTACGGGCACGTCACCCTCATGAGGTCACAGCGCAACTACATGGTGCAGACAGAGGACCAGTACAGCTTTATACACGATGCCTTGCTTGAGGCTGTTGCCTGTGGCAACACGGAGGTCCCAGCCAGGAATCTCTACACCTACATCCAGAAGCTGGCACAGATCGAGGCCAGAGAGCACGTGACAGGCATGGAGCTGGAGTTCAAGGTAATGGGAGATGCTTGGATGGGGACAGCAGGCCCTGGGGAAGGCCCCGTGTTCCCCACAGGAGCGTTGTTGTGTGGCACCCATAGCACACAGGAGCCTTTACAAGGCTGATGGGAACTTTCTCATTCCATGCTACAGAAGTAATTACTTCTCTGACTTAGGCTGCTGCTGTTCCTGGGGGGTGCTCTGGTCATTGCCCAGTGAGGGTGAATTTGCTCCCTCCTTAGATGAGGGGGGTTTAACTTGGCCTCAGGGCAAGGCTCGGGCTCTGTCCCCACTCCCTCCCAATGCAAAGGAGGCCCCAGCAGGCAGGCCAGCGCACTGGGACCCGGGGGGCAAGCGGGCTCCATAGGGCTGAAGCCAAACGCAAGCAGGTGAGCAGTGGTTGTGCTCTGCTTTGCCCGCAGCGCCTCGCCAACTCCAAGGCTCACACCTCCAGGTTCATCAGCGCCAACCTCCCCTGCAACAAGTTCAAGAACCGCCTGGTGAACATCATGCCCTACGAGACCACCCGCGTCTGCCTCCAGCCCATCCGAGGGGTGGAGGGCTCCGACTACATCAATGCCAGCTTCATCGATGGCTACAGGTAACCAGCACCCTGCTGCCCGCCGCGCTCTGAGTCCAGGGATGCAGAGGCAGGAAGGGCTGGACTGGCTCCTAACAGCGGGGAGCAGTTGTTCCGTTCCATACACACAGTGGTACGATGCTAGAGGTGAACTCCCTCTTCCTGACGGCCAACACCCCCCACACAGACTCAAATAGAACCTTCTGATCAGCTTTATTCCTGTGATCTTAAAATTACTCCCTGAAAGAAACCAGAGCCTTCTCCAGCTGCAGGTCCTAAACATAGCATGCGAGTGCGGGGTGCATTGTGCCAGTGGGAGGTTTCTAAAAACAGATGAGCCTTTTATTGCTTCTGTATGACTTCTGACAGCTTCCCACAGGCAATCCATGCCCTGAGCTGCAGCCTTCCCCTGCTGTGCTCAGAGCCCAGGCACCTAAAGCTGAGCCTTAACTGAGGCAGCAGCACAACCCCACGAGCACGTTTCTGCACCTTCCTCCATCCAGGACATCCTGCTGGGAAATGTAGACAGGGACAGCTTGGGTTTGGCCATTGGCACCAGAGCCACCTCCTTCCCCCTTAGACCTTGCACTGCTCCCATTCTGCCCCACCATTCCCATTTGATTTCCTCCTCTCCAGCCTTTGCATGCCTTTCCCTCTCCCCACGCCACTGACCCCGCGCGGGCTTTGTGCTCCTGCAGGCAGCAGAAGGCTTACATTGCCACTCAAGGGCCCCTGGCAGAGACCACAGAGGATTTCTGGCGGATGCTGTGGGAGAACAACTCCACCATCGTGGTGATGCTGACGAAGCTGCGGGAGATGGGGCGGGTGAGTGCGTGCTGAGGGGGAGCAAGGGGGAGGCCGCAGCACAAGGGCTAACGGAGCCCTTCCTTCGCCCTTGGCAGGAGAAGTGCCACCAGTACTGGCCAGCGGAGCGCTCGGCCCGGTACCAGTACTTCGTGGTGGATCCCATGGCTGAGTACAACATGCCCCAGTACATCCTGCGGGAGTTCAAGGTCACTGATGCCAGGGTAAGTGGGGCAGGATGTGCTTGTGAGGGTTGGGGCTGGGCTGGACTGGTTCAAACCCATGGCCTAGGGGAGGTGGGTACAGAAAACAAGGGGGTTTGGTGCGGTTCAGCTCCCATAGGAAAGACTGAGGTGTAAGCACTTCCTCTGTGATACAGAGTGTGGGATTAGCATCAGTGGAGGAGAGGATTAGCATCACATTAGGTGCAGTGAGGAGCAGAGCACACAAACACAGACTGTACTTGAATACACTTGACTCTTCTTACAGATGGAAAGTAGTTCTGTAACCTGTGCTCACTAATCACAGTAGTGACTCACTCGGGTAGAGCTGTACCCAGCTTCTGGCTTTACCTGCAGCTCATTTGAGATGAAAGCAGAAAACAGCATCTCTCCAAACAGCCACTACAGACCCCAGGAGCCTCTGCACCCTACGGCAGATGGATGGAGGCACTGTTACTCAGAGGGCCACATTCCCTCAAATCATTGTAGATTCCGTGTCAGATTTCTCATCCAAAGGAACATCTCAGAAGTGTGTGTAGCAAATGGAACCCTCCCTCTCAGGGAGGCTCCTGCTTCGGAGGGTGCCAGTTATAGAACCTGCTCATTGGAGCTGCAAGGCTGAGGAGGAGGATGCCTCATCGGTCCTGGCAGGACAAGATTTATCCTCCTGTCGGCTGCACTTCTGACACCGCAGCAACTCTCACTCAGGATTGATGGCGAGGCCACGACCTCACCTTGAATGGTCCTTTTGCTGCAGGCTCCATCTGTGCAGGTTTGCAGTGGGCAGAGCTCCCTGCCAGAGCACAGATCAGGACTGACAGCCTCAACATGAACAGCTTCATCACTGTGGCTCCAGATAACACACGCACGCACGCACCCCTCCTCCTGCGTATAACAAACTGGGTTTGGGGTTTGTGCCCCTCGGTGACCCGGTGACACCAGGGGGGATTTTCTGTGCCCTGTGTGTCCGGGCACTGTTTCAGTGGTGCTGTTCCCCCAGGACGGGCAGTCCCGGACCGTGCGGCAGTTCCAGTTCACGGACTGGCCCGAGCAGGGCGTGCCGAAATCAGGAGAGGGGTTCATCGACTTCATCGGCCAGGTCCATAAGACCAAGGAGCAGTTCGGCCAGGACGGCCCCATCTCTGTCCATTGCAGGTAGGCTGGTGCCAAAGGCAACACCCGTTGAGCTCTGCATGGGACAGAGCAGAGAGAATTCAAACCCCGCAGTTCTCGCCCTCCTTTCCCAGCCCATCTTTGCAGGCAGATTTCTGGGGGTGTCTGGAGGGGGGGGTGCCAAACACTTGTTTCTGCCTCCCCAACTCACATCCCTTCAGGCCTGGGCACTGCCCACAAGGCCTTTAGCCCTTTGTACCTAAGGGAGAGGTGTGAGCTGCTGATGCTCTGAAGGAGATGGGACCCACATCGTTAATCGGTAGCTCACCTGCAGAATTAGAAGTGTTTTGTACCAGTCTTAACCTAGTTCTGCATCTCTGACACTACTGGGGGGTGTTTGCTGATAGCAAGAATTGTACCTCCCATCCCCTGGGTAGGAGAATGGAGGCATTCTGCACAGTCTGTAGTTGAAGAAGCCTGTTGTTACACAGTGGGAATGATTTCTACGCTGATGCTGGGCACCACTACCCAAAGCTTTTGAGTCTTCATTTTATTCCACTTTCTCCACCATGTCTTTGGGTCACCCTCTCTGGCAGTTCCACTCTTTCCTACCTCCAGTTCCCACATGGGCGTAAGACCCAGCTCAGCCATGGTGTAGCCTCAGCATTCAGAGCACTGTTTGCACACTGTAACGTGTTTTGCCTCCCGTTGCTGCAGCGCTGGCGTGGGCAGGACCGGGGTGTTCATCACGCTGAGCATCGTCCTGGAGAGGATGCGTTACGAGGGTGTTGTAGATATTTTCCAGACAGTCAAGATGCTGCGAACACAACGACCTGCAATGGTGCAGACAGAGGTAAGGGCAGTGGGGATCCCATCCTGCTGCAGCCAAGCCCGGGGCTGCCCTGGCTGAGTTGGAGCCTGTTTTGCTTCCCTAACCAAGCCCAGGCAGAATCCTCACCTGAAGCTGGCTCAGCCCGGGCTGCTCCAGGTTCACCTCAGCTGTAAAGTCTCTTAAAGCTTCCACCCCAGCCACCAGCCTCATCCCCACCCCAGTGCCTCCAACCCAGCCCCATTCCGAAGGGTTCCTGGGGGTGATGCGTGTCGAGGAGATGCACAAACAATAAAGGGAAGGGGTTTCCTTCCCCCGTAGTCTGCAGCTCTTTGGGATTAGAAGAGCCTGTGCCTGGTTCCTGCCCAAGCAGGCTGGAAAGAGGGCAGGGAGCCCAAGGAGCTATTGCAAACCTCTGAAGCTGGTTCTCTTTCCTGCCCATAGGATGAATACCAGTTCTGTTACCAGGCAGCTCTGGAGTATCTGGGAAGTTTTGATCACTATGCAACATAAAAAGCCATCCGTTGTGCAGACTTTACCAACCACTTAAGTCCTGGAAGGCCTCTTTTGACCCAGGAGGAGTGCTTGAACTTACAAAACTGAATCAGAAGAAGTACCTTTTCATCTGGACAATGCATTGGGGAGCAGGGGGAAGGACTGAGAGGAACACCCACCCCTTCAGGAACTCCATGTTGTAACCTGGACCGTGAAGAGGCAGCTCAGGAGGTTGCTGAAGGACTGCTTGAAGTGGTGACCTGCTCTTGTTACCTCAAGTGGTGTTCGCTGGGGAGGACGTACGAACAGCAGGAGGCAGATCCGAAAGCTAAAACACACCTTGGCGACGTGAGCGCTGGAGAAGGGAAGGAACCGACTTTGGTTACACCATTAGAGTTCAGTTCATTTACTAATATAGTTGGCAGGCTTTAAAGGAAGTCACTCGCAGAATGGAAGGGGTTCTGTAACAGATAAGGAACTAAATCTCAACCCTTAGGGTCAGGAGTTCTTCTAGCTGGAGTCTTAATAACCTCAGTATCAGCACTGGGATGATTCTGGGCTTACAGGCACCTTGCAGACAGCCCCTGCCCCCCTGTGATGTTTTATAGCTCACCTTTGGAATACTTGGAACATTCCTCATTTCTTCTAATTCCAAAACTTCTTTTTTAGGATATTTAAAACCCCCCAGAGAGAGCGAGAGAGGCGCGAACCCAGCCCTGCCTGGGCTCGGTGCCCCCTCCCTCCCTGTGCCACAGGTAAAGGTGGCAGCTCCCGGGTCAGCTGCCCCTAAGGCATTCACCTGAGCAGAGCTGGGCCCCCCCTGCCCCTTTCATTGCCCCCTCACCCAGCCCCATCCTGCCGGGAGCATCCCCCTGCAAGGAGCCCAACAAATTCACCTCCAGCAGGCACCAGCTCCTGGTGCAGAGACCCCCAGGGCGGCCCCGGTGCCGTCCCACCCCGAGCCCCTTGGCACGGCTGCGCCCATGCCCTGGCTGTGGGAATAGGTGGGAAAGCCCAAGTGTGATGGTTCCAAGGCAGATCCCGTGAGTGGCTTTCTTTAAAGCATCGATGTAACTGTAACAAGTGACATTACCTTCTTTTTGGTTTTTTTTAAATAGTGTATTTTTTCCTTTTTTTTTTTTTAAGAAAAAAGACAATATCAGTCAATGAATTTAAAAAAGAAAAATTTGCTTATTTGTTCATATTCTGTTCAAAGACAGTCTATTTTTTCACTGTAGAAACGTTACGTGTAATGGCTGTGATATATAAAAATGCAGTGCAAATTGCTCCTTCGACATACTGCTTTTCTACCATTTCAAAGGTTGAACTTGCTCATGTAAGAACAGAAACGTCCTTGCTGGATTTCCTTATTTTGGGTTCTTTTGGTTTTCAGACATATCCCATGGCTCTGGAGGGGCAGGCCTGGAGGTGGGGGCAGCGCCACCCCCGCTCCCCTTGGCCTCTGACTCTGAGCAGGGCCGGGGCTGAACTGGGGGATTAAAACCACACCAGTGTCTTACCCAGGCAGGCTCTGACCGTGGGTGTTGTGCTGTAGGGAGCAGCCCTCCCCTGGGCTGGGGGTAAGATGCTCTTTGTGTAGGTGCTGAGGAGGGGTCCTGGGGCTGCACGAGGCCAGCGCTGCCCTGAGCACTGCTTTGGGACTTGGCCTTTTTCATCCTCGAAGGGGTTGATCATGGCCATCAAGTGCCACCCAGACCCCCCCCCCCGCCTCGGTCCTGGCTTGAGCTGAGAACAAAACCAGAATGGAATGAAAGGCTTCTTCGAGGTTTTACTTCTTATTTGTGTGAAAGTTGCCCAAATTTCTAAGTCTGTTGCAGCAAAATCTGACTGGACAAGCTGGGGGGAGGGGGGAGGTTTTTTTCCTTTGTATGAGAGCAAAGTGCTGTTGCTTTCACACTGTTCTTTCAAACTGAACCAGTAAGTGGTTTTCACACCACTGTGTATGTAGATATATTGACTTTGTATTAAAGGAAGATTGTCTGAAAGGCCTGAGTGCAAACCTCTTTGTTGGCAGGAGCGGGCACCCCCTGATGCAGTTGCTCTGTGTGATGCAGCCACTGCAGGAGGCTCATTGCTGGTGCCCAGGGCCAGGGCCCAGGCTGCTCTCCCTCTAAAAACAGGCCACCTTTGGCAGCCGGGACCCACACCAGCAGAAACTGCTGCCTCCTCTGTGCCAGCTCCATCCAGCACCTACTGACCTGAACCAGACCAAACCATCACCCCCAGCAAGGCCGTGGTAACAGCAGCTCCTGCTCACAGGGAGGCTCGGTGCAGCCTGAGCTCCCTGCTCCATCCCTGTTAAGACACAAAGGAGCAGAGCAGGGAAGGGCCAGTGAGGACCCGGGTTTTGGAGGCCAATGGGAGCATTCTCCACCAGGTATTTTCCCCCTTCCCTTTCACCAGCCCAAACCTTCTCATTATGAGCAAGACACAGCAGACCCAGGCTCCACCTCAGGTGAGTGGGAGCCCAGAGGGAATTACATCACCTTCAGACTGCAAAGCTTTGCTCGGGCTCATTCCAGCACCCCAGTCAAGCACCAGGTTTTCTGCTCCCTGCTGAAAGCACGGAACCATCTGCACAGCCCCACTGATGCAGCCTTTACCTGCACACAGGAACTGCTCAGCTCCCAGCCTGCAGCTTCTGAACGCGCTGGACCCACGTGCTGAGCCCTGAGGATGTGCCTGGTCCTCCCTGGCTGCAAAGAGAAACCAAACCTGAGTTCTTGCTCGAAGCTCAGCCGGCACCAGCCTGAAACCTGGCACGCAGCTGACTTCCCTTTTGCTTTAATTAAACACTAAGTGACGCTCCATTAATGCCCATCTTCAGCAGGGAAAACTCTTGTTTCTTACTGATCCAAGGGTCTTTCTGAAATCTCTCTCTGTCTGTCTTTAATATGAGCTCTGACAGGCAGCTTTGACAGCAGATTTGACAGCAGCTTTATTAGCAATGCCAGCACATGGTGGAAGGAGTAAATCACTGCAGGTGATGTTTTTACAGACAAGGACTGTCACCAGGGCTCGGGATGTAAATTGGTACGACTCCTTACAGAGGATCAGGGTTAAAGCTCATACAGGGGCTTTACAAGGAAACCTCAGCTGCAGAGCCCTCCTTCATTAAAGGGCAGAGAAACACTGAGACCGGAGCCAAATCCATCACAGTGCAGGTTCTCTTTACGGAGAGTCCAGGCTCTATTTCAGTGTTTGCTCCGAGCAGCAGCATCCCATGGAGCAGATGCAGCCGGGAGCAGCCCTGGCTGCCAGCAGGACCCAGAGCCCACTGCAGCCCTGCCCCGCTGCTCCCATCACCAGGGACCCTGGGGCTGAGCCCCGTGTTCCTGCAGTCAGCGCCCACCCTCAGAGCCCCAGTGGCCCTCACGGTGTTTCTGCCACGGTTTATGTGTTAAGGAATGGCCCTCACAGCCCTCGCCCTCCCTCTAACACAGCTCCTGCTCCATCCAAAGGTCAGCCCTGATTTACTCTTCCTCTGCTCGGGCGCAGCTGCTGGAAGCCACCAAGCCCCCTTCTGGGGCCACTGCAGCCCCCAGACCCCTTCCTGGCCCACGCCAATCCCACCCCGGCCCCCTCCTCCCCATCCCTCTGCTGGGGGTCCAGGAACAGCCCCCCTGGTGCTGCTGCACGGAGCTGCGGCTCCCCCCGCGATGGGAGAGGGGCTCAGGGGTGGTGCCTGGCAGGGAAGAGCCCTTCGCAGGGGCTGGGAGGGAGCAGGCTTGGCCCAGTTCTGCTCCGCGCTGCACTGGGCAGACCCGGCTGCTGCTGCAGCCTTCGGGGCAAACCACGGAGGGGTTCATTTGCAAAAGCCTCTGCGCCTCTGCACAAGCCCAAAGCGGAGCCCTCGCAGCAGAACAAAGACTTGAAGTGGCTGCAATTTACATTCCAGAGGAAAAGGAAAAGCTTTTCTTGGTTTACAGAATTACCCAAGTGGCAAAGCAGTTCCCAGGCCAGGAGGTGTTCTTCTCGTTGCAATATGCTTTAATTATGCCAAGAGAAGCAGTAACGGACTGAGAAATCAATTCCTTCTCCTCAATCAGATGGTTGCAAATTCCAAGCCGGTAATTGAACAGATGCACAACTGAAATGGAAAAAGTAAATACCCCGGTAGGCACTGGGATAACTTCCCAGCGCGAGCAGCTCATCCACGGGGATGCAGGGAGATCGGGCCCGGGTTCCTTCAGGAAAGCACAAGCTCGGTCACTCCCGTTGCAGTCACACCGGGAGCCCCGTGCCCTTGGCTGTGCAGAGCTCCTGCCCCGCAGGAGCAGACCCCGTGCTGCAGCACAAGAACCATCACAGCAGGGGCTGAAGGAAAAGCCCATCCCTGGCCATCACCAGCTGCTCACGTCCCTCCTGCTCTCGGCACCACCCTCAGCTCATCCAGCACCAGCTCTCGGCACAGCCGGAGCCATCCCGGATCCATGTGGCTGCTCCTGTGGAGCCAAACCCCCATCAGCCTGCAGAGGAGCTGGTTCACCACTGAAACCCCGTTACAGCGGTGTGCTGGAAGTAGGAGCACGAGGCCTCTGACTGCAAGGGTGGTCCCAGGACCCGGGCAGAACAGAGCAGCCCTGGACATCCCCCTGTTGGGATGACGGGCACCAATGGTGCTGTGCTGGCTGAACGGGGCTGGGTTCGGTAGGGATGGAGCTCACCAAATCCACCTCGGTGAAGGGGAGATGACGACGCCTGGCTCACGGCACGCACCGAACAGCAGGACTGGGACCCGGCTCTGCCGGCAGCGAGGGCTCCAAAGACAAATCTGAGTGAATCCCAAGTGCTGCTCCTGCTGACCTGCGACTTGTGCGAGACGGCAGAGGAGGCATTAAATGGGAAAGAGCCCTGCTGAGCACAGGAGGGAGGCGGGGGAGGAAGGGTGCAGCAGAGCCCCTCTGCTCTTGCTGTGGGTGGGAGCATCTCTGGGGTGGGAGGGGGGTGCTTGTGTTTTAAAGTTGTATTTCAGATACAGCAAGCAAAGAACACGGAGTTCTGAGGATGCTGCAGAAAACTCCACCCTGGAGACGAAGCGGGGCTCAACCAGCCTCAAGCCCTTAGAACAAGGTGGTGATTGCTTTAACCTCCCCCATGCACAGAGCCCAGCCTGCCTCTTGTGCTGGCGTTAACTGCCCACCATCATCACATCACATCACCTCACCACAGCATCTCAGACCTAGGAGACAGCTGAGGCCTGAGCTATGTGCTGTGTTCCTGTTTATTAGCAGCATCTCTTCCCAGGCATTTAACACATTCACCCTGGTCTATCTTTAATCTGCCTATCCTTCCACTGTCTCCTTATCTACCCACCCATGGATGGGCTGCAGCAGCAACTCCAGATCCCTCTTCACCCTGCACAGAGCCGAGGCCTGATGCTGCCACCTCATCACACCTTTATCTCTTGAAAGAGTCTGGCCTCCATCCATCTCTGTGTAGACAGCGATGCACACGTACAGGCACACACACACATGCAGATGGCAGTCCCAGATTAATGGGTTACACAAGGGGTTTATCCCAGGCTTACTGAGGATAATAAACCCCTTTGAAATGGGAATTAAGATGTTTCCCAATGATTAAACCCAATAAAATCTCTTTCTTCAAACACAACGTTCGGCCTGAGCTGCTCTAAGGTGTTGTGCAGGAAATTGCTAAACACAACTAATTCAGGTCCCTCTTCCTCCTCCATCTCCCAGCTGGGACAGCCAAGCCCTTCCCTGCAGAACGGCCACAGCAGGGATGGGGCTCCGTGAACAGAGAACACCCCACACTCGTCCAATAGGGGCAGAATCGTTTCTTTAGGGCAATAAATGTCCTGCTTAAGACTCGAGAGGCATCAACCTACGTGGTACCTGCTGGGGGAGGGACGTGGGGTGGTTCTGGTGCCCTCCTGTGGCTGTGGAGGGCTGGAGGAGGCAGCGAGGAGGGGATGGATGCGGATGGGGACCGCAAAGCCCGCAGGCTCCATGCGAGAGCCTGCACCTCCAGGACTCACCATTAAAACACGTGGATGCCCTGCTCCTGTGGATGGGTGAAGGGGAGGTGGGAGCCCCTGGGGAAACCCACCTCGAATGCTTTGGATCTGGGTTTGCCAATGAGCCCCTGGTTTGGATGCAGCTCTTCCTCGCTCTCACAGCTACACCAGAGCAGGATCCTTCCCTTCCCTTCCAAAGCCAGGCAACAACAAGGAACACACAGAGCAGCCCAGTGGAAACGTGCGTTTGTGGGTCCTGGGTTTAATCCATTCCCCTGCAGCCACCTCGCTCCTTTCTGCCAGGCCCCAAAGGGACTTTTCCCAACAGGACCTGACCCCGGCTCTCTCCCAGCTCCTCACGGCACGATCGCACCAACCCGCTTCAGCAAGGCCACATCTGGCAATGGCATCTCCACCGTGCCCCGGAGGCCAACCTACAGGACAGTGCTGGCTCCTCCAGCGCTGCTGTCAAGATCCATGTCAGCTCCATTGCTGTCAGGATCTGGGGAAGGACAAATACAAACCAAGCACAAAACTCACGAGGTTCTCCCACCTTGGCTGTTAACGTGCAGTCTATCCTGCAGTGAAATGGGATGAATTTGGGACAAGAAGATGACCTCTGGGGCAATGCTCGTCCAAGAGATCAGAGCTCCAACAGCAGACTCAGGCAGGCGCTTGAAGAGAGAAACCCTGAGGAGCTGGCTCCCCTTTGGTGTGCTTTCCTGCAGGGCAGGAGGCTGTCTGATGCTCAGCTGGGAGCCTGCTTGGAGCAGCTGTGACTCCACTGGGGCAGATGCATTCAAACTCACCAGTGAGGGTTTGCTCGCTGAGGGCTTCATCTCCTCCCAGAAGATGAGAGGCAGAAACAAACCCTTTATGGGTCTGCCCAGGGGGAAGCCTCGCACAGGTGCCACCTGGAAACACAGATTTCACCTTGTTAAGCAGAAAGAAACAATTCCACAGTTTCTTGGCCTCAAATGTCTCCCTCCCCATCTCCCTCTTCCATCCCATCCCATCCAACAACCTGCGCCCCTCCCCGCAGGGCTCTCTGACACAAGGGGGGAAGTTCCTGTAGTTTAGGGCATCACCTCTTAGTTATGGAGGAAGTTTTTAGGTTGAGCCATAAAAATAACTCAAACCAAATTGCTGTTGCAGCAGGAAAAGCACATGCAAATTTCTGTGTGATTTTTTATCTAAATAATGTTTAATTTTTACTCCACGCAGAAGATTAACACTGATAAAGTGAACTTCCAACGAGAACATTTGGTTCCTTTCAATTCGCATCACACAACTATCAGGAGCTTTATAAGGGGGATACTGAAGTGCTCCTTTCTGGGGCAGGGGTGGCACCTACATCCCCAAAACACCCCCCATGGGACAGTGGTGATGGAGGGACAGTGAGGGACAGCAGAAAGCAACAGCCCTGTCTCCAAACCGTCCCAGCTCTTGGGACTAAAGGACTGTGAATGGCTTATTGCCCATCAGATGAGATGAAACCAGATCCTCACACAAGACTTCACATCCTGCACCGACTGCAAAAATCTTCCTCAACAGCCAAAGAGGAAACCTCAGCATCTATCTCGTTTATTGCTGTCTCTGGATAAAACCCATTTATTAAGGCTGCGGGTGCTTTGTGCCCATCCACACAAGAACCAAGTTATTCAGCAAGAACCAAGTTAGAGGCAATGGGGTTCCACCAGCTCCTCTCAACAGCAGGGGAAGGCTCTCCCCATGAAACCATGGAGAGCCCCTGCGCCCCGCTGGCTGTCATCACCCCAGGTAACGAGTTGCAAAGAACACTCATCTGTTTTGGTTTTCAAGCGAGCACACAGCAAACACCTTTTAATTCAATTGGTTGAATCGACACGGAGAGATTATTAGTTTTCAGTAAGATTTGATTCAATTAATTAGCCTGAAAATATCAGCAGAGCCAGGCGAGCTCAGAAAAACAGAGATAAATCCCTGCCATAGCCCTGCTTCATCTTTTAAAGGCAATTAACTCTTAGTTATTAGCTTTTAATTAGGGAATAATAATGACACCATTAATACAGTTTATTATACTTGTCAGCAGACAGCTGTTCCAAACAGATTCTATTATCAGATCTTGGCAGCTTTTGTCTGCTCCCTTGTTCACAGGGGGAAAGCAGCAACAGCCCGGCCCCAGCTGGGGGGTCCATGAGCGAAGCCCTGGGCACAGAGTGGCTGAGGCCCCTGCTCTGGGTCCCTATCCCTATCCCACTGCTGCTGGGAGGAGCTGGCTCCCACCCACCCCTCCTTTCCAGGGCGGGATGCAGGGTGAATGCTGAGACTTCAAAGGAGCCTTAGGTAGTTCGCAGGGATTTGACTGTTTTAAACTGCATAAAGTTGGTTTTCTCTCGGGGAACTGCGGTGGCAGCAGGACCCAGCCTGGCCGGTGCATTTGATGTGTCTCTCATGGGTAACCCTCCTGCCTTGCCTAAGGGGGGGATGCTGGATCTGTACCAAAGGCAGTTCCACACTTCGGCTCCTAACACCTGAGACAGCCCCAACCCGTGACACGTTTACAATGCCAGAACCCATTCAAACAGGTTTGTTTTCTTCCGAGCTTACCCACATCTCTGGAAGCTCGGGGTATGGCTGGAGCACAGCCCAGACGATGGGGCATAAAGAAAGAAGGCATTCCAAACAAATGCATCCGTTCCTAATCTCATTGCACCCTACATGTGCACGTCACTGCAAGAAGGCAGCTACAAAGGTGGCAGAAATCCCATGTCATACTCTTGCTTCTTGCCCCAAACTGACCCTGAAACTGTAAACTTCAAATCCTCCTGTAAGAACAGGCACAACCACATCAGCAGTGGCCAACTGCCTCAAGTGTTATTGATGCTTTATTACCTCATTGTCTACTGCAGCACTAAAATCAAATAGCCAGAAGGCTCATAATCCCAGGCACAGCAAACCCCATGTTCCCATTAGTTTCACCATCATCCTCTTTCACCGTGTCCTAGGCAGAGCTGTGGCATCTCCCCAACACACTGCAAACCCTTTCCAGAGCACAAGCCTGCCTTAACTGTGGTTTATTACTCCTGTGTCAAATAGCCTTAATCCCAATCACGTATGCAGGATGCTCCTGTGATACAAAAACGCAATGCAGTGAATTTCCCTGATCTACTCTGGAGTTAAAACCTCACAAAAACACTGAAATAGAAAACAAGGGTTGGTTGCCAACAACCCACTACCTCAAGTTACTTTTCTTTTCCTTGCTGTAGACTGGAGAAAGCCCTAAGGGAAATACCTGGAACTCAGAGGAGCTGCTCAGCACTGAAGGCCTGTTTGGGGCAGGCATTTCCCTCCTCCTCACCCACCATGGTGCAGTCAAGTCCCAAGGAAAGCAATGAACGCAGTGTAGGAATAAAGCAGCTGGAGTGCATCTATTTGCAATTTTCTGGAGGAAAGCAGAGCTGTTAAATCGAAAGCAAGGCTGCTCAGAAGAAAGAACTTCCCCCCCAGAGAGCTGAGATAGACACGAGAAGGAAAGGGATGGCAGGATTCTAAGCATCGCCAGACAGATGCAGGAACTGAGGCCCACAAGAGCGAGATGCGGCACCTGCGGCAGAAGGCGATGCAGGATGAACACGGGCATCAGGAAGCCACGCTGGGACACAGCAGCTCTCGGGGCAGACAGCCCGGCTTGCTCCGGAGCTCCGCTGGGCCTCCAGGAGCTCCTTGTACCCTGGTTTTCACCCCTGCACTGACAGGGCTCCGGGCCCCAGGTGCGATGCTGGAGGCAGTCTGTGCAGTTGTGTTGGCCCCAGCTCTTCCTTCCCACCAGTGACTAAGCCCCGGTATTTTAGGAGAAGCTGTTTGAAAGACCTCGGTGCAAGCACAAGAACTCCTCAGCTGAGGGGTTTCTGTGCTCAGCTGCATCCAGGCAGACGTCAGGAGAGGAAAACCAGCAGAGAAACTGAATGTCACCAACCCTTGTCTCCAAAATTCATCTGAGGCCCAAGATGACGAGACGCCTCAGTGCTGCTTTGCTCACATAGGAACAAACAGCTTGACGTGAGGGCTGGAAGGGAGCTATAGTTAGTGCTCTGGTAGCAGGGGCACTACCAGTTGGCTTGTGCCAACTCACCTTTAACTGAAGTGCCACCATTTGATGATGAGGGAAGAGCCTCAGTCCAGGTCCTCAGTCCAGAGGAGGATGGATTCCTCCGGTGTTCAGTGAGGGAAGTCCACCAGACACAACCAAAAGGGATCCCCCAAGAGCTCAGGAGCAGAGAGAATTCACTTACCTGCATCTGGAGCTGTGCAATTGCACCTTCTCAGTGGGTCCAGCTCACAGCCTGGGTCCCAAGCTCAGCCTAGAAGGTGTCCCAGTTGATCCATGTACACGTGGGTGTCCCCCAACACATCCAAGGTGGGCAAATCTATGGAGAGGAGCACACAGAGGACAGTTAATGCTTTACCTTTCTCTACTCCAAGAGGGGGTAAGGGAAGGAAACAGCAGCAGCCCGCAGCTGAAGGCAAGGGGAGCGCAGCCCCTGCCCCAATCCCCATGTCAGTCCTGTGTCAGGGGTTTAATCTCCAATTCTGCTGCTGCTCTTTATGAGAGAGACAACTCTGAAAGGTGCCAATTTCCTCTCCCACAACAGACCTGTCATGATGACAATTCTACTTAAGAGCAGTGCTTCAGCCTTGCCTGTCAGGGACACTGATTATGGCAGTAAATAGAAGCACATTTGAGAAGTGACAAGACACTGACAGGCTGTACTTGCATTGGGTCCTATCCCACGGTGATCTTGATGGAAGAAACCCAAGGGATGTTCCCTTTTCCTGGGCTTTTGGTGAGGGGGAGAGGTAGGAGTGTGAGGTTAGAAATACTCTGGTCTGGGACTAGGAGCACTCAAACCAGCCCAGGCTGCAATGGAAACTGTGCACAGAAAACCCCAGTGTGCCCAAGGAAACCAGGTTTTGTTTCCCCTCTTTGCAGTCAATCACCTGCTGAAATAACTGCAGTGATTGCTGCAGGGCCATAACCAGACATGAAGTTTGCTCTTGGAGCTTTGAGAGTAAATCTAAACGCACAAAGTGATGCCCAAAGTCAAGGAAAGCACCCGTAAGCATAAACCACAGTGGTGGTGGGAGGCTCGATGTCAGGGTCCCCTTCCCAACACAGTTGTTGGGAAATCCCTGGGCCATTTTCCTACAGGACAGCTTCCATCACAGCCATCACCCACCCCAGGACACAAAGCTCCTGGATTGCAGTGTGAATTCCATGTCCTTTCCGAACCCCAGCTTAATCAGATGCACCACTTCTTCATCTCGATATTCTCTAGTGACTCCAAGCTGTGAAGATAACAAAAAGAACTAAACCTTAGAAGAAGCGAGACTTGCACAACAGCCCTTTCTCCCCATCTCATTGCTCCTCCACACAGAAAATTGCCCACTGACCCTTCTGTACCTATAATCAACTCACATTTGATCTTTTTAGGCAGGCAGATGAATCCCTGCTATTGTAAACGGCAGCAGCATCTTGGCCTCTCTCACGGGTAAGTGACCATTCAGCCCTAATCAAAGGGAATTTGCTGTGTTTCCGAGAGACGGCTCCGTTAAATGGAGCAGATGAGCAGTGGGTCTGTCCATTGACTTATTTTTAAACCATGATCTGGGGCACCGGGGAGGGAATCACTCCTGCTTCAGAGGCAGCTTGGCTACAAGCTCATTTGCTGGGGGATATTAGCAGCTGGCATCTGAGATGGCAAAGCCAAGGTATAGAGGTAAGCCAAAGTCAACTGTGCTGAAACACAGCCAAATTCTTATTTATCCCCCAGGAAAAGTGGCTGAGCTGTGGTCGCTGTGTGCTTCCAAACAGTATCTGCACAGCGACCTTTACATTTCCCCTCTTGGAAACAAAAGAAATTAATTCTTTTGCTCCTCTCATGCAGAATAAATAACTCCCTGTAATTTCCCATTGGTGTGCAAGTCAAGCAAGCAGTTATCTTTTTCTGCTATCAAAGCTGCCAAATAATTCTAGCTCAACATCTCCAGTTCATTTGAATCACAGTATTTTGCCAAAGTCAATTTGCTTTTGTGTGTGTATGTGTGTGCCAGTAGAGTTTCTATGGGATGAGAAGCAAGAGAGATGACCTGAATGTGGGGCTGGACATCAGGAACCTACAGGAACTCAGTGCTTTCTGCTGGAGTCTCAAGTGAGTTGTTCCATCTTTATCCCTGTTGGCAAACTGAAGGAGCAGGAAAGGTTTCCCCTTCTGCTGTGAAGAACACTGGCAGTTATCACCTGTACCAGGTACTCTGAAGCAGACATCATTTAAATATCCTGGGGTTAAACTCATTTGTAGGGTCTCCTCATTAACCTGTAATGAGAAAAAGGGAGGAACTGTCCTTCTAACCCAAGAAATATGAAACTAATGCCATAGGAAACAACAGAAGGTGATTTCAGGCCACGGGAGGTGCTCATCACACGGCTCCATCCACACATCCCACAGGCACCCCGGGATGCAGCAGCAGTGTGTGAGATGATGGGAGAGTGTGGAAATAGCTGCACGTAGCTGTTATCACACCTACCTGGTGAGAGGGGCAGCACAGGCACTTGCCAGGCTCCACGCAGCATTGCTCCTCACTTTCCTCCATCCAAGTACAATGGTGTGCCTGGAAAAAGCTCTTCTACAAACCTGCCCTCTTTCCAGCTTGGTCTATTTGCAGGTCAGGACTCTGCAATCATTTAATTAGCACAGAATCCCAGACTGCTTTGGGTTGGAAGGGACCTCAGAGCTCACCCAGTTCCAGCCCCCTGCCATGCTCTACCTGATTTACTTTCCAGTAGAGCAGGGTGCTCAAGGCCCTTTTACTACAAAAAGGGTGCAGAAAGTTTATTAGACCACCTTTAGCTATAGGTAGAGCAGGGAAAAGAAGCCCAAACAAGGAAAGTAACGCAGACCTGCCTACTGCAGCCCTAGCAAAGGCACCTACTGCAGGGAAGGCTTCACCTTATGTTGTGAAGAAACTGAAGCCAGAGAGAGAATGGACGTAAGCAATGTGCTGATCTACTACCATCTACCTCTGAGCCCTCAGCTGAGTGATGCCCACCACACAGAAGACATGCCCTTGTGAGAAATCCCACTAGTTCAACAGAAATTGCAGTTAAACCAAAATAGCATGTCCAAATTCAAAGCAAAGTTTGTTTTAAATGGCTCCTGACTTCCTTAAGCTAAAACCCTGAGTAAATCACTCCAACCAAAACAATGGGAAGGGAAGTGTACCTGTTTCATGAGTAACTTATTAACCCGGTGCAATTTGTTCAAGCTGAAGGAGAACCACTGGTGAAGAACTAACATGAGCAGCAAGGGAAGAGGAACAGAGAAAAACCCACAGAATAACCTCAAGAAATCAAAGTTCTGCAAAACTGCCCAGAGCACATGACAAGGGGCTTCCATCAGCTGCTCCCTCCCTAACCTGAACAGTCCCAATAGCAAAGCAAAAAGGAAAGGAGCGAACACACCAAAGGAGGGACTGAAAGCCTGGGATGTTCTCCCATGGACAAGCAGAGAAACTGGAAGCCAGAAGGAGCAACAGTGAATGGGAAAGCCACAAAACCCCACGTGTGAACATCAACTCAGGGATCTGAATGCCAGAGCCATGCAGAAATGCATCTGCAAAGAACTGTGCTATCTCCTAGTCCTGTTGGAACAAGAAGCAGACATTAAACAAGCTTCCTGGAAGCTGGGGCCCTCCATTCAGCCCCACCACGAAACAGCTGCACCCAAACACAACCACAATTTTTAATTTCCTAAATAATCCTGGCCTTTACAATGAACAAGCAGGGAATTCCCTCCTCCATTTCTTCTCACCAAGCTCTTTCTCTGCCCAGAGAAGGAGTTAATGAATCTCCATCCATTGTTCCACCCTCCGCTGGCCTCAGAGGAGGAAGGAGCAGGCTGTTGCTCCCCGTCTTCCCATTGCTGCCAGCAATTATCACAAAATGACTTCATTGTGCCTGTGACAGTTGGTGACACTGACTCAGTGTTATCAGCACCAGGTTTCAAAACATCTGCTTGTGTGAAGGCACCCTGCTGCTCACCAGCCCAACGAGCCGGACTCCTGCACCGCAGCAGGAAGAAACTGCAGTGCAAGACAAAGCATCTCAGCCCTACCTTGGCAACCCAGGTCCATCAGTGGCCAAGTCCTAAGCAAAACTCTCTCCAGAGGCAAGCACCAGGCAGGATGGAGCTGCGCAGCAGGTACCACTGTATGAACATGCTGCCCAGGGCTGGAGGTGGACACATCTTAGGACCTCGAGAGGATGGAGCTGGCTCAAACAGAGAACATGGAAGAGCAAAAGGAGGGAACTGAAACTGCTTCAGGAAGAGATGCAGCTCAGCTGCTTAGGTTTAACAGATACACAGAGACATACACTTTCTCCAGGGATAAAAAGAGATGCAGAGGTTAGATGAAGAGGGTAATGAGTTGTGCTCATCTGCTCTCTTCCATCCAGCCCCGAACGATGCGTAAGAGGAAAGCGTAGAAAGCAAAACACTTCACTACAGGAGTCATTCACATGGTCTCCCTGAAGACTCCCTGGGCACAGCATGATTTCCTGTAACCCTACATCACCTCTATTTTACTGTAGAAACCTCAGGAAATAACAGAAACTCACCGTGACTTAGCAAGGTTTGTGTGGAAATGTCTATTCCACCCTGCAAGGCTGTGCTAGAGCAACAGGAAGGTTTGATCCTCGCCTTTTGATCACTGATCCAGGCAGTTACTTCACGTACTACTTCTTAAGACATCTTTAATAAGAACTAATACGATTTCAGAGCAATATAGCAGATCTGAAATTCAAAGGTAAGCTTTGTGTGCATGTGAATTCCAACTGACTTTGTATGAGCAGCTTCTTCCCTCTAGGGCGATGCCTCAGATTACCTCAAAACCAAGTATTAAGCTGCAAAAGAGTGGAAGTTGGAGATTCCTTTCCCATGATCTCCAGCATTAGCCTCATCCTGCAATAATGGGAGAGGAATTTGTAGGAAAGGATCAGGGCTCAGGATGGGAAACAAAGGTTTAAAGGAAGCTTCAGGAAGATGCTAACTTTAAGAAGCAAACAGCAAAGTGGTGATTGAAAAGACAAAGGGGTTTAGAACCACTATTGAGCAATCACGGTTCTCCCGAAGGAGCAAGGCCTGGACCTTGCAAGCTCAGTTCTTCATTTTGGGAAGGGTGCAAGGGCAAACCTCCTGCATGGTTAACAGAGAGGAAGGAAAAGACCACGCTCTTCTTCATCAGGCTCAGCTCCTCTCGGCTCAGTTTTAGCAGCCAGCTTTACCCATGAGATCTGGGAGCCACCTTCTCCTGCAGTACACAAGACTTTAAACTTAGAAATGAAGAGACTTCAACCCCCCAGAAAGTGTCATTCTGAAGTGCTCAACAGCCTTTAATTCATTATGAACCTAGAGGCAGAAGGAAAAAATATGCAAAAAATACATCACATCCTTTATCTAGGGGAAGGGGGGAAAAAAAATCATCTTTATAGCACATAATCAGACACTTACAAATATATTTCACTGGAGGAAGGGGAGGAATGTGCATTTCCTCTTTCCTTTTCAATAGTCTGATGCACAGAGGCCATCAATACGGCCTTTATAGAGAATCTGCACAAGTCATTCCTAAAGCAAAGAGAAGGACTGAAAAATCAACAAAAAGGGAGCACCCTTGCACCAAGGAAGGGCTTTCTACAGTTCCAGGGTCACGTTTCAACAGAATCTGAATATGGGGTGAGGAAACACACTTGGGTTTTTTACAATATAAATAGTTAGTTTTAAAAGGTACTACATATGAATACAGCAATGGTGCTATTGCAGTCAGGACTTCAACATGCAGAGGCAATTCCCCACTGCTCCCAACCACTCGTCCCAGCCCACCCTTCCCCTCCCCACCTCCAAAACCAAATCCTCTGCTGCTTAAAACTCTCTTTCCATTGTTTTAACTATTTCTCTTGCGGCCTGGCGACATTCTGATTCCTTTATACAAGCAAAGTTCTCCACTGCATCATGTCATCACGGACAGGAACCAGCTCTGCAGGAGCAACACCCGAGGCTTGGAAGAACCTTGCCTGTTTTGGAACCGTTCATTGGTCTCAGTTTGGTTTTATTCCTGGACACAGCTATTGCAAACGTCCAAAAGTCAGGTACTCAAAAAGAACCCGTTTCAAACAGCTCACAAACCCCCCGCAGGAAAGAACCCATAGCAGAGGCAGGAAGAAACCAAGGGAATTCCAAGTCTCTTCTCAAGAGAGAGCAAAAACCAAAAGAAAATGTAA